GTTGCTGGCTTGGAAGCCCCACAAAGCCTTCCTTTTTGTGGACGACCTTCTGTGTGCACTCTTCCGAGATAGCGCACCAGATATGTTTGCCCTGGTGGTGCTTTTCTTTTGCGCCATTGCGGCGCCAATTTCATGGAAAAAGGCGCAATTCCAGGACAGCCTTGTTTGGTGCGGCTGGGAGATCAACTTCTTCCACGACACCATTCAGCTCGTGTCCGCTAAGCTGACCAAGCTGGACGCCTTGATCAAAGCACTGCTGGGGAGCCGACGGGTACTCCGAAAAACACTCGAGCGGTGCATAGGCCTGCTCATTTGGGCCACCAGCATTGCACTGCATCTGAGATCCTGGCTAGCGCCACTATACTCGGACCTCAACAGCCCACTAGGCTCGATGCACTCGATGCCGCCTCAAATGTGGTCAGCCTTCAGAGCATCCTTGAACAAGGATCTTAAAACCAGCCATAGCCTTCCCGGCTTGTGGATCACAGTGGGCTCCAAAATCTTGGAAATTTCAGGTCGCACCGACATATACTAGCCTTTCCAAGTCAAGCCAGCAATGCCTTACATGGCTGGCGTTGTGCTGTCAGCACTCGCCCGTTCAGCCCTTGGCGCGGCCACACCAGCTGCAAGCACTGGCTGCCGCGGATGCGTGTGCCGAAGACGACTTGGTAGGGATAGGGGGCGGGGCAATCACATCCTCCCAAGTGGTTTGGTTTGCCGAAACCTGGAACATGCGGGCCTTGCCTAGCCTGGACAGCGGTACATCGCATGTTTCGAGACGCTGGCACAGTTAGCACTACTGCAAGCAACCTACTCGTTCAGCATGCCTTCAAGCACGGACAATTCCGCAACGGAAGCAAGCCTTAACAAGCTGTTCCCTCCTAGCCGTTGCAACTTTTCGTGCAGTTAACAGCCTTGAGCTCACGCTCTCGCAATGTGCTGCTGCAGCCGACGCACGTTCCAGAAGGTGCAATGCAGACGATCTCAGCAGAGGTCGGTTGGCCCGATTCAACCATCGCCCTGAAAGTCGCATACGCTTCAGCCCTGCGGGCCTAGCACTGCAGGCCGAGGCATTCAGCTGTGTCCGATGGATGCGCCCTGGCGTCCGGAACACCTGGACCCTGAGCAACAGGCTGCTCACAGCGCAAGCGTGCATTGTCACGCGGACATGTGCCCTGCCAGGTACAACCCCACTCTGAAGGGCGGGTGATGAGCCGGCGGCCCAGCTGGCTCGCTTATACCGGGGTTGCCTGAAACACTGAAGGGGGTCAACGCACCTCCTGTTCCGGCGCACCAGTGCCCTGGAAGCAGTGCTACTTTCAGCAATCCCGGTAAAAAGAACTGCGGCCGCTTCGGACTTGCTTTGTTCTTTTGGGGGTTTATGTTTGCCTTAACGCTTAGGGTTTCTTTTCCCTTGTGTTTAGGGCATGTTGTGAATCGAACTACGCAGTGGCCGTTTTGCTCCTAGCCTTGACCCAAACCTGCGGTTTCATTTGAAACCCACCCACCCACCCTGCACTGCCTTATGCAAGGCTCTGCAAGTATAGGTCGCAGACGCTCTGCACTTTCGTTGGTGGTCTCCGGACCTCTTGGTCTCCGGACCAGGTCTCCGGACCAACTCTGGTCTCCGGACCATTCAGTCTCCGGCGCGGGCACGCATGCCACGCCCTGCAAGCACTGCATTCACTTGCAAGGACACGCATTGTCTTGCCCGTTTTAGTTTAACGGGGCACCTCCTGTTCCAGGCGCACCAGTGCCTGGAAGCAGTGCTACTTTCAGCAATCCCGGTAAAAAGAACTGCGGCCGCTTCGGACTTGCTTTGTTCTTTTTGGGGTTCATGTTTGGGTTCAAGCTAGGAGCAGTGCAACATGCCTTAACTTGTCTAGTGGCTGCGGCCCTGCGGCAGTTGGCCTTCTTGCGCCGGACCCGCGCGAAGAAGCAATGTTTGACAGCCACCGCTGCAAGGTAATCTTTTCTTCCACGCACTTAGTTCTAGCCCACGCTGCCCAAGGTAAGGCCTGAGCATTTGTTGGCAACTATGAATGGCCTTGAGAACGTTGTTGCCAACACTTCTTTCTCTCCGGACTGACAAGTAGTTGTTCTCGTGGGCAATCAGCAAGTCCAAGCCGCACCAATGTGGCGACCTTTTGCTCTGTGAATGTCTCCCGCCGGTGTCGTGTTAAAAGAGCCAACATTGAAACCGTGAAGGCATAGGGAATAGGATGCATAAAGCGGAACTGCTGTTGCCATAACCACCGTGCACCAGAATCGCCCTTAAGCAACAAACGCCCTGTACCCGCCGTACGTCAGTGAATTGCATTGTACATAGCGCACGGTCCTTGCAAATCAGTTGAAGCTGATAGATCGAGTAGAGGGGCATGTTGAAGTAAAGGAGGCAGTAATCATCTCAGGATTGCTTTCAATAGTCGTGTTCGAGAGAGAACATTCAAACCGTGAAGATCGGGAATAGGATGCATGAAGCGGAACAACCAGCCAAGAAAAGCCTGAATTGCGCACCACTCCAAAGAAGCCATACCCGATGGGTCTTGATGCTGCGACCAGCCTGGAGAAAGTCTTGCACTTGGCACTCCGGCAAGGCTAAAAGAACACAACTCGATTGCCCTGAGAAAATTGGCAAGTTGGGCGAGACAGAGACAACAGATCACGACGCTGATACGGCGCGAACCGGGAGCCCACTTGCAAGCGGAAAGCAGAAGGCGATCCTGGGATGATTGCTGCCTCCTTTACTGCAACGTGCAGCTCCGCTCGATCTATCAGCCTCAACTGATTTGCAAGGACTGCGCATTGAGTACATTTCAATTCACTGACGTACTGCGGGGTCGTTCCCGAACGTTTTAACTGGCACAGGACGTTTGATGTTTAAGGGCTATCCTGGTGCACGGTGGTTATGGCAACAGCAATGGATGGAGAATTTCGAGTGATTTCTCTGGCTCGCAACACAGCAAAATGCTGCTTGCTGTTACGCATGGTACTTGCGGTGCACCATGGCGGCTATCCTTATGATGCCTGGTTTGCTGGCCCTGCCAATGTAGGGCCTGAAGGCGTAGGGCCTGGCGTCTCACAAATTTGCTTGCCTGCCCCCGAAATGACGGATTTTTGCATTGGACGGACTTCCGCCCGTTACCTACCTAGGCATGTGGGAAAACACGGCTGTGCTGTGTACCTGGCCTTCCACCCTGCGTGCTCTGGACTGCGGGCTAGATGCGGAATTTGCTTTGCTTGTCTCTTCTCTGAAGCGTTTTTGTAGCACGCGAACTCTCTGTTTGGTCGACCGGCAATTATGCTTAAGGCGGCACGGGGAAAAATTGTGCCAGTTGCTTCGCGCCAGTCAAAGCCCGAGAACTTTTGGAAGCTTGCAAGTCAAGTTGGCAGTTGTGATATCGATAGGCAGTGCAAGAATGAGCAGGCGGAAGGGCAGCTTTCAACAGCGATACTGGAAGGCTGACCATTTGAGGCGTACCATGCAGTGAGATGCGAGGCAAACTTGTCTTGTTTTGTGGCAGATGTTTGCACCAGTCCGAATCGATGTCCAGTCGGGCTGGTTTCTCTCAGTCGGGGGTATTGCCAGCGCTGACTCTGCAAGTGCTAACGGCGGGGCCGCCACTTCGGCACTGCAGATGCTACTTCTGATTGTTGTGGAAGCCAGTGGACTACTGCCCAACCAAAGGCGTTGGGGCGTTCTTTGTGGATGTTTGTTTTCGCGCTACCAGCTGTGTGGATCTTTTCAAACCCGGCAATGCTTGACTCCGCAATTCCAGCTCACTACTGTAGAAACAAGAGCAACGATTCAATCGCTATTCACTTGATACCTGCGCTTCAACCGAAAGAGCTTTCCGTTAAACGTCAAGAGAGAGCAGGGTCTGGACTCGAGGAGTGTTTGTGCGAGATGCTCATTCAAGTGGTCACAGAAGATTCCCATTTTGCGAGGGAAGCAGCGTGCCTGCGGCTGCCATGTTTGTTTGGGGTGGGCACGCGGGTGAGTTGGCGTGTTTTTTGCACGCCGCATGCCCACTCGAGCCCGGGATCAAGACTTCGTTTCATGTTTTTTGGTTTGGCATTGTTTGACTTGCTGCGACAGTCTTCATTTATGTGGGAGCCCACAAGGCCGTAGTTGGCTCTCAGGGTAGCGTGAAGCTGATGCCCCGTTTAGAACAATACTGCGTTGTTAACGGAGACTTCAATTCCCAGCGCTCGGCGTGTGTTTTGAGACGTTTTCATGTCTTCTGCGTTTGCAGAATCTTGCGAAGATCAATACGGGTATGTGTCAAAAAGGGGGGGGGGGCATTTTTTTTTTTTTGGGGGGGGTTCCCCTAAACTCTAAGGATGCCTAAAAGTACCCTTGAAGAATACATGCACACCCACACACGCACATACCCAAACACCTGTCGCAGCTTGACACTGTTGTCGGACGACTTAGAAGTCGCAATGAGACCACAATATGGACCTCAGGACGCGGTTTTGTGAGAAGGTGGCAAGACCATTCTTGGTTCACTTTTTTTTTTAAAAATATAGGCTCTTGGATTTCATTCATGTTCAGCAGGGGCCTTCCAACAAAGTCAGGCAGGGTTGGCATTGTCCAACAAAGTCAGGCAGGGTTGGCCAGAAAACAAGATGCCAGATTGCATTGCACCAAAAGGGGCAACCTGTCAGGTGCCATGTTCGTGGGATGGAGGCGACGTTTGCTGGTGGAATGCTCCCTTTGCGGTCTGGCCAAGGGCGAAAGCCGAGCATTTGGGTGTGTATCCCTTTCAGGTTTTGAAAGGTTTTCAACAAGAACATCTACCCACTTTGACCACCATTCACCCCACAACCGCAACGCCTGGATTTGAACATCCTGGGACGGAGAGTTTTGGTTTCGGGTCGAGAAATCCGCATGGACAGTGGACACTTTGCATTTGACCGGTTTCCTGGGCCCAAAGGATATGTTGAATCAAGGTCCCCCAACTAAAACGGTCTTTTGTCGCTCTTCTCCTCTGGAGGACAGCCTGCATTTGTCTGTCTGCAGCAGTTGCCAAAGCCGGGCAGCTCAGTGTTCTTGGAAACGATCCTGATTTTATGTGTTTCTTGAGCCTGGGTGCTTTGTTTGGGTGGCGGCAAAGGAATTCCAAAAGGACAACCCATATTCAGGGGTCCAAATCCCTATTTGAACACGTACTAAAAAGTGTGAATCTTTCGTACACAACCATAGCAGGTGTTTTTGCATTGTTTTTGGATGAGGAAGTCATGCCTCAGCCATACATTGCCTTTATGACGGTACCAACCTATATGTGGGGTATGCAAGGCGCATAGGGAATACATGGCTATTGAATAGGGAACCACCTCACAAGTGATTGTTGGACATGAATCCCCACCCAAGCGATGCTGAACAAAGGATCCCTGTGTGTGTGTGTGTGTGTGTGTGTGTGCGTTAAGAATCCCCCACACTCTTTGTGTACTCCCGTGAATGCGGATGGTGGAATCAACTGACCCGACAACTTGGTGGGATCAAAAACGAGGGACGGCCATGTTTTGTGTTTCTCTCTAAGGAATCAACAGGACCTGGTGGAAGACATAAGGATTCGTTTTGGATTTTGAACCTTCAGGCCAGCGCCCAGCCTGTTTGGCCAAGGGGCCTTGCTGTGAAGGGGGGAGTGAGGGCCGTGTCAAAGATGTGAAAGAGAATCTCAGGATTTTGTCCAGCGTGTCTCTGGCCATTTTGGGGCTGTCCCCAAAAGAGCCTGCAGATTCCCTGGCAAGGCGGTGTGGGTAAAGCAACCCCAAATGACGCCTTACCCTTTCGCCCGAAAAAGCCATTGCCCCGCGCGACTTTTGCTCTCAGGAGATCAGCCCCGACTTCTTGGCCTTGCCCCTGCCGCAGGGCCAGGGCCGAACCTCGGATGGATAGCTGGAGCACGAGTTGTGTTTTGGGTGGGAACGAAGCGGGTTTGGTGATGTCTGAAGAAAGGAAAGCCTTTTAGAGGTCATTCCATTTCTTGTTAATTGCTGAGAACCAGCAAGCAAAGGGCCCCTGAGAAGATTTATAGCCAAATGGACCCCCGTTTTGGTTCTTGATTCAAGGGATAGGAAAGGAAACAACTCAGTTTCAAGAAGCCTCCAGTGGAGGTGAATGAAGTGGCAATGTTCGGGACATATTTCCAGCACAGCAAGGTAAGGGTTTCTTTGGGAATGGCTTGCTCCAGCCGAGAACGCCATCCCCAGGGTTTTGTTGGGTTGATTTGGTATCTTCACTGGCTTTGGGGAAGGGACGTGACATTCTGGACTCATCTGCAAATGAGATTCCTCTTCAAAATGAGCTTTGGTCAATTGTTCATGCACTGCAGCCTCACCAAAGATTCCCTGGCGTGGGCCTACCGAAATCCAAAAGGTGATTTCTTGGGTTAAGTTCTGTTGGTTTGCAGTGCAGCAGTAGAACCACCATAACACATGTCTGGAGAGCTGTGGTGAAAACCCCAAGGACATGTCTACGTCGGGGCTGCTTGGCTGCAACAGACATCTCAGCCAGATGGAATGAGGCTAACCCGGTTCAACGACATATATACACACCCGGTGCGTCGCTAATTGTTTTTCCCCAGATAGCTGAAAGCTATAGGGGTTCTAACTATAGGGGTTCTAACTCTAACTTCTAATAAAGAGGGGAACGTGATTTGCGAGATTGATGGGCTGGTGCTAGGGGGCGTGCAGTTTGGGGTGCTGGGGAAAAGTGCTGATTGGGGTGCTGTTTGAGGTGCTGATGATGGCAGTGCGGGCGCATCTTTTCAAGATTGACGGTAGGGTGCTAGGGGGCATGTGCTGTTTTGGGGGGTGCCGGTGCGTGCGTGCGCCTTTTTGCATTTGGACAGGGGGAATGCAGCTTGGGGGTGCTCGTACTGATGGTGCTGTGGGATACTGTTTGCCGGGATGCTGTTTGCGGGGAGCTGTTTGAGGTGCTTGTGACGGTGCGGGCGCATTCTTGCGATATTGACGTGACTGTGCAGGCACGTGTTTGCATCTTGATGGTAGGGTGCAAGGGGGCTGCAGTTTGGGGTGCTGGTGCAGAGGGTGTTTTGAGATTGATGGACGGGGGTGCTGGTGTAGGTGCTGTTTTGGGGTGCTGTTTGAGGCGCTGTTTGACTTGCTGGCCCAGGTGGTGTTTTGGGATGTTGGGTGCTGTTTGAGGTGTGGGGACGGCGCGGGCACGCATTTTTGCGAGATTGACGGCCGGGTGCTGTTTGGGGCGCTGTTCGGGGTGCTGGTGGAGGTGCTGGTGCACAAACCTGAGCTGTTTTTCGCTATCTGAGCCACAATGAAAACCCGGGTAGATGAAGGTTAGTAAGGGATAATCCCAGCCATAAATAGCTGCGGCCGCCTTCTTAATTTTTTACATGGTTCTGGGATTTAATACCGGGTTTTGGTTATGACTCATCTGGTGTCTATGCTGGTGTATGTCTTTTTGTCCAGGTTGGAGCAACTCCGAATGATATGCCAGGGCCTTGGATCTTAGACTTGACCGCTGCCTTCAGCTAGCAAGTGGTCCCCTAAAGTGGTATCGCATTTGGAGGGTTTGAAGGGTTCCCTTCAAACCACTTTAGGCAGGGCCCGTGTCCTGGGTTTCTTTAATTCAGGTAACCCTTAGTTGATGGGTGAATGGGCAGGTTCTTAACCACCAAACCGGGCTCGGAACCACCCGAGAGGTGCTCCAGACTTCGCTGCCCGCTGTCAGGTCCTGGATCCAGCAGCAAGAGAAGCACCTGGACGTGCGCTTCCTGCCAGTGCCCGGTGCTCGGATACGAGCGATTTCACCAAAAGGCAAAGAAAAGGCGATTCCACCCATTCTGGTCGGGGGGGGGGGGAAGCTCAACGTTGGGGGCCTTGTGAGGGGCCTTCATTCAAGCAAGTGGCCGAAAATAAAAGTGGCCGAAAATAAATGCGCTGTGCTACACCACTGCTCGCTCAACATAGGCAGTCATCAATCGGGTTATATTTTGCGGCAATATCAGATACGCCCCTACAACTCATTCCAGTAAGTAGTTCTACTACCTGGTGTAACAAGGGTTGTAGACCTATATATATATATATATAAACCTTCATGATTAACCATGGCAGAGCCAAATACTTGGATTGGGTGCTGGTGCTGTGGGTTTTCAAGTTCGGGCAGGATGGTTCAGCCTCATCCTGCATGGGCGCTGCAACTTCGCCAGATTGCAGAGGCACAGCCATGATTCTGGTTTGGTTTGGCCCCGTTTTTGACGAGGCTCGGTATACGGTTTTGGATTGTGTTGTTGTTGGGGGAGACGCGGACCACATTTTTTTTTGGGGCTTCCCCGATTTGGAGGCACGCCTGTTTCTCAAGACGAGTCGTGCAAACCGCTGGGCTTTCTCAATTTTTAGGTGCTCGTTTTCCGGGCGTTGTTTTGTCCAAGCCTTCTAAACAGGTGTCCCTCTTTTCCGGTATCCCCTGACTGGTCGCTTGGATTGGTGGTTTGGGGAGTTGAACCTGGTTCCTGCAGAGGGCAAATGGGAAAGTGTCTTTCACCACCGAACCCCCGAACGGCTCCACCCCGCCCTTTTGAGGAAAGCGAATCTTTCTTGTCAGGGCCACCCGTGAACAGCGAGGATGGGTCAGTTTGGGGTGATCTTTGCACCCTTTGGCCAGGACACCGGAGGAGCCTTCTACCCCAATGTCGCAGCTTGCCGCAGATCCGAGGTCCGAAGTGAGAGGTAAGACGTGATTCAGGTAGCCCTTGGTTGGTGGATTGGTGGTTTAGAGGGCAAATGGGAAGCTGCAATCCACCAATCCAAGTCACTCAGAGGGGAGCTGAAGGTTTTTGCAGCCTCTCGCTTTGGTTTTTAGCGCCCGAAGGCCCCGAAGGGCCGAAGGGAGCAAAAAGTTTTGAGGCCTGGATCCGGGACGGGATGAGGATGAGGCGGGCCCCGCGGAATCGGATCGGGGGATCCAGATCCGGTTGGTCTGTGGGCATGTGGGCTGACAGGGACACCCTTGCCTTGCGCATAGATATATACATATATATATATATATATATATATGTATATATGTATATATATATATATATATATATATGTATTTTTCTTACTGAAGGTGTGAAGAGGTGCTATAGGTGAAAGCTTCGATGCAATTGCGGGGGTCGAGTTGCAGCTTGCCCGACGTGGCACGACATGGCGAGGAAACATGCCCGCTCTTCCGAGAAGCAAAGCATAGGTAATTTGGACTTTTCTGGGAATCCCCTGCCAAGCTGGTTTGGGAACTGAGTGTAGTCGCTAGCTACCCAGCCACTTCCCCCCAAACCAGCCCCTCACAAACCCTCATCACGGATGACCACTCAGCTTGCCCCCCGACCAAATGTGGAGGCAACCCTCCCAGAAATTCGAATCTTCTTGGAAGACTTTCTCATCGAAGCTTTCTGGGGTGAGACCGTGGGACCCGAGTTGTCTGCAAGTGCACAGAGTCCCTTTCCAAAAAGAAAGCTATCGTCTTCCAAATGGCACCTGTGCGCCGAACTCTGTTTGTGACCCCCCGGACTTTCAGGCTCAACGTGGCCTCCCATCCCATCTTCAAGACCGGCTTGGACAGCGTCTTCCATGTCCGTGGCCGACACGATACGTGGGGGAGCTCCGGGTTTGCAACAGGCAAATCAGTGGAAAGCGTGGGTCTCAAACTTGGCCTCGATATCAAATGCTGTGGATATATCGAGGATGTTTGCCTGGCTTTCAAAGATGGTTCCCGGTCAAGTAACTGGATCCACTGGCTTCGGACTCTTTGCATTTCAATCACAGCTGTCTGTTCAAAACAGACTATCCGAAAGCGAAAGGGTATTTTGAATCGGAACCTCCCCGCAACCTGCTTATCCTCTTATCTGCCAAAGCCATTTCCAACCCAGGATTGGCAGGCATGGATATATTTCACAGAATGCAATGGATGGTAGTTCGGTCACCCAGGTGTGAGGGGTGGCTTGGGACGCCCCAGCAAGCCTGTTCCAGGAACTTCATCCTTTATAACATAACACTCAACAAACACATCTTTTTGAAACCATACGAACTTCTGGTACAGACGGATCATTCCAATCTTTTTGGTTGACCTCTGGCTCAAGCTTGTACAGACTTGAGCTCTGAGTCAGACATGCAGCTCGATGCGATGGCTGAAGTCTTCAGCTGTGCCCACATTCCTTGGTCATCCCAAGCACCCTTCATTGCACCTACAACAGTGGGCATGTGACAGACACAATTGCAAGGACTTCTCGCACGAATTGCGCGCGAGCGTACTCTCACACTTTTCGCGCTTGGACATTCTTTTCCCCAGCGCCGAATTCCGCCGTGCGGGCGGATAATTTTGGGTTGCTCGGTGCGAGCGGATGGAAGGTGCACCCAGGACGGTGAGTTCTTGGCGAGAGCCGCAAGAGAACCCCGAGCCTTGGCTTTTCAGAATCGAAGCCTGGGCCTGGTTGAGTTTGGGTTTGTTTTGCTTGCTGCTTTGCCTTTTGCTTTCTACGTGAAAACGAGCTTCTCGCTGTTCGTGAATCTTGCCCTCCCCTGCGCGGTGAAACCCGTTACTGTGAATGCGGTATCTGATGGTTTTGGCGGCCTTTTCGGGCACTCTTTCCGGGGCCATTGGAGTCAGAAGACCCCAGGTGTATACGCCTCCCTGTAGCCCTTGCCCGCAGCACTGGTTTAGGTTCAGGGTGCTCCCTTGGGGACTAGAACAAAATCGCAAGGGTGGAAGATCGGTTGGGTTTCCTTTTTGTTTCCCCAGAGACCAAGTTTCTGCTGCCAGGATCTTTGAAGCAACAGTGTATGTCCTGTTGTGGCAAGTAGCTATCGGGAGCACTACACAACTTTGCACGGTTGCCCAAAGCACTTGTGTCGAAGTTGGAAATGGATTTGGCAAATGCCCATTTACAACTCGAACAGAGTTTGTGGGTGTTTGTTTTCTCTTTTTTCACTGCACAGACCTCTAGTCTTCTATTTTGCCACTCAGCTTGTTTGTTGACACCTAGTCGCTTGTATTCTAGCTGTACACCTCCCCCAAAAATATATATTGCAAAGAGAAGGATGGGTGAAGAGTCGAGAACGGGGAATCCAAGCCCCTTGGCCGAGGACCGCTTCTTGCGGCGCTGGTTCGTCCGCTTTCTGCAGCGCCTGGCTGGGCGGCCCACGCCCGCCGGATCCGAGGCGCCCGAGCCGCAGCCGGTCTCGGCGGCGCGGGCGTCGTGGCGCATCTGGCGGCGCCTGAGCTGGCAGGAGGCCCGGGGCCCGGGAATGTGGACGAGGTTTGCTAGCCGAACTGATCGCAGTGCGTTGCGTATGCATCATTGCATGTACGCAATTTCTAGCTGTGCTTCGCTGCGTTATGTTGCACACACGCATGTGAGAATCAACCCTGGTGCTCCTCTTTCTTGGGAAGCCAAGAGGAGATCGTTGGCAGAGACAAAAACCGGATTTAAGGGAGATCAAAGTGGAGTTTTAATCAATTTTCCAAGAATGGAAGTGGTATCGCACACCTTGCTGTCAGCTTCCATGATTGTTGGAGGGAGGTTACATATTACCCGTAGTTTTTTGGACTGTTCCAACAATATTTCGATTTGTACCCTTTTCGGGTTTTGGGACATGAGCATAGTTCAAACGGTCGGCGTACCTAGGATCCGCTGCAGAATGTGGGCTCGCTGCTGCACCAGGCGATGGGATATTTTTTGGACCTCCCAAAGTGGCTATGGACGCTTTGTATGATTTGATTCGCTGTGGCTAACCTGAACCCGCACGCTTGGCAGGAAGGCTTCCCGGGCATGCAGGACCTGCAGTCATCAGCAGTTTTGCTGGAACCCACCAGTAAACTGCAACACGTACCCACATTGGATGGGATCCTTGAAAGACAGACCATGTTCAGCCAACTCATGTGGGTCCCCTGAACGCTTCAGCGGCGCCCCAGGCCTTGATCGACTTGGCCCTGACCAAGGAGCAGCAGGAGGCGGCTGGGTGTCACAGCCCTCATGGAATCCTTTAGACGCCTTGCCGCTATTTGGTGGCTCCGGAATACCTTCAAACCCAAGCCCTAAATTGTGTGTGTGTGTGTGCTGTGTGTTTTTATTCGTAGGTGGTTGGGAGTTTTGACATGTTTCTTGAAGCACGATGTTTCTTTTCGGCATTGATTCCTTAAACATGTGCTTGTCTCCAGGCGTTTTGCGGCGGAAAAGTAAAACCGTGCGTTGTGTGAGGGAAAGGTGACACTGTGAGGTCTTCGAGAGGGTCGTGGCGTGCAACAAGCACTTCTGGGAAGTGGCGGTGGACGGCGTCTACGATGGCTCTCCTCCCTGGCGGCGCCATGCGTCTCGCCTGGAAAGATGTGGCTTTCTTTGCCTCCTCTTTTGCTACTCGCTGGTCAGTGGTCAGGGAATGAATATGGGTGTTGGGAATGAACCCAGTCCCCGCAAAGCAAACCACAAGGGCTGATTGAAAGGGGTCGTGTCCCTGAGCACCATCAAGGAAAAGGGTGTACCCGAAAAAAGAAAAGAAAAAAGAGACACCCATTTGTGTGCTGCAACTGAGAAAAGGAAACTATGATTGCGTTTCCCAGTTCTTGTTGGGTAACCAAGGAATTTGGAGCCACCCTTTAACAAAGGGAGTGAACTACTTGAGTGGCTTGCAACCGGGTTTGACTGGGAAATGGGCCGCTAACATGGGCTGGTTTTTCGCCGTTGAACAACCGCTCAAGTGTGTGCAGTGTCTCTCTGGCGCGGCTTCTTTTGGCTGCCTCGGCTGTTGGTGGCTGTGGCTGCTTGCGTAGCGCCCTCGCTCTAGCGACATGCGCGAAAAACTGATTCCTCAAGCAACCTTCGAGTTTCACTTCGAGTTTCACTGAAAGTTGGCCAGCTTCCCCGTTAACTCTCAGTTCAGCCCGCGTTTCTCGCGATTACATGCGCAACAAGCTGAACCTCGAGGGCAAACTCAGTTGACCGCCTCGGCTTCATTGGGCTTTGCGGTCTGTGGCTAAGTGGGGGCTGTGGGGCGAACTGGTTGCGTTCAGTTCACTGAGGGATGCCCACTTGATATGGCAGGCCTTGGGAATGACGAATTCTCCACTCAACGGTTCCCTTCACAGACGAGGGGTTGCCCAACCCCGTCCCGCGGATTCCTGCCAGTTGCCAAGAGAGGTGTCCCAAGCCCTCCTTCTCACCTTGCCCGGGTACTTTGAGCCGGACGCACAAACCCGCAAAAAGTCCGCGCCGCCCGAGGGGTTTCTCAGGTGGCCTTCAACATGGCGCTGCTGAGGGTTTTGCATCGGCACCAGGCAGCCCAGCGCGTCGTCGAGGCCATCACTCAAGAGGCTGGGGGCTGGTGGGCTGGCGGGCTGGTGGGCTGGGAGGTTCGGGAAGGGGGGGCTGAATTATGAAAGGGACATCAGCAAAGGTGGGTTTTCCTCTAGGAACGCAGGCTGGGATTTCACGCGGGTGACTCGTTTCTCGCCCCGCAAAGATTGCAGACTTGTCGAAGGCGGCACTTCCAGCGCAGCCTGGGGCTGGTTTGCCAATGCTGGTAAATGGTGATGCGGCAAGTGACGAGTGCGCTTGGGCCTCTAAAACCAAAACCTTCTGAAAGCCGCAAAACCAAAGGGAGCCCTTGCAAGAACCAGAGGGGAAAGCTGCCAGGGCAGTTGTCTCAATTTTGCGTCACGCCGCAGGTAACCTCAAAAAGATCTTGGTACCCTTCAAAGAACCTAGTTCCTTAGAACCTGTCGTGGGCTTGGCTGGATGTGTTCCCTTCCTGTTGGTGCGTCTGCGTAGTTTTTTCCAGCCGAGGTATGGGGGCCCTAGTGGGATTGTACAAGGACAGCTTTTTTTGATCTTGCCCTTACCCCCCCCAACCCCTTTAAAGATAGTTGCTCGTGTCACACGGACGAGGCTCACCGAAAGGAAATGGTCCAATGGTGCCTCCCAACAAAATCCCCATGGATTCCCGTGGCTGGCTCTCCGTTCTTTTTTCCCCAGCGGCGGCCGGTTTCCAGAGCGCAGGTGGAGCCCACGCTGAGCCGCGGCGAGGCGCAGGAGGCCTTGCGGTACTGCCGCTGGACGCTGGCGGCCTACGGGGGCCGCGGGGAGCGGGACGGCTCCGAGACCTTCGACGAGCGCTCGCGCCAGGAGAGGGATGGCGAAAACGCGGGAAATGAGAGTTGGGGATCTGAGCCGACAGGCAAAAGCGCAGGAAATGCTTTTGGGGCCTGTGGGTTTCTGGTGAGGAACCATTGGCAAGACTCAATGCTTCGGATTGATCTGGAGTACCGTACTGAGAGAAATCGACGTTAAAATCGGGGACCCCGGGACGCGGATCGGCGAGTATTCCAGGGAAAGCAGAGCAAAGTCGAGACGGACAGTCCTTTGAGCGGCCTTTGAAAGGTTGGTGCTCGCTGGAGACCTGCGTGCTCAACTTTGCGAGGCTTCTCAAGATTGCTGGTGGTTTGAACCACCAGGTGAGAGCGTTTTTTTGAGGAGGTCATCTTAATGACCCCAGTTTTGTCACAACCCCCCTTGGTCCTCTCTCTTTCGGGTTTTCCAAAAGCCGAGTTCTAAGCCATGTTAGCCAAGTAGAATCGACTGGGGAAGGCAAGGAAGGGAGACTGGGTTTTGGACATGCTTTACCTGCCAGATTCCGAATTGCCCACCTTGATGGGAAGCCAACGACCAATACAGATCAGCAATTGAATCTTGACGCACGTGCTTCGCCACGCACGAGTTTTTTCACATGCGAAAGTAGTGCTATATAAGAGTTACAAAGAGGCTACAGGGACGCATTTTGCATGTTTTTGGCGTGATTTGTGCGCATGTCTTTCTTCCTTTCCTTTGCGATTACTGTATGAGCATTTTATGATTCTTTGACGCTTGTTTGCAATGCGCTGTGAAATCCGACCACCACGCAGGTTCTAGGAGAGTTCACCATTGGGGGAGACCGCACAACCATAGCAGAAGGGAGAATGGAGACTTGGTCTGCAGTCCCCCCCCTTCGAAACATTCAAATGCCCAATTCAGTCCACGCCTACCGGCTTCGCTCTTGAGATGGCCATGAATATTGTTTCTCTGGTCAGGACAGGAGTTTGCCAACCTCCTCCCCGAGCTGCGAGGAGGAGCGTGTGCACCTTGCGGCTGCGATTTGCGGACTGAGCGCAGAGAGCATCTTGGTGTCGGATTTGGACAACGCGAAGCAGTGCGTTGACCCGCTGTGCCCCCGCTTCCTGCTGGCCATGGAGACTTGGGAAGAAGTACGCAACAAGAAAGGAGGAAGGGGGCAAGAACAGAAAGTCCGTAGGGTAGCCTTTTCAGCTTGGTTCAAAGCAAGCAAGCAAAGGACACCCCCTTATTGACTGTGACTTACATGGGTGAAAAGCAGGCCTATGCCAAGCTGAGACGCTTGCAATGGTTGATTGCTTTGGATAACCACCCACCCCATGTTTTGGACATTTTCAACCACACAATTTGAAGGCACAGTCCATTGCCCCGAAGCAAGCTGGGATGGAGACAGCCTCCAGTGCAATAATGGGGTGGATAGCAAACCTTTACCTTCAAATCAGATCCCAGATCCCACACGTAGTAGCTCACCATGTTGCCTAGACAGCTCAATGGATCTGGGCTTTGTACTCATGTCCGAGCGCCAATTTCGGCATCCGGTTAGCAAAAAGCTCCAAGCCTTCGAGCCGACGAGTATCTTATGAGCTTGGACCTTATCCCAAGGCCCATTTTTCGGTCCCTATTCATTGGCTGTTCCATCCCCCTCGGTCATGATTTTTCCCGGACCTATTTGTTCGAAGTTCCCCAACTTCGGAACGGCTTCGCTTACTTGGACTCTCTTGTTCACCGAGCTTTCGTATGGATTCCGCCGTAACTCTCGCGGTTCCGCCGCAACTCTCGGGGTCACCATGGAACCGGACCAAAACGGTTTGGAGTTGGGAGCAAAAGGGCCATGCCCATCTGCCCGAGGATTCCGCCCGCTGCGAGCTGATCCTTTCGATCCGCGGCACCATGTCGCTGTCGGACCTCTTTGCCGACCTCATCGGTGACACCGAACCCTTTGCAGGCATCTCCGAATTCTTTCTCTGAAAGGTACTTTGAAACATCCTAGAGCAAACTTTTCCCGAATCGCTGTTTGGTGGTGAGAAACAGCAGCGAGAAAGAATTCGGGATGCTTACTTGCGGAGGTGTATGCTGTGTCACCCGAGTGTCAAGACGGAGCTTTAGGAGCTTCTCCCAGACGAGCTACGCGTGGGAGAGTTAGCTCATGAGAGACCAAACCGTGACTTGCGACGCTTGGCTTCCAGCAGCTGAAGCCACAAGACATGCTCAAAGCATGGCCGCCAAAATTGCCGCTTTGGTTTTGGTTCAATGTCTACCCCTTTCCCTTGAAAGTTCAAAGCACGTGTCCAGCTGCTGGCCCTTCTTAGGGCCCTTTGTTTCCAGAAAACGGCCAACGGCATGCAGGCTTTTGGAAACGGCTGGCCTTTGAAAACCTTGAATGGGGAGTGAAGACAGAGAAAAGAGAAGCCAAACAGAAGCGAAAACAGAAAAAAAGCAAAACAAATGTGTGCAAATCGGCAAAGGAACGGAAAAGGACCCCAACCCCGACTTGTGCCATGGGTTTGTCCGCAGGTGGCCAGGCGCATGCGGGCATCCTGCACTCCAGCCGCCGGCTGCTGGACAGAGTCTACCCGCATTTGAAACAAGGCACGAATGGCATTGGGCCCCAGAAAACGTGGGTTGGCAGGGGGCTCATGTTGCGACTTTGCCTTGCGCTGCTCACACGGTACAGGAGAGTGGATAGATGCTGCACCTCTGAGAAGACGCTCGCATTCCCGGGTGTTTGGCATACAAATTTATGTGTCCTTTGTTTGAAGGTACCCTTGTGGCTGTTCACAGATCATGGAGACAGGTGCCCATTTTCGAGGAGGTTCCCATCCCCTTTTGTCGCCCGGGAGAGCCAGCGGAGGGTCCCCGAGGTTTGGGAAAGGTCTTTCTGCGGCTTGCGGGTCGATGCTTGGACCTTTCTGTGGCATGCCGCGGCCTGTCCTTTTTTTCTTTCTTCTTTTTTCTCCCGCAGCGCTGGCAGGCAACCAGGTTTTAGGCCTTGTTTGAACCTTCAGTGGCCCGCTAGACCTTTGGTGAGCCCCAAGATGCAGTTGACAACCCGCGTTTCAGATCCCCCCCCAGTCCGATTTTAAGAGGGGCTCCGACTCTCGTTTTCTTTTGGGGACGCCTCCGTCAGTTTCTGCCTAGACCCGTCGACGCATTCGCCAGGCTTTCACCAGCTGCAGGAGGCCGGCGGCTCCCCCCGCCTGGCGCGGAGCCCCGGCACCGCAAACGCCGGGCCGAAAAGCCGCGCACGCGCGCGCGCTGGGCGCGGACGGCGCTGAATTGGGGGTCGGGTTGTTGCTCCCGTAAAATTCACGTTGGGCTTCCACCTCGCGTTTCTCCAGACGTGTTCGGTATTCTTAGACCTCCCTCAAGACAAACAAGCTCCTCCCCTCGATTGTATCCTGGAGGCGGCCCGGCAGTTCTCAGGCTTCTCGGGGAGCTTCTGATTCAAGTTCAGGTTTTGAAAACCGCAAGTGGTTTCCTTTGACGTACCCGTCCAAGATAGGTTAAAGCAGAACGACCAATGCGCGGAAATATGTCACATGATATTTATCAATTTTCTCACCAAACATAACTCAACAAATGATACGGGACAGGTCTCCCTCCCAATCACCGCAGTCCAAAACAATTCCCCTGTCACCTCGCTAGACATGGTCGATTTCCTGGTAGCTTCTCTCCAGAACTAGCACCACTTTCCGCAAAGTTTGGTTCACGGTTGGTTGTGCTCCAAAAGTTCAAACGCACATCATCCATCCCAGACAGGGATTTCCAGTTCCTTGTTTTGGGGACAAACCCTTCCCCCCAGTCAAAATACCGTTTCACTTGGGGTTGGTAGGGATGGTTGACCCCTTAAATCCACACAGGTTTGACCCTCGGAGATGTACCCATGTTTTAAGGGAAACCAACCTGCTCAAGGGCAAGCTGGTACATGGTGGCTTCCACAATTCTACGCCTTGTTTATGTTTTTTTTTTTTTTTTTTTTTGGGGGGGGGGACACATTTCTCAGGCAACCCTTCATTGGTGGTTTGGATTGGTGCTTTGGGCTTTGAACCCCTGCATTTTGAGGGGAACCGGAGTTTCCGAGTTTCTTTGGGCGGGTTCAGGGGTTCTAAATGATGCAATTGGGAACCCTCCCCCCAAAAAAATATGAGGCATCATTGAACCTTGGACACATTTTTTGGCCTCCATGTCTGTCCTCCGAGTTTTTTTTTTCGGGTGGGTAACTCTCAGAGGTTGGCTCCGCGCCCGGGGATCGGATCCGGATCCAGGTGCTGGTGGGTCACTCCTTGGGCGCCGGGGTCTGCGAGCTGCTGGCGGTGCTGCTGCTGGGGGGAGCGAAGGCCGGGGAGGTGCCCTACACGCTGCCGGAGGCCGGACGTGGCCGTGTTTCGCCGTTTTTCTGGGTGAGGCAGCCCAGCAGGCCAACTCATTTTTACTGGCTTCTGCTTCCTTGGGCTATCGTTTTTGGGTGCGAAGGACGTTTCCTACGGGGCGCTGTTCCATGGGCCACTCAGTTACTGGCTTCTGCCTCGGGCTATGGGTCGGGCTGGGCGACCGGGACAAAGGCTCTCTTGGGCTCTACCCCCTTTGAAGCCCCACTTGTTTGTCGAACTCTACTTTCAAGGGTTGAAAGGGGGGGGCGAAGAGCGGTGGGTGTTGTTTGGGGAGTTAAGTGGCGGCAGTCGCGAAGCCCCAGAGTGGGTGGATTGAAGTTGTGCAGCTTTTCTTTGGCCTCCTGAACATAGCCACCCGAAACCGGGGGCCCCTTTGTTGATTCGGTTTCTCGAAATAAGCCCCGAGAAGAGCACGTAGGTGCCCCCTCATTGCTGGTTATGGCTGGTTTGCAGATGTTCCGGAAGTTTCCAGTGGATTCTACAAAGCAACCAGAGGATTCATTTTCTATTCCACCAATCCTAAACACCGATTCAGGGTTGCCTGACAAAACGGACTTCAGCGTACTTTGTTCACTTTATAGTACCCCCACAAAGCTACACAGGGCAGCTTCAACAGATCAGGCACACCATCTGGTTGTGTGTGAACACTAGGAACCTAGTAGGCATAAAGTAAGCAGTCGATACACATAGTTAGCCATCTCATTGATTTCCTAATCCTACGTCATAATTAGGAATTGACCCGGTTGTATCAAAGCAGGGCTTGATTTTCTGATCACCGAAGGTAGGCCTACACCCAAAGTTCCGTTCCCGTTTTGGTGAAATGACCATCCCCCCCGGTGTGATTTTACCTTAGGGCGAAAGCAATTCCCTGAATCAATCAAAGTCCTCAGATGCCATTTTCTTGGTTGCTCTTTGGTGCGACTGCAGAACCCCGCTTTTTGCAGGGGGGCCTTTGACACCATCCCAGGCTTATTTATTGGGATGCTTGGATTCGTCAGGAAAAAGGCGTTGGTTGCTACCTGGTGGAACCTCAGTTGCCGGCATCCCCACAGCAATCCCTGGACTCGTTTGTATTGTACCCAAACTGGGGGGGGGGGAGAGGCAAAATGGTGTTCCTAAAAGGTGGGGCATGGGCTAGTTCCTCTTAGTAGGCTTGACTTTACAAAGAACCAAATGATTCGCCCAGGCAAGTTCTCTTCAGACTGACATCCATTTCGAAAGCAGTTTGGACCCCTCAACATGTCAGCCACGGGGCTTTGCTGACAGGACGTGCCGCTCCGCTGCTTCCTCTTTGCGCCCCCGCCTGTCTTCGGTGTCCAGCCCCCTGTGCTGCGCAAAGCGAGGGGGGGGGAAGGGGGCTGTTGCGGGGGCGGGGGGGGCTCGGGGTGCTTGCGAAGCGTGCAGGGCATACCAGGCAGCCACCCTCTCACTCGCTTGGGGGGAATTGTGGTCCAGGTGCGGAACACGCGGTCAGGTTCCATGTTAGGTGGGTGGGTCCTTGGGATTACTTGAGGATTGGCATTTTGATGTGTGAGATAGGGTCCGACAGAACTGTCAGATTTTGTGGGCGACTTGTGGAATCCGCGGACATCTTCTCCTCACAGCGAAATGAGCAGCAGACCCAGGCGTCGAACCCCCTAGCACGATATTCCCTCAAACCGGGCAGATGTAGGAGGTGTGTGAGGTGTGTATCTGCTTGGCCAGGACTTGGGGGCATGGTTTGTGCTTCCCTCAGGAACTGTGCTGGCTTACCAATGTGAAAGATGTCCACCAAAAAAAACTTTAGGGATTTTGGAGAAGGGCCATGGGCGAACATTGCACCATGGCGGTTTAGGGTGCGAGATGCGCAACAGTCGCTCTGCGAGTTGTTGCTTCCTCTGTCTCTATCTTTATGTTGGGCTGTACTTGTTCTTCAATGCCTATCGGGCAGGCGGAGGATTCTTGTTTTCCCCCTTCCCTTCTTCTTGCATCCCAACATCGAAGCCTCAGGACGTTTGCGACTTTTCTTCCTCCGAGAAAAGAGGGAAAAGGAAGAACGGGGGGGCCTTTCCAGGGTCGAAGCGAGTCGGGCGAAGCCAAGGACCGAGGAGCGGGCCTCCCACTTCGCCAAGGCCTGGGGAAAGCTGGGCAGCTTCACCTTCCGGAAGTCCAGCGCCGATGCCGTGGACAAGGCCCGGGAGGCGTCGCTGGCGCCTCGCCAAAACGCCGTGTCTGAAGCCCCTTCGGCCGTGTTTTTTCTTCTTCTTTTTGTCTCCCTCGGTTTGGCCGCTTTTTTGTGTATGTCTTTAAGCCAACGTCGTTTTCGGTCGCTGAAGTGGGATTGCAACCGGAAGATTGGGGAACACCCCCTAGGTGGTGATTCTGGAACCCGTTCCCATTGAGACTTTGCCGGGAGCCGTTGTGTCGGGTGACCTTACTTGGTTCTGGTTTTGGCACAGCCGGGAACCAGACAAGACTGTCGCCTGGGGTTCTGATTCCGTTTTGTCTCGGCAAGTGCAATGAACTGTTGGGGTGAATGAGAGCAACACTACAGGCGATTCTGACCGTGGCTGATATAGCTGGCTTGCTCCGAGGCTTTGAAGGAAAAACCGAGCTCTTTCCCATGGGGTCCCTTGTTTGGAGGTCTAATTCTTATTTCGGGTTTTGGAGTTCTTGTAGAAGATGCAGACACTCATCCTCCAACAACCACGGCAGCTGACACAAGGGGTTCGGAAGACTACAGTACTTTTTGGGGAACGCCCCTGTCCACTTTGGGTGATTGTTGGAAAGAGGATATCAGGGAAACCCCTCGATGTTTTTGCTCGGCAAAAGCCACGTCTCTGAGGCCTTTGCGCTGAACTTCGACATCATCCCCCGGACCTCCCTGCACAATGGTGGCTGGCTGCACACCATGGTCTTGGGTCTTGGGTGGAGCTGAATTCTTCGCGCTGGGTACAAGGGTACTTTGTTTCATGCCGAAAGGAATCGAAGCTGCAATGACACGGCAGGTTCAATGGGGACAATCGTATGGGGGCTCTGTTTTAACCCTTAGGCACCAACCTTTGGCGTTGGAGATTGTCACCAACCCCTTGGGATAGACAACTATAGGTTGCAGTAAGCCAGGATGATCCAAAGAGTTGTTACCAGCACTCAAAACCTGGGGGTGGGGGAGCGTCGGGTGCGGCTGTGGTGATCCTTGAAAGGCCATGTTGGTTCCCAAAGCTGATGGCTGTCTCGGACAATTGGTGGTTTAGGTTGCTCGTTGGGGGATTTGGTAGTTGGGGTTCCAAGGAGGCTTGCCCCGGTTTGGTTTTGCGAAGGGAACGGCGAAACTATTCTTTGTGGGTATTTACAGGGGGAATCATCCTTCCAGGGATTCTTAGGTGGCGTCCACAGCATGTTTACTTGTCGAGTGGCTTTCCGAAGCCGCAAGTGGAAGAGGGCAATCTGAAAGATCCTCACGAATATCCAGGCCCTAACCATACAAGAGGAGTGGATTTGGGACACAAGGAGACTCGTGGGAACCTACGATTATTGGTGGAACCTCTTGGTTGATTCATCGTGGGGAGGGTCCCATTTCATCGCATCTGCTTTTTGGGGTGCAACGGGTATAACTATACCAGTTCCGGGTCAGCCGCGGTCGCAAAAAGCAGAACCAACTCTAAGCCTACACATTTACTTGCAGCAATCCCATCCGAAACCAACCCAAACCCCACCCCCAACCGCAGCTCTTCTTGGTCGTCCTTACTTGAGGTTGGGACTGTTTTCTGTTTGGGCCCTCGTTTCGGGCCAGGAGGTTGCACGGCTCAGCTTGTGTCCCCGGCATCGCCTCGTGCTGTTGCGGCCAAACGCGCTGCTCTAAAAAAAATAGGCGGTGGCGGATAGAAGCGCCCTTTTTTTCCACTCATGGAACTGCACTTGGGTCGTGAGAACGCCGAGTCAGAGGATTGTCCTATGCGCAGGCAACAAAACTGCAACCAAGCTCGCGCGTTTCACCAAAAAACGGCCCACAACAAATCAGCCAACAACAAGGAGCAAAGACCTCAAATAGAAAACAACACATGTGGGGCTGTTTTGCTTCGCCTGGCCTTTTTGTTGTTTTCCTGGGAGCCTTCAGAGCCTGCCATGCGTCCGTGAGGCTACAAGCTCTTCCAGGAGGCCCGGCTGGTGGACGACACCGTGGACTGGGGCCAGAGCGAGGTGCTGCGCCGCCTCCGGGAGCCCAAGGCGCGGCCCCGCTGGGGTTCCGGGCAACAGGCTGACCTTAGGGGGAAACCGCCCGGCCGTTCCTTGGGTTGCCTGGAAGGGAGAACTCGTTTTTCTTCTTTTTTTAGTAATTAACCTTGCTCATGGCACGAGATACATCCGCCATTCATTGGGGGGTTTGCTGATTTCGATGCTTGAAAGTCACGTTGGGGGTGAGACACAGTTCAACAAACCCAAACCTCCAGAAAGTTGTAACTCCCTTTCTCCAGCTTGTGTTTGGAAGGCTTCCCTTGAAAAACGGCTATCCCCCTAAAAACGTGGCCTATTCTCCGGGGGAATCTACGAGTCCAAGCTAAACTGGCGCAGGCGGCGCCAGGTTCCCAAAGTTGCCCATAGCCCATTGGGGAGCATAGACGTGGCCAAATCTCAGGGCAACGAGTTTCGTTCTTTGGGGGCCCTGTGGACATGGCTGACCCACAGGGAGTGGGGGGTGCCAAAGCAGATCGCAATGATAGTGCTGGAAGCTGAGGGCCGAAAGGATGATTTCAAGCTTTCCATGCTTTAAGATGCTGGCATTTGTCCAAGAGGCCATGCTGCGGGTTGTGGTGGTTGCTGTTCTTGCTGTTCTTGCTGTTGCTGCTGCGTCGTTTTTTTCTCTTTTTTTCTTTCTTATTTTTTTGTGTGTGGGTTGGAGGTTGCTTGTTGTTTGTTGTTTGCTGCTTGGCCGTTAGCTGTTGGTAGTCAGTTTTTGGGGTGTTTGTTTCTTCTTCTTTCTTGTTCTTGCTCCTCTCGGTCCTACTCTTTTTCTTGGTCTTTTTGTTTTTGGTTCTTTATGATGTTCCATCTTTTCTGTTGCCACTCTTCTTGTCGCTTTTGTTCCTGTTGCTGCTGCTTTTTCCGTGGTGGTGCCGGGTTGCAGGCTCGCATTGTATTTAGGGGGTTATGTTGATGGTTTCAATGTTTTCTGCTTGTTGGGAAGCAAGCCGCCTTTGTTTACTTAGCTGGGTTGGGACTGATGAAATGATGGTCGATGGCAGCTCAATCCTGACCTGTTGGAAGACCCAGTGGTTGGAAAGGGGATTCATTGAGGTTCTTAAACCCGCCTCGTGGGGAAAAAGGAGGGGAGCCACTGAAAGACTCAAAGAGGAATTGGACCCCTTTTTCAGGTAGGATGTTCACAAGGGTGGGCTGTTCCTTTCATTGCACCTTTTTTCGGTCGCGGAACGCTCCTGACGGACTCCTTGGTTTCCTTGGGCTGACGGTTGGTAAGGCGCCCTAAAAGCCCACGGGAAGGTTCCATGTCCGTTCAGAGGCGCCAGGTTTCGCGCTTCGCCGTGATCTTGGTAGGGTTTTGCCAATTCCCCCCCATCACGTCGCGGTTGGTGACCCATTTAGCCGTTGGATTTGGCCACGTTTGGCCAATGAGAACTGGATGTGTCGCTTTATTTCTCGCGAACGGGTCTTAGTTCCAGGACTCAAAAATGTGTCAGGCAAGCGGTTGGTAACCATGGGCAAATCACCCACGGAAAGGGGACCTCCAAGGTTGCATAAGCGTGCTATAGCGTGCCACTTTGCAAGCACCTTGCCCCTGAAAGCCAAAAGAAGAGCCCTCTGTTTGGGACTTCTTTGTGTTTTTTGCCGCGTATGGACATGGTGGCAGTGTCAAGAAATTGGTCCGGTAAGAACCTGCGTGAGTTCTCCATTTCGACTGCGGCTTACGAGGGTTTCTCGTGCAACACATTCTCATTTCAAGGGGGGGTAGGGTTTGCTTTCTTTTTGCAGCCTCCCCTACTAAAATGAAACAGAACCGACAAAGCCAACAAAAGCTAAAAGCAGGCCAAGAACAGTGACTTCCGTGTGCTGATATGTCCCCCGATGAACAAATGAGAGAAATATGTCCAGTAGTGATATAAAGTTCCTTTAAAACCAACAGGGGAAAATGCAAATATTCAGTTCAGCAAATGGAACACATTTGATGCGGAGTCTTCTCTCGTTGCTTTTGCTTTTTCGCATGTTTGCGTGGTCTTTGTACTTGTTTGCTTGCTTTGTGTTGTTTTTGGGGAGGGGTGATTCTTCGGTTTTGTTTGGTTCCCGAGTTCGCCCGGTTTTGGTCCCAAAAGCCGAAGCTGTTGCTAAAACCCTACTTAACTGGTTCATTTTTAGTAAGGGGGGCTGCAAAAAGCCAACAGCAGTCCGCAATCCGTTTGTTGCCTACCCGACTAAAACCGTTGGTTGCCGGCTGCGGCAGCGCCAGGTGTCCTTGGCCCAGGAGCTGCTGGAGAAGCTGTCGGCGGAGGCGCGGAAGCGCCCGGCGCCGGGGAACCCCTTCGCGGCTCAGCACGCGGTGGCGGAGCGCGTGGTGCACGTGAACCTGGTGCCAGGCGCCATCGGTTTCGGATCGGAGCGGAGTGAAGCGGGTGGCTGTGGGTGGAAGCGAAAGGGGTCGAACAGGGTTTGGCTCAAGCCGAAGAAGAGACGGAGCAGTCGAAACGAACGGCTCAACCCGAAACTCCAAGGTGAGATGGGTTCAAAATCGAAACCGGAAAGCGCCCCCCCCAAAACGCGGCTGGGCTCGAAAACCAGACGGGGAGATGGGCATAAATTCGTTAAATTGCTTGTGCGAATAGGCGCCGAACAAGGGCCGAGCTTTTTGGTCCGAGTTCTTGGTCGCAGACAAATGGTGCGGCCTGTCTGTGTGTACCAAAAGCTGCATAGATGGAGCAGCCCAAATTCCAATTGAGCCCAGGTGAACAGAGTAGGCGAGTCTGATATCCATGCCTAGCCTTTGTCGACTATCCTATAAGAGAAAACATGGCCTCCCCACAACTGCTCGCCGGTCTCCTCTCTCCCCTTCGCTTTTTTTTTCCCCTCTCTCCTGCTCTCTCCTCCTCTCTTCTCCTCTCTCCTCCTCTCTCCTCCTCTCTCCTCCTCTCTCCTCCTCGCTCCTCCTCTCTCCTCCTCTCTCCTCCTCTCTGCTCTCTCCTCCTCTCGCCTCTCTCCTCTCTCCTCTCTCCTCTCTCCTCTCTCCTCTCTCCTCCCTCCTCTCTCCTCTCTCCTCTCTCCTCTCTCCTCTCTCCTCTCTCCTCTCTCCTCTCTCCTCTCTCCTCTCTCCTCTCTCCTCTCTCCTCCTCTCTCCTCTATCTCCCTGACTCTCTCTCTCTCTCTCTCTCTCTCTCTCTCTCTCTCTCTCTCTCTCTCTCTCTCTCTCTCTCCTTTTTCCTTTCTCCTCGCTTTGCCTTTCTTCTTCGGTCTCCTGCCTCCTATCTCCTGTCTCCTCTTTCCCCTCGCCTTTCTCCACTCTCCCCTCTCTGCTCTTCTTCCTCGCGAGGCGGCACCGCGGCTTTCAGCCGATGCACGCAGCTCGGAAGCAGCGAGCGTATGGCGCGAGAGTCGACCAATAAAACATCCCAAGCCTTCCCACAACCTGCCTCCAGGACCTACCCAGGCCCCGCCCCCAAAGCAGATTGGTAAAGACCCATACCTGGCCAGTGGCAGGTCTTGTGACTGAATCTTGTCAAATCAGAAAGTAAATGGGGGTCGAAAAGGTGATTTGGGTTGAGAAGAAGGTCCCCCCTTTTCCATTTTGTCTGCAAAGGGGTTACCTTTCTGCGAGTTGGGGGCAAGCCCGACTCAGTTGTGGCTGCACAGCAAGAGCGATATGGTAGTAAACTAGACACTTCCCCGCCTTACAAACACTGCTTGGCTCTCCATGAAACCCCCAGAGCCCCATGTTTTTTTGGCGAACTCTCCGATAGGGACCTCCCCATCCTAGGTTCCATGTTAGTTTGCTGGGGACTCGCCATGTTACTGTTACTTGCTCAAGGATGGCAACGTCAACCCTGGCTTGAGGTTGCCGATGTGTCAAAACGGCAGAGAATCGGGCCCAACATGCTTGGTGGCTCCCAGTCATCCCCTTAGCTTTTTAGCTTTCTAGTGTTTAGTGGGGATTTCCATTGAACCCAGGGCAAAATGGGTGGGTCTTCCTTTGTCCCTAGAGCGACCAAAAGGACGGTGCCACGAGCCTCCCCAAAGCGCCGGATCCGAGAGGTCATGCAGTGAGCCGAGCGCCATCCTGAGCCGGGACCTCGAGAACCCCGCGGCAAAAAACAGGGCTCCGTGATTCACAGGTTTATTCGGCGGTGCGCCGGATTCGCCTCTCATTTAATGGGTGGGCCAGGCCGATGTCTTGGAAGGGGATTTGGGAGGGTGTCAGTGGTTTTTCGTGTCTCCCCCGTTTTGAGGTTTTAAAGGGAAACCAAAGGGGACCCACCCATATGGAGCTCCCCGATCTGGTGTTGTCTTCGGCGACTCTGCTGAGATAGAGCCCAATAAGGGGACCACCCAAAAGCAGACCACTCTAAATCAGGATGCTTTAGCAGTTTCCCCCATTCTTGCGGATCAGTCGCCACTTCCATTCTCCCAGTTGCCGAGTTTCTCGGCCGACTGACAAGACGACAATGGCTTAGGGCAATATTCAGGACAGGTGATGACGTTGGTCCTGAATTACGAATTTGCCCAGCAAAAAGTGGTGCCCAAATGAGACTTGGGCCAGGGCTTCTGTTTCCTTGGAAAAGAACTAGCCTACCTAAAAGAGGACCAACTCATGGTATGTTGTAGTTGGGGACACCTTAATGCGTGGATGCCACGTCTTCCCCCCATATAGTTTTAATCGGGTTCTAATCACCGGAACTCCAGAAACTCATTTAGGTTGGTTTTTAAGGGACACCCAAGCGAACCCATGACATATTTTCTGGGGTTCCTCCTATTTCCAACCTCTGGGGTGAGTGTGAACAGTTTTCTTTTCGCCCAAGTGGGTTTTCTGGCGGTTGACCCCACTACCCCAAAGCAGGTTTGTTTCCACATGCGTCAGGAACCATCCGTTGGTCAGTTTTAAAGGGACATCGAAACCACCCATCTCAGGGTCAAATCTTGAGGGGTGACACCTCAAACATCCACACATCAATGGTGACACCTCAAGCATCAACTGGGTATCCAATTTTTCAACCAGTGCATTTTGGGGTTGCCCCATTTTGGACCCGACCGGACGCGTTTCCGTTTCCATCGCTTGAACGCCCTGCACCGCGAAAGCGCTGAGGTGCGCGGGAGCGCGGGGGTTGGCTGCAGAAGCGCTCGGACCACCTGCGCCAGTGGCGCCGCCGCTTCGCCTGGATAGAGGAGGGACTCGGGGAGTTTTCAGGGCAAAAACTTTGTGTCAACTGGGGGAGGCCGAAACATGTGATTTTTTTGGGGGTTTAGCATGTCGTGTGGTTTTTGGGTGTACCCCGAAACCACCTTTGGCCCAGAACGGTACCGAGCCGCGAACAGCACACAGCCACTTGGGGTTAGACAAAGTTCCATCCTATCCCTATCGGGAACCCTTCGTCACAAGTGGTGGTCGGCCAAACCTAAATCGGGTGTTGTACTTTCTTGTGTTGGGGCTCTTTGTACAGGGCACTGGGGGAAGCCCCCTGGCCGGGGACAAATCCATGACGGGGATCTTTGGGGTCCAACTTGATCTTCCCATTTCGAACATCACGCAATGGCCCTTTTGGAACAGACGGCAATGAAAAGGGCCATATTTGGGATTCGTGTTGGTGCCTATTTTGAACTAGAGTAACGTTCAACTTGCATGTTCTCAGTGGGAATCCATTTCCCTTCCATCCGGTTCCTTTGCTTCACTTCATTGCACTTCATTTCACTTTGTTTCACTTCATTTTCCTTCAATTCCCTTTCAGGTCCCTGCAATTCCCTTTCCCTTCAGTTCCCTTGGGGTCTTCAACCATGTTCGTTCTTGCTAAGACCACGCCAGCCAGAGGAAAAAGTAACTTTAATTGCAAGAGGGACCCCGGGTAAAATAGGTGATGGACATGGACCCCATGTAAATGATGTCCCTAATTCAGAATCAGGGTGGTCCTTGCTAGTCTACCTTGTTGGAAAAGGGGTTTGGCGCCCCCCGCCCCCCCCCTGGCCTGATGAGCATGTGGAAACACACATTTTTAACAGGTGAACAAGGAAAGAGGAAACTGCAACAGCAACACCACTTGGAGGCACCCGATTGGTCCGACAGCAAACTCCCTTTCATGGATGCTCTGTCTTGTATAGGAAAGGGTTCAGCCAAATCCGCCATAAAACACGAGATTCACCACGCTTTGGTTTGTCTCCAAGTATGGTTTCCCAGTGTTTCGCTTTCAGCACGAACAAGGGGTGCGCTCTCTGCCCATGAAGCCGGAGACCCATGGACGTGTCAAAGCCATCAGGCCCCTCGTGGTGTTCGCACCACCTGTTCCCCGCAGGAGGGCGAGCTGCGCTTCGCCCCGGGGCCTGAGGCACGGAGTGGTGGTGTGGTTTCAGCGGAACCCCCACTCCCCAAAATCCGAAACTGGGGATGGCTGGGGAGTGTGGCTCGTTTTCTGGCTTAGGTGGAATCGCCAGCCCCGGAATGCCCCGAACCATCCCAGAGCCTATCTGGGCAGAGAGCGCACAACCTTCAGCGGTTGGGGAACGAAAGCCCCCGATGGAATCGAGTTTTCGGAGATCTCGGCGCGTGGTTTGCACCGGTCAGGATCCTGTGAAAACTCGAGTGCCACTCACCGCAGACAGCACTCGAGTGACGCTCCTGGGTGTCCCGGCTGATGTGGCGGTTTCCGTTTGTGAGTCTATGTGTGTGGGTTTGTCTTTTTCCCAGAATGGCTTGGGTTTTCCTTTGGTTTCCCTGAAAAAGCACATAAGCTCTGGTGATCCCCAACAGCATGCGGTGCTCTTTTTAGTGCTCGCAACACCCCTACCTCAGGGCCACCCCGGACCACCCCGGAGCATATCTGGGCTGAGACCCCAAAGCTTTCAGCTGTTGGGGAAAAGGGGAACCCTCAAAAAGAGACAGCTCCGTGTTTGTTTTTGTTTGAAAGAGACAGGGCAAAATGGAAGCCGTTTTATTTTAGGGTTGCCTTTTTTGCACACCAGCCTGCAATCCTTCCGAAGCCTGTTCTAAGAAGGTTCCGAACATGTTTCGTGGGATGGGGCGGGCCCCCCCTTTAGTTCTCAACATCTCCTCTCAGGGCAATGCCAAGCGAGCTTCCTTACAACCCACGTTTTCGCTCCCGCCAAATGGAGCTAGGGTGACAAGTCGGTTAGGCCAGGTCCAGCATCCAGGGTGAAATATGGTTTGGTTCCCTTTTGCGGGCCGTTTTGAAGACCAACAGGGGATTCCATATCCGATCTAGAGACCAACATGGGGTTTTCCTCGAAGGGGACCTTTTCTGTAGGATTGTCTTGAGGCAAACAGGGTCGGGAAGCCAACATCCCAGCGTTTGTGTTCCCCGCGAAGGACCATTTTTGAAGAGGAGGTGCAAAAGGAACATAGAAGCACCTGTAGGGCAAAACACATGGATCGCCAGTCAGCATTATTCCATTGTTAATTACTTGGCGACGTTCCTTTCTTGCCACCGACAAAAAAAGGGGTCGGGGTGTCAAATCTACCCCCTTAATTTGCCGAAGCTCGCCGTCTGCTTTGGACTTATTACCTTATTTAGGGATCCTTCGCTTTAGGACATACCTAAAACTAGGGGGAAACGGGGTCGGTTTCTGAGCAGATGGGTGAAGAGACAGCAAAGGAATCGAGGCGCGTTTGGGCGCCTACCACGAAAAAAGGTTTTTTGAAGAGCAAAAGATGGGGCCGGACATAGACGTTCAATCCTTCAATCCTTCACCCACCATTTTTCACCCACCCACCAACATAATGCCCCCTCTCCTCCCCCCCCAAAACCCCCAGCCCCGCCCCAGATGGTCATGAGCTTGACCTCGCGAGCCGCGAAGCCGCGAGAAGTTCATTTCCCGAGGCGAGCCGAGCGCGGAGCCTTTGCCGCCTGGCATGAACTCCATGATGTCCTTCCGCGCGGAGCAAAAAGAGGTGGAAGCCCCAGGCAGGGCGGCAGGAGGACGTCCACTGCCTCCACCACTGCCTCCCTACCCACAAGGCAAAGTGGGCGTACAACCATCATATCACCAAAAAAGAGGGTACATAGTGGTTGTTTTTTTGGATAGGTTCTGGTCAACACCCTTGGCTACTGGGAGTGGTGGATTGTAGCTCTTGGGCAACATTTCCCAGTCTGGCGTTTTCCCACCCGCTCTACGGAAAAACGTGGTTTTATATGTGGAAAGGAAAGAGTCTGTGCAGACAGGAGCTCACGTCTAAAAGCCCTCGTTGGGGTATCTTCCATGGGTTGAATCATCGGAGTCTTCGCAGGTGCACGGACATGTTTTATATGACAACGATACTTCTTGGTCTCGCTTTGATGGACTCAAAAGCAATCAACAAGTGACATTCTCACTTGTTGTCATCTCTTCTGAACCTTCTGGGGAAAAACCGTTTTCCCCTAGGGGGACCGTTTTCCCCCAAGTGAGCATTTCGCAATTCAAAGAGGCCATCTCTTCCGTGCGAAGCTTCGCGCGGCCCTTCGCTAGGCGAGGTGAAGGTGCCGAAGAACTTCCCGACGCCCTGGGCGTTGCGGGTACAGACGAATCCCAGCTGGTCAGGCGTCCAGATCTCCCCGAATTCGTAGCCGGGGAAATGAGGGTGTCGGTTGTCTTGTTTCCATGTTTCGAAGTGGGGGGAGTGAGTGAGTTGATTTTGAATGCCTTTTTTTTTGGAGGGTTGTATTGTCTTTCTTGCTTGTTTGGAGAGGGTTTTCACCCCCCCCCCAAGCGGGTTCCTGAGATGGCAGGGCTCTCATCTTTGGTGGGCTTTGCTTGTTTCATTTTGGGATCGTGCAAAGGAACCGCGGATATCCGCCTTCTTAAATTCTTGAAGCATGGTTCTGGATTCTGGCCATTTTACTACCGGGTTTTGATTGTGACTCATTTAGTGCCGGAGCACCTCGGCAGGCGTGGAGCAATCGGAGGGCCTCTCAGAGATCGCCACCTGCGAGGCGGCGGATGTGGCGATTTGCGCAGACACCGCGCCGTGGCCTATGCCGGCTCGTGTTCGCCCATGGGAAGTGGGGACCCGGCCGTTTTGGGGAGCCTGGTGGCCCTTGAAAGAGTTTGAGGAACCCCCCCAGAAAGTCACCTAAGCCGAAAGGTCGGGCAAAAGCACGCGCAGTGCGGACAAATGGCAGGGCTAGTTGCAAAGTTAGTTTCACTGATGGGAAATCAAGAGGGAACGCAAAAGAATGTTGTTTCAGTCAGAGTGGTCTAATGATATCATATTTGAAGGCCCCCAAAAAATGTTTTTTTTTTTTTTTTTTTTTTTTTTTTTTTTTTTTTTTTTTTCCGCCCCTTGGCTTGGCTTGGGATGTTTAAACCATAGGGCAAGGCGCAAGCGAAAAGGGGCGATCAACAAGGGGTACGTAAGGAGTGGGTAACCACGGGACTTACAACCCACCTAGGGGACTTACAAACTATGAAACCATTGGTCAAGTGGATTGGTAAGTACCACCTTGTTGGCTTACGCGCGGTGGTAAGGTAACTGGGCACAACCGAGCGCCATGGTTGTAGAAGGGCCATATCCATGATATGCAAGGACCTGTTGCACTAAGTACGTGATCGGTGAGGGCAAGTTTGAGAGAATCGGGCTCTTCGGCGAAGTGAAGAAGGGCGAAACCACATCGTCAATTTTTCCGATGGGTTTGTTGTGCATTTCCCAACTGCTTCGAAGGATTCTCTTAGATTGCCCCCGTCTCTGGGCTGAAATGCCATGTTTCAGAGGGGAGAGATGATTCGGGTGTTGAATCCTGGGCGGGCTCCAGAAGACTTTTCAAAAATGAGCCAAGGGCTGCCGTGGGGGACGCCTGTTTCATCTGTTTAGGATCCTCGCTGAAATGGTTTGGGGGCTGGGTTGTGGGGAAGCCCAGTACAATTTGAGAAATGAATCAAGGAAGTGCGGGGGAAAAACAACTGGAACAATGAATGGCGCAATACCAAAAAGCACAACAACACCAAAGTGATTCGAATCACACCAAAGGTCGAAACACAGCAAATTCATCAAACGCACAACTTTGGTACCAACATCACACCAAAGGTCGAATCACAGCAACAACTTTGGAAGCGAACTAAAGTCGAAACTCAGGGTAGAAGGCTTCCTCAGGCACCCATTCTGGTAGCATTCTGGTGGCGATTCCCGATCCCATCTTTCTTGGGAGCTCGAAAATTGCACGTAGGCAGCCAAACGTTTCCTTCATTTTACCACAGTTTTGTTGGTTGATTTACTTGCAGCATTTTGGTGTTTCAGAAGGCAATCCTCTAGATGCCATCAGGCAACAAGTTTATTGGTTTCTGTCAGTTTTGAGAAACGCAACTTGACGGAAGGAACTCGAACCCTGCGAATGTTGACCCCTAAATGAAGAACAGCCTCATCATTGTGGTCCAGGGTTCTCTTCGCGATTCCGTCTGAATTCTGATGAGTCATCATCGGGAAGCCTAAGCGGACCCTCCGGATGGACACAATCCTCAAAAATGCCATCAGGGAATCAAGCAGGAGACAAACATTGTCAGAAAATGTAAGTGTTGATTCCTCAAACATGCAGACTCCGTGGTGTCCCTTTCGGTTTCCCTCACTCCGGAAAGGAGCTATACCTATTTGATTTCCTGTCCCTGCTTCTTTGAGATTTCCTTTTTGCCTTCCCTGCCAAACCAGTTTTTGTTCCACCGTGGCAGACCCATGGGCCTGGTCAACATATTCAGTAGCTGACGGTCCGTTTGGCACCAAACTTCAATCGGGGGCCTTGTGCACCTGCACCAAACCTAAAGCACCAAATTATGTGGAGGCTGACGATGAGCACATCCCTTCGAAAATCCTTCGGATTGGGAAACCTATCCCAGAAATCTTCTGAACAGTTGTCTGGGGATGGTTTGGGTCCCAACCTCACTTCAGAACCAAGGCATGAGGTCAGTCCATCCCCGTATCGGGCACCTCCACTCGAGGCCGCGGAGCGGGATGCCTGGTTGCAAGAGCTAGCCGCTGCGGTGCGCTCCGCTCGGCGCTGCTGCATGCGCGCCTGGGATATTGGAAAACTTGGGTTTCAAAGGTCCCCCGAGTAGTGCCCTTTCTCACCCGTTTTTTGGGGGAGGGTTCCCTACTTAAATATATAGACTACAGAAAAAAGGGTACTCTTATTCTAACCTCTCTACTGGGACCTTTTGTGCCTTTCGCGGTCCACCAGTTGGAGACTCCGCAGGATCACAGAGGTGGAGACGGAATTTCCGCTGGGCTGGTGACAAGGGGCCTTCTCATGACTCCCCCCACTGGGCTTGTACGGAGCTTCCATATGGCCATGAATTTGAATCGGGAACCACCTCACACGTGGACATGAACCCCCTAGATGATGTCCCCCTTTTTTGGCCCCCCGAATTTTTCGGCACACTTACCACGGATTGCCCCTAATACATGTACCGTCCTTCCACTTTGGCACAAGAAACAAAGGAAACACTCGACATTCGCAAGTGGCGGATGCGCTCGGGGTACACTCCGTGGTTGCAACTCCCCCTTGGCCCTTATCAACTTAGATCAGCTCAGCGGATCGGACCCTCCTTTTGGGACAGAGGGCTTTGGTTTGTGTCATTGGTGCAGACGTCGACAAATCAAAGAGATATGAGTTTGAGATTCCAAAATGCTGCGTACAGGCAATAGCAAACTCCTGTTCGGCAGCCGGATCCGTGGTCGTACACATCTGACCTCAGGAAAGCTGGGAACTCTGTGGGCAGGTAATGCCCCCCACCTAAATTATGCGGTTGCAACCAGGCACCGACTCCAAAACAGCAACCAGGGAATATGATCAAAGTCTCCTTTTGTCACAAGTCAAAGGGCTCGCCAAGGGTCGGGAACTTTTGGTGGTGGTGTCCATTCCTTTTTATGTTAGGAAGCCACCCCTCTCAACTTTCGGTTCATTTCTCCTCCTCTCAACTTGGAAGGTGCCACAGTCATGGCGCCCGAGAACTTTGGGCGCGAGGCAGGTGGACATCAGAAGGGGAAATCGGCGGGGCGGCCGAATGGGGACCTCAAAGATGTATTATCCCTAGTTTAGTCTAACTGGGACTTACCCCTTTTTTCCCCACTTGCAGCTGGTTTCAACAATCTGCCGATTTTATGGCGAGCTCACCATGCAGATCCTTGCTTTGGGTTCCACCCAGTTTCGTACACTCCTTCGAGACAAGCGACTGATGTTGGTGATGCTGGAGATTCCAGTGATGCAGGCTGTTGATGCCGGGATGCTGGATGGAGAGGCTTGTCTGTCAGGGGTTTGAGGGATGCTCGCTGGGGATGTCAGTGTGCTCATTCTGTTCTTTTGCGTCGGACTTTTGAGGTCTATGTTGGGTGTCGGATTGCTTCCAAGTCCCCTGCGTCTACCATCGCTAAAGGCTTTGGCTGGCTGACTCTTGAGGGAGTCAGCTGGGGAATCGCGACAGGGTGATTTTATTTGAGATCACACCAATCACGGAATTCACGAAAGTGGTCAAATTGTTGCTTTCAGATTCTCCTCGTTACCTCTCACAGTCTCTCCTCCGAACCATTTCGTTGGGAATGCTCGTTCTGCTGGTTTTGCTTCCAAGTCGCCCGGCTGAAAAGCCTCTCGACCGTCGACCGTCGCTCGAGGCCTTGGCTGGGGGACTGTTGATGTCTATGTGGAGAGGATTTCAACTGGGTGACTTGAGTGATTTCAATCCAGTCACGGAAATCAACCAAGGGGCCAACTCCATTTTTTTCTTCTTCTTTTGGAGGCCCCTCAAAGCCTCCTTGAGGGCCCCTTCTTTTCACATCTCTCTTTTTTTCTGTTGGATTCCCTTGAAAACCATGTTGAGAATTGTTGACACACGCATAGCATTAGTTGCCCCAACAGATGCTCAATTTTTCTCAGGGATTCCCTTCGAAGCCACATTGAGAAGAGGTAGCGTATGACGGAAGGTTTGTCAGATGAGCATTGGAGACTCAATGTTGGCAAAGAGCCTTTGCCGTCGTTCCTTGGACAGATCATGGCGATCCGGGGGCGAATAAGCGCATACCTTGGCTTCCTTTCAGTTTCGTCGACCTGAGCAGGACAAAGCCATGCTTCCCAGAGTGCACTTCAGAAGGAATCTGCGCGCATCGACAGGCTTTTTGCTTCAGCTCTGTTTTGTACAAGCTGGTTTGCAGAATTCCGCCGCCAAACGTGGAAGTGCGCAGAGTTGTTTTTTTTGTGGAACAAGGAGCGATGGGCTTTTGGAAGGGGATTCAATCCGATTCTTAAGACTGATAGCAACGGATAGCTTCCCAAAAGCTGTGGAAGTGGAATCTGCACATATCGACAGCCCCCCAGTTTCAGTTTCGTCTAAACTGTTTTGAATAAATTCCAGGGAAGAAATCCTAAACCAAAGTGGAGCCCGGAAACTGTGGGGTTGCCTCACCCTTTGAGTGCAACTTACTGAGCCCAGAGGAAAAGCCATCCAGACTGCTCCATAGGCCCTGCTGGGAGAGGGGCTCCTTGCCGACCACGACGCCGGGCGCTACGAGGTGGCGCTCGAGGCGGGCAAGCAAAACACCCCACTTGATGGAGACATGTGCTCTGGGTTCAAGTCCAGTGGTTGCGAGCGAGGAGAGGAGTTAACAAGGAAAAAACGGATTTTCCAACAAGCAACGGATTGACGGGGAAGGCAGAAGCCTATTTAAGGCACTTTGGAAGGTCTAGGCGCGTGCGTGTGAGAATTGTGGCCATCTCACGACAAGAGTAAATGGGTTCTTGCACTCCACCAAGCAGGGTCAGAGTGAGTTGGTGAAAGTCGACCCCCGAAAGTCCACAAGGGGCTTTGTGAGCGAAGGGCAAAAAACGTGAAGACGGACACCAATGCGATGGTTGTAAAACAGTGCGAGTAGCCGTCTGTTGACCGCACCCCGCAAGGCCATTCTAGTTTTTTAGGCCCTATTCGGCAAGTCGATTCTCGGCTCTGAAGCTGAGTCAAAGGATGGCTATTTCAGGCACTGGGGTGAAGTGTCCCTTATGAAGAGAAATCCACCGATTCCCAGAAGTGGTTAGAACATGTGTAGCTTGTCACTTTAGTTTGCCCCCTTCGGAAAATGGGTGTGCACTTGAATGAACATGGTTGTGGGTCAAAATCCCGTGCCCCCGGTGAACATCCAAATCCCCACTAAAATAGGTTCTAAAATGAGTGGTGCACCTAGCCCAAACTGGTATGGTTTTGACCCACAGCCACATGGTTCTGGCTTGAGGTTGCCACTTGCGAGGGACTCAAGAACATCCCCCGGAAGGCGAAGCCCAATGAACAGAATCACTGAGAGGGATCCAACTTGCAAGCTAATAGGTGTTCTTTGAACACCTGTGGGCTTTTCAAAGTCTTGAAGTTGTTTTCTTGTTTTTTCCCCCTTGTTTAAGAAGGGTAGATGGATCGCCGTGACAGGTACCCTTCCCACAAACCTGAAACCACAGGAAGGCAAAGCATGGGGCCAGACAGGTTCCCTGGGTAAGCACCATGGAAGCTGGCTGCGAGCAGAACATTTCTCTTCAAAAAGGTAAATGGTCTTCCCCCCAAAAGTCAGGTTCCATGTTAATTGGAGGGTAGGTTTAGAGAACCTGGGGGTGGCTACTACTGAGCTGATTGCGGTCGACCTTTTACGACTTCCTCATGGAAAGCCCTCAGGGTGGCAATGGATTTCTCTTGGCGGTATGTCAATGCGGTCCCACCCGCGGCCATTAAAGATTGGCGCTCTCGGCTTTTTTTTGCCGAACGCCAGTACCCTCAAGAAGTTGGTCTAGCACGTGGTTTAAGTTGGGGGGATCATTGGCCAGCAGGCCGTGAACATGCCCCCTTCTTTCATTTGGGGTGGCTTTGATACGTTCTCGGAGAAGGTCATGTTTAAGCAGAGTGTTCAAATGCCTCCAGTGGAATGCCAAGCATTTGGCAAACCCCAACAATTTAAGTGGGAAATGCGTCTCACTTCACATTGTTTTTTTCTCGTCCTCCCCAAACCAAGTTCCAGCCATATGGCTGTTGTCTTCCCTGGAGGGAACACCTCCTTGTCATGGCGGGCCTGGCAATGGGGTTTTGGGCTTTTCGCGCTTCGTAGCATTCGCCGCAGACCATCATCGACCAGCTCACAGTTGCTGAGACAGAATCCGCCCGCGCGAGTACAGACGAAAAAGGGGCAATGTTAGGCTCACGCCTGGGTTCTTGGTTTCGCCGCCTTCAAAACAAAGGGAAGGATCCTGAAAGTGGTTGTGATTTAGGTTTGGCTGCCATTCTCGCTTAAGGAACCTTGTTCGGGGGTCTTCCTTTGGGCTGCTTAAAGAAAAGAGCAAGGTATGCATCTAGGTGAACACGGATCCAAACGGGACCCATAGGACCCCTGACTTGTGCACCACGTTTCAAGTTGCAACTGACCCTGGAAAGACACTTAGGCCTTTCAGACAAGACACATGCTGGGTTCTGAAGGGAACCCACCAAAGGAACAAAGTCGTCTTCGAGGATTTTGAGTTGGAAACCCACCCAAGGTCTCCTTCACCCGGAAGGGTTTAAACCCCACCTCCACATCGGACGGATCGGGAGAACGAGGTCCTTGAACGCCACCACCGTGGACTTGGCCCGGGTCTTCCGCCGGGCGCCCGAACCCTTCGCGTGTCGAGGCTCGGCTTTTGGATCGGAGCGCTCGGTGGCCGTTTTGTGCGGTTTCAAAGGGAAGCCGGGTTGAAGCGCCCGGCCCAAATTTTTGGGTCCCAACAAAGCCTTCAATTCCCCTTGTTTGCCCCACCGCAGCACACACTCATTTGGGCGTGGCTCGTGTTTCTGTTTGAGGTTCGATTGCCATTTTGCGGGGTAAGGGAAACCTTGTATGTTTGGGTCCTTTGACACACCCATTTGTAGACTCACTTGCCTAAGGCGAATCGACCTCAAACTGACCCTTTGGTTCCTCTTTTTGGTTCATTTTTATTCATGGCTCCAAAAGGTCAGCCTTTCTTACTTGGGTCCCGCGCGAGTCGCCGAAGGTCCATTTTAATTGAAACTCCAGGAGCGCAGACTGCAATTGTTGAAGCAAACTCCCTTGGACATCAAAGGACCCCCCTTTCCATGTGAATGAAAGTTGTTGGTGCGGTGCACTTAACCTCCGCAAAATAAAACTGAGCAAAGAGGGGGCAATATTTGGAGCCTCGTTCTCACCCCGGTTGCCGGTGAGTAGGATCCATCTCTGAACCAAGTCCTCCCTTTCCAATCCTGCAACTGGACTGCCCACCTCGAGAGAACTATCTTGCAAAGCTCTTCCGTCAGCTTCCGTAAGTGTTGGAATAATGATGTTTCGCTTGAAACGCCAAACGAAGCCACGATGCAAACCTGGTACCAAAGGTGTAGGCCTTCTTGTCGCAGCGAGTGGCAAGCGAGTCCGCCGAAAAGTCCAACAGAACGATCTGGGGCCAACATGTCCTGCACCAGTTCTGGCGAGAAAAGACGCCAGATCCCCTACATGGGGTATAATACAGTTTGCATTCGGAGTTTACCCTTTGTGCACGAGGTTGGGTCAACATTTCTAGAAGTCTGTGGTGAATTTGCATTGCCCACATCTGCTCCACCTGAGGTGATAACATCCGTGAAGACGACCTTGTTGTGTTGGTCTCAGTCGAAGCTGAGGGTGGCTCCTGGTTGCATAGATGTCCAACCCCTTCCGAGTTGGAGATTGCGCCACTTCATTTTTGTCTAGATAACTTTATAGTCTGAGTTTGATGTTATTGGATCGGCCCCAATTTTCCCAGCACCCTCTCGGAGTCTGAGCAACAGCTGCAAGCTTTGGGGTCTCTGCTCAAATCGTTTTGAAACAGCTTTCGTTGAGGGTTATAGAGTTATGGAGGGTTCCGGAAACTTGGGTTCCTCAAGCAAACGATCTAACGACTTCTGCTGGGATGTGGATTCAAGTAGTCAGATGCCCTCGACAGGGATGGGATGGGACTCGACAGGATTCAAGCCCTCCGGTTTATCGAGAGTTGGTCATGTACAAGTCATCATACAAGCATCCTTTAAGGGTTTTGTATTTCATACATATTGCACATTATATATATATGCTGCATCTCGAGATACGTGAACAACATTGTAACACACACACACACACACCCAAACACAGGCACATGACGAATTTGAACACGCATAAACATTGAAAGGCAGAACGAACCTAAAATAGTAATATCGGTAGACAGATAGCAAGATAAAGCCATAGAACTATAGACAGACAGAAATAGGAATGATAGGGATACAAATACAGACAGACGCACAGACGGTCGGACATAGACAGACAGACAGACAGGCAGGCAGGCAGACAGACAGACAGGCAGACTGACAGACAGACGGACAGACGGACAGACAGACAGACAGACAGGTGGGTAGGTAGGCAGGTTGATGGATGGATGGATGGATGGATGGATGGATGGATGGATGGATGGATGTATGGATGGATGGATGGATCGATGGATGGATCGATGGATCGATGGATCGATGGATCGATGGATCGATGGATGGATGGATGGATGGATGGATGGATGGATGGATGGATGGATCGATGGATCCATGGATCGATGGATCGATGGATCGATGGATGGATGGATCGACAATCTATAGATAAAGCAATTTGACAAGCAGTAAGCAAATTTAAATTACGAAGCACATAACGCAGCACATGACCAGACGTGCGCAGACATGACACGTTCCCCATTTGCGACAATATTATTGGTAAGCAGGACCACCCAGTTGCCATGTCCTCTTGCCGAACAAGTAGTATTGTTTGCGGGTCATATTGAGCAATGAGTTTGATGATATCTACATGAGCGAGTCCCAAGGTAGATCGGCAATATTGAGAAAGCACTGCTGGAGTTTCGTACCCAAGCTATGCTTAGCAATCCTGGGGTGTGGGGGTGGGCTGATTTCGCGGGCCACAATCGCTTTGCAGCTTTTGCCAACTCACCATGCTATATAGATGATTTAGGAGGTTCCTCAGCAAGCCTTGTAGGCTCAATTCCCCCTGTCACTGTCCACAACAGTGCCTGTTTCTTGCTTTCTTTCGTTTCCGCCTCTCTCAAGTGCATACATGACAAGCTTTTCGGGTCATTCACCAGCACTTGCTGTTGGGGTCCCTTTATCTTCCACGAACCCCATACCAACATGGGCCCCTTTGTGGTTTTAAAAGGAGAACAACATGAAAAGCGCATTTTTGAGGGGTCCAACCTCAAGAAAGACGATCCCCTATGACGATGTTGTTTTTCCCGAAAGCATGGCGAAGGGTTCTTCCGCTGGGTTCACTTGAATTGTTCTCATGAGAGTCATTACAAGGTGTCATTGCAAGGAATCATCATCATGAAAGTCAATGCAAGGAGTCATTGCAAGGAGTCATTGCAAGGAGTCATTGCAAGGAGTCATTGCAAGGAGTCATTGCAAGGAGTCATTGCAAGGAGTCATTGCAAGGAGTCATTGCAAGGAGTCATTGCAAGGAGTCATTGCAAGGAGTCATTGCAAGGAGTCATGCACTTGCAACTTGCACTTGACTCCTTGCACTTGCAACTTGACTCCATGCACTTGCAACTTGCACTTGACTCCATGCATGCACTTGGCTCCTTGCACTTGGCTCCTTGCACTTGGCTCCTTGCACTTGGCTCCTTGCACTTGCAACTTGCACTTAACTCCGTGCACTTGCGACTTGCACTTGACTCCATGCACTTGGCTCCTTGCAACTTGCAATGGCTCTCATGACTCCTTGCAATGACTCCTTGCAATGACTCCTTGCAATGACTCCTTGCAATGACTCCTTGCAATGACTCCTTGCAATGACTCCTTGCAATGACTCCTTGCAATGACTCCTTGCAATGACTCCTTGCCATGACTCCTTGCAATGACTCCTTGCAATGACTCCTTGCAATGACTCCTTGCAATGACTCCTTGAAACAAGCAAGGAGTCAAGTGCAAGTTGCAAGTGCAAGGAGTCAAGTGCAATTGACTTGCGAGGAGTTAAAATCTCTTCTTAGGGCGGCGGGGTAGTGCCGACGACACTACACGAAAATCGACCCTCTGCGGGGATCGGCGTGGTCGAGGTGCAAAAACCCATGGTTTTTTGCGATTTCTAAAGTGCTCGCGCGACCCTCTGCGGGGATCGGCGTGGTCGAGGTGCAAAAACCCATGGTTTTTTGCGATTTCTAACCTGCTCGCGCGACCCTCTGCGGGGATCGGCGTGGTCGAGGTGCAAAAACCCATGGTTTTTTGCGATTTCTAACCTGCTCGCGCGACCCTCTGCGGGGATCGGCGTGGTCGAGGTGCAAAAACCCATGGTTTTTTGCGATTTCTAACCTGCTCGCGCGACCCTCTGCGGGGATCGGCGTGGTCGAGGTGCAAAAACCCATGGTTTTTTGCGATTTCTAACCTGCTCGCGCGACCCTCTGCGGGGATCGGCGTGGTCGAGGTGCAAAAACCCATGTTTTTTGCGATTTCTGCGGTGCTCGCGCGACCCTCTGCGGGGATCGGCGTGGTCGAGGTGCAAAAACCCATGGTTTTTTGCGATTTCTAACCTGCTCGCGCGACCCTCTGCGGGGATCGGCGTGGTCGAGGTGCAAAAACCCATGGTTTTTTGCGATTTCTGCGGTGCTCGCGCAACCCTCTGCGGGAATCGGCGTGGTCGAGGTGCAAAAACTCAAGGTTTTTTGCGACTTTTGTTGTTCGAACTGGTCCTCGGGAGTTGTCTCGTGGTTCGCGCGCCTGCTCCCGGAACCGGCGGGTCGCGGGTTCGATTCCTCCCTGGTCCGCGGGCGGGCGTCGCAAGATGCAACTTGCATTTTACAGCAACTTGCGCAGAGCAACTTGCGCAGAGCAAGTTGCACAGAGCAACTTGCGCAGACCAACTTGCACCGACCAGTTTGCGCAGAGCGCCTTGCCTAGAGCAACTTGCGCAGAGCAACTTACGCAGAGCAACTTGCACAGAGCAACTTGCACAGAGCAGCTTGCACAGAGCAACTTGCAGGGAGCGCAATTTGCACAGAGCAACTTGCAGGGGACGGAGCAACTTGCAAGCAGAGCTTGCACAGTGCAACTTGCGTAGAGCAACTTGCGCAGACCAACTTGCACCGACCAGTTTGCGCAGAGCACCTTGCCTGGTGCTGTCTCGCGCTTGCTTCACGAAGTGTAGGGAAAAAGAACGCATCCTGCAGCGTTGGGCCGACCTCGCTTGCGATGTTCTGCTTTCGGGCCAACCGTGGTCTAGTTTTTGCAGGTCATGCGAATGGACTGTGAAGGCGCCGAGTACGAGCTTCTGAGGCGCATCGGAGTTCACGTGAAGCTTTAGTCGGTAGTTTGGGTTGTCATGTTCACAATACCGAAGAGAGAAACACCCTGGGTCAGGTAACACTTACAGGTAGCTCCGTAGTTTGGATGGCGGGATTCGAACGGGTCCCTGGTTCTCATCGAGGGTAAATGGGACACCACCCCGTTTCACCTGCAATCCATCAATCAAAGCCTCCAATGAGACGGAAGCTGACTGGTGGAAAATCGGGGGTGAGACGAGAATCAGGTGGGGAGTTTTGTCCACCAACCAGTTGTTTGAGTGGGTTCCGTATTGAATTCCAAGAAACACCTTGGGTTTAGGGCCCGTTTCTGTGATAGCAAGGGAATCTATAGAGCGCGCTACGAACCAATCCTCCCCCCCGAAGACCACCAAAGACCCGGTCCGGTCCTCGACACCAAGTCCCTTGGTGGGTGCTTTGAATGTCACCGCCGTGTTTTCGAAAATGTTTCGGTTCCAACGAGTCGGTTTTACCACACCGTTTGGAAGGACCAAGTGAAAGTGGGTTTTCTTTCGCTGCGATGTTTGGAGGAGTCATTTGAGGAACGCTCATCTAGAGTTTTCCCGCAGGTTGCGCATGCGAGTGTGTGCTTTTTCCGAGTACCCTTTTCACCTTGGTTTAAAGCAAAAGCATAAGGAACACCATTTTGGGTGTGCTTGGACACATTAGCCACATAGCCATGTGGATGTGTCAAGAATGGTTTGCATGTCTGCAGAAAGCACCATTGAACAGGCGCCCTCGACATGTGAGCAACTGACAGACTGGTCGTTTATTGTTACGATTAGTTTGAGGAGGACATGGGGGTCCATACAAATTCCCCACAAAAAAAGGGGAAAAACAAAAACAGGGGGATTGACAAAATATCCTTCTCAGCCACGTGCGCACTTGGACTTGGGGCTTTCCTTGGTGCAAGATGGATCTTGTCAAAAGTTGGGCTCTACGATGGTGTCATTTTGGTGTCCCAAGGTGATTTTGATTTTCACATCGGAACTGATCACCAGCCGTTTGTTTTGGTGGTAGCTAAGACGCACGTGAGGTCTGTTAAATCCGTTTCAAATGGCTTTGGGGTTGGTAGTCCTGGCGTCCACTATACCGGGACTGGGGCGGTTCTTTGAGTTGACCGAAAACCTGGAGAGCTTTTATTAGACCTCAAATGGATAGCAGAAAGAAGGCAAGCCGGATGTGCACACCACTAAAATGGTCCACCCAAAAAGGTAAAGTTCATGAACTCAGGAAGTGTCTAGCCAACCAGCCAGCCAGAGTCAAACAAAAGTCCCGAATGCCCTCAAATACAAGACAGCTCGAATGCCTCAATGGCCAAAACTTCCAGTCTATCACCCATTTGGGATTCGGCGCACCAGAATTGCTATCCACTGACAGACAGGGTTTCCTCCCACCTGTAAAATCGCAGCTTTTAAGGGGGAAGTCCAGGGACTCTTGACACAACCCACATTTTCCCTCGTCTGGGGCAGAGGATCGGTTTTGATCCAGGCACTTGCTGCTCACCGGCTGGCTCTGCAAGTTGAAGCGCCTGTGCGCCTGCCTTTTTTGCCCGAGCTGAGTTGGTGTAAATGGCAAGGGTTTCTTTGCTTAAACCAGTGGATTCCAGTTACTATAGCCCAATAGTACCCTCCGACTAACATTGAACCTGACGTTTCGGGGTCCTGGAAGACTGGTTTCCTCTAAAGGGGACCCTCTGGGTTCCATCTTGGTGGGCAGAAGGGTAGGTACCAGCCTTTTCCGTTCAGTTTTGAATGGGCGATTGCCCAATAGGTGCATGGATCCACTGGGTAAACGAACATCGAGAGCCGATTTCTGTTTGCCATTTCAGTGGTTCTACTCCTGATTTGACAAAGCTGATCGTAAGGCCTCTCTAAACCTTGATAGGCCGATCCAGTCGCCGAGTTTGGTTCACCAGTTTTGCCTCACCTAACCCCCTCTGGGCTAGAAAGGGGTCACCGACACATGGAATTGACATTGTTTCGTTGAGTCTGCTTGGCTGCTACTCAAGGGGAGACGACTCATCTGGTGATCATGCCAGAGGTCGGAAAAACCAGACCATGTAATGTTAACCCTGCATTGATAACCCCTTGTTGCTTAAAAGGGATGTGTGGGTTGATTCATGTGGGATACACATTCACCATAGGTCTGTGAGCTTTGGCAGAGGGTTCCCATGAAGAACCCGGGCCCAACCACAACGAAACCAAGGAATACGCCGGGGCCTATTTGGTGCGTCCTTTTTGGGCGGGAGCCCATCTTTTGGTTGGTTTAGGGAGCAGCAGGAAGCCGATTTTGGGCTCCAAATTTCGTGTACAGCTCTTCCCATTCGACACAATAGGCCCCACACACACACACACACATACAGACATACACATACACATACGCATGCACACATGACACACATGTCTTTTGGCCCACCTGTCGCTTTGGAGCTTTCTCTGACTTCGAATCCGCGAATTCCAATTTGATGCGTGCAGGTACTTGGAGGCGCTCTGGGGCCCCAGCCGCCCTTGGTGTTGCCAGGGTTCGCACCACGTTACATTCTAGGCGATTGACCCACATTGAAAAAGGCGGTATGAAGGCCAATTTGAAAGCATCCAGTGGAAGTTCCGTTTCCTTTCGGACACAAAGAAAGTAGCATCTAATTTCATTTCACCCTGATGCGATCTATGCACCGACCAAATTCTCATGGCAGGCCCATGCCATGTCTCAGCCGAAGCTGAACAAGCACCTTGGACTGACTGAGGTTGACTTGGTGGGACCAATTTCTGTGATACCATGGGACCGCCTTTTAGTGATAAAGTAGTTCATGGGAATGGCCTACTTCTTTGGAATCACAGAAAGGGTGATTGTGGGATGGGGTGGGTGTTGGGCCAAAGGTTGAAAAAGCCAGATCGAGGTACTCCTTAAAACGCGAACCAAGAGGAAGAGGTTTAAACAATGCGTGTTTGGCACGTTTAAGCAGTGGTTTGGCCAGGGGTTGGGAATGACCCTATTGGTGACTGAAGGTGAAGTTTCGTTTGGTGGGTTCTCCACGTCTCTGCTCCGAGGGCAGAAAGTTGTTTGCGGCTTGCTTCGATACAGAGCGGGAGTTCCTTTGGCACGGGAAAAGCTGGCACTTTCGACTAAATCGCTAAGCAAGGCTGGAACCTTTCCAGCGTGTTGAAAGGAGTTCGGGGCCGGCCAAGTACGTTGATTCCCGCTTCTCTTTTTGCCGAGTTGCCAAAGAGCACGAGTGCCACATGGCAAGTTGACCAGCGGCGAGCCTCTAAAAGTTGGGCTTTTCGGGATGTGCCATGCTCCAAAGGCCTACTCCACCATTGAAGGGGTCCCATGGACCATGGTTTTGGCGGGTTTCATCCATTTGGTTAGGGTGAGCTAGCCTTTTAGGAACCCAAGTTACAGGATTTTTTGTTTTGTTTTGAGAACCGTTCTTTTAGTGCATTTGTTGCCACACGCGTTTCTTGGTGTAAGCCCATCCCAAGAAGTCCTTTCCCCCAACTTAGCTTCAAGGCGCTTCTAGCTTGTGTTACTCTTTGGTGGTTTATCCAAGCACCATTCAGTCGAGGCCCTTTGTGCTTTGGCTCCCAGCTAACCTTCAAGACCTTTGGCAGAATGTCGGTTTCCCAAGGACATGAACAGCGAACTGGCCGGGATCAAGACCATTTCCGAGGAAGCCACAAGGAACCCACCCATGGGTTCGAGCTGATTCTTTCGGCTTTACATGAAATGCAAGAGTTGTGTCATGATGTCATGGCAAGGCCCCGCTTAAGCAAAACCCCGAGTGGCAAAAGCGGAAGCAACCGAAACGCGCTGAGCAAGCACGCGCGTAAGCTCTGCTTCGTGTCTGCTTGCAGTAGTTGTTGGATGCCAGGGGCTAACCGCCCCTTATTCTCAACGGGGCCGCAGGTGTGATATTGAAATCCTTTTCAAGACCAGAGGGCTATCGCACACCAGATTCAGGACTAAGGGGGCCCAGGCGTGCAAGCAGGCGCAAACAGGCGCGTAGGGTTTGCATAAGCTCGCCAAGCACGGCTGCCCGCTCGCCCGCATGAACTCTGGAGAAATGCTGTCAGACAGCTGAGCAAACGTGTTACACAGCAAAGGCAACGAAAAACAGCAGCGCAGTTGACTTGCCTGAGAACAACTTTTCTTCATCAACTTCCTCAGAGTCCTCCACGTCATCTTGAGCAGTTTTTGGCGGCTATGCTACCGTCCACGACATGGAGACTCCTGCCGCGCTTTCACAGTTTGCACAGAAATTGGCAGCACTTGCAGGTCATGTTGCTTAAACAGGTTGGGGCACCCTCATTGGTTGGTGACAAATCTCCAGTTGGAAGGCTGGGAAGTATCCAAATTTGCTTCTAAACACGGGGGCCGGGGAGCTACCAGGAGGTCTGTACGGATATAGCTATGACATCTTAATAAGGGACCCTTTGGTGGACATCATTTAGGTGGGGATTCATGTCCACCAATCACTTTGAGGCGGTTCTCTATTAAATGCATGGCCATATGGTTATCATGACCTCCGGGTATTGGAATTCATGGGCCCGTTGGTTTTTAGGTTCCGCACCATGGACGTTCTGCTGCCGTGGCTGCTGGAGCCTTGTGGCACGCAGGCGCCAGTTGGCGAGTTGGCTCGCGCGCAGAGAACACATGAGCTGAAGAGGAAGCCTAAGGGGAACCAAATGGGTATGCTTAAAAATGGGGAGAGGGACTTCACACATTGTGGGTTTCCTTTTGGTTTCCCTTTCAATCAGCATAAGACAGAGAGCCTCAAAGCAAACACACTCACAGCCAAGTAGCCAAATACCTTGATACCCTGTTCACTCGGGTAACGTCGCCTTCCGGGTTGAATTTGTCTTGCGGCAGAGTAGAAGGTATTGCCTGTTAGATGAGGCACACCCCCCTACGAATCAACCAGAGGTTTACAAGTCCTGGGGTATCATTCAGAAGGGGACCTTGTGGAGGTTTGTCTTTCCACATATTGCATTGTTCTGCTTTTGTTTTGAAGATTGTTGCTTTCGCAGCAAAATAAGATGTGGCCGCCAGAACGGTCCTCGCTTGATAGGTAAGCATAGATTCAGGAGTAAACAACCATCAAATGCAGCGTGATGCCTTGTCAATCCCAAGGCGCCATTTGCGTTGCTCATGTATAGAAATACATGTTCCTGCGCCCGGTTGTGCTACACAGCTAGGGCCAAAGAAGGGAATCATATGTTTTTTTGTGTGTTTTTTTCTTTTGACCCCCCCACCCCTTGTTGCTCCTGCGGCACACAAGATATAGCCAACAGAAGGGGCAGCAGAGCAGAAGCATCTGAATATTACAAATACTTGTGGCATAGTTTGTCAAATGGATTGTGAGCTGGCTTGCTTTTCGAATTTTGAATGTCAGTAGCTTACATGGGCATTTCTGGGCTGCCTCACTCGCTCCTTCCTTTATGGCCAATTGACAAAATTATTAGCGCAATCATCCACCAAAATTATGAGACTAACAGCAAGTGGTCGGCAGTCCTTCTGGGATCACCTAGCCCATTTTTGTAAGTGGCTTTCTTTAGACAATAAACAGCAACACCTGGTGCGGGATGCAAAGGGCTGCCGTGCCTGGATGAGGGTCCTTCCCCCAGTTCCCTGGGACAAATGCGCCTCCCAACATGCTAAGCCGCCATCCCAGCTCGGCGACTGAGCCTTCCCATTGGCCGTGGGGAATAGAGATCACGAAATGTGAGGGGTGAGGCAGACCTGCAAGTGGGCAATCATTTCTACGATAGGCCTCTAGCTCCTATGCAAACTGGTGGCATGCAATAGCTGACATGGGAGAAGGCAACAAGTCATACTTTTTTGCCTTGCGCAATTCACAGGAACTGAACACCATTTTGGATGAGTAGATCCCTTCTGGTCACACCAAGAAGTGACGATGTTCGTCCAACAGGAAAACAGACATGCTATACACTACAAGATTGTTTTTGTTTGAAGAAACATGAACATGACATTTCTTGGGTGCATCTTGTGGGTGCCCTCACTGCTGCCTGTCGTTCCCCATCGTTTGCCACATTGTGTTTACGTAGGTAGTACCTCGTAAAGTTTGTCGAGCACTTGGTTTCTCAATGTGGATACCTCCTTGTGTAGGCATGCTCTCACCTCTTTTTTTGGGAATGTTTTGTTGATATATTTGTCTTGCACACTACCCTTTTATTGCCATGCTCTCTACTCTGCATGACCACCTTGGGTTTGGTTATGCGAATGCCTCGCGGTATCGCCCACGCACCCGCACTGGGTTCATTTTGTTGAAGGCTTCTTTTGGGGCCGGTCCACATTTTGAGAAACACACATTCGTTTCTCACATGCACATCTGGCAAACGGCTGCACCCTGAAAAGTGCGCACCCCCCGGCGTGTCAAACCGAAAACTACGGCCCTAACAAGGGGCAACGTTGACTCATGCAGGTTTCACCAAATCGGGTCCTTTACCCTCATTCCAGCAATGAGTGAAAGCTTCCATTCCGGGCGGGGTCCGCGTTTGCCGCGTCATCCGCGCCATTTAGGAGTCTTCTGTTGAGCGCCGCAAGATGCGCTGAAAGCTGTTCAGGGCACACTGGTCTACAGCGCTCCCAACCAACAGCCTGCTTTCTTTACTTTACGATGGTTCTGCGAGTGCTTCAACGTACGTGAAACGCGAACGGGCGGTATGCAGCCATGGCTTTTCATGCTTCCGTGCACAATCACCTCGAAGGGACTGCGCCATACAGCTTTGCTTGTCAGGGTTCCAGGCCTGATGCCGAAGCTCCACAGCGTCTGTATGGAAAACATAGCCAGCCCAGCAAAACGTGCTAGATGTCCTGAGCAAGCGTGCTCGAACTAGAAGTCCGAAAGAGAGACGATCCACGCGAGCTTGTTCCAGAAGGCCTGGAGGTTTGAGACATGGGCACCATTTTGTTCGGCCGTGGCCGATGTTTTGTCGCCGATCCACAAGGCTTTGCTCAAACCAGTCTTGTCTGAGGTCCAGCATGGCTTCCAGCTTCAACAGAGGAGGCAAGATATGCGAGGCTTGAAGAGGGGCACGGCTAAGTCAAGGGCCAGCCTTTTGGCGAAGCTTGCGTCTCTTCACAAAACGCTCCAAGTCTGCGCAAAAAAGACCTTCAGAAGCACTTGGCTATGTGGCAGCGCGTGCGTGATGAAACCGACAGGTTGGGGGACACGCGTGGGCGCAAACACAGAGTGCACGGATGTCACGCTAGGGGATGTGAGTCGCAGGAGGAGATGGAGGCCGTGTGATCGCAGAGAATGAAGCCCATCCTTGAAAGAAGAGAACGCTGAGTGAAAAGTCTGCCAGCAAGAGAAGCCAAGAGGGCGTAGCAGGAGCTCGAACACAAGCATACGTGCGAAAAAGGGCGCTTGGGCAAGATGCCGTAAGACGCTGTCGCACAGCGCTGACGCATCACCCCGCCCAAGCAAATACAAGGTTTGAAAAAGAATTTATTGCCAATCCATTTTTGCGCACAGCCAGAGAAGTGCCACATTGCGCTTAAACCAGCCCAGGCTTCAGTGAGGTGCCTCTTGAGCCTGGTCACAAGGTTGGTCTCGAGTGGTATTGCCGGGATACATTGACATATTGTTGATTTATGCACATATGTACGCGAATTTTGTTGTTCATTTGCTACTGTTGTTTGATACATTCGGCACGCGTATTTTTTGAGTTCCCAACCGCTTCCCATGCTACTATTTCATTGTTGATGCACTGGTGTTTTACAACTTTCACACTGACATATTGGTATCTCATTTGTCGGTGTATTGTTCCGTATCGGTTTTCCAGTTGTTATTGATATTGGCATAATACATTGACGTGCTATCAATCTATTGTTGACACGTTTGTTGATTTGCTGATTTCCTGAACATTGTGTGTATCATGAGGCAACACGCTATGAATGTAGTATGTGCTGTTCAGATGTTCGATTACCGATGTATAGAAACTATACTGCTGCATTGATACGTGTGTGCGCGTGTGGGTTCTCTGTGTGTTTTGCGTGTTCCTTCTTCGCTGCTGGCCCGCCGTGAGCGGGCCAGCCGCGCAGCTATACCCTTGAAACCAGACGGCGCAGACCAGGCGGCGATTCAGCGCAGACGGGGCAGACGGCGAACACGGCGCAGACGGCGCAGACGGCGCAGACGGCGCAGACACACGTGCAGACACGCTGTCCGCCCACACTGAAAGCTTCCGGGAAGGCAAAGAAGTCTTCCATCCCCCCCCGCCCATCAGCTTCCATGATTGCTGGAGGGAGGGTGTTTGTTCTAAAAAGCTTTGTTGTGACACATATGCATGTGGCCATAAATTTCAACGGGGCCAACCCCAAACAAGGTAGTTGGGCAGAAGAACTCCAAACATGCTTTGACGATGTCCAGCGCCAATGAGGCAGACACCCGCGCACGTCATTGGCCCCCAGCCGAGCCCAGCTTGCCAGGTATTTGTGGATTCGAACTACCACAGCAGCTTGCCAGGAAATACTTGGGAGTGCTGGTTGGCTGTTTAGTGCCTTGTCATTTCTACACTCAAAAAGCACACGTTTTGCCGTGTTCGGTTTTCAGCGGGCGGATGCGGGTTGCCAGTCCTCCGTCAAAGCGATTTCAGATTCAAAGTGATCTCGCCCACGAACTTTCAATCCAACTTTGGAGCCCTGCGGTTGCCAAGAAACCTTTTTTTTCTGTGATCGTTTCAGGTCTTTTTCCAACTCTTCGCCCCTCCTTTCTTGTAAAAAAGGGGCCAGAAGGTCAAGGGAAGGTCAAATAGACAGGTCCGGGGATCGGGGTTGGACAAATGGAGCCAGAACCCAAAGATTGGGATTGACAGCTCCGAAGCCCGGACTTCACCCACGTTTCTTTGGGATGTGCCAAACCCGGGACCTCGGCCTTTGGCCGATCCCTCTCACCGCCCGCCCACCCTTGATTCCGACCATTTGAACAGCCTATCTGCATTTCCACCATGTCGGTGGGTGCGAGCGGGTAAGGGCAGTAACTGCAGTTGCCCCAATTAGCATCATGGTTGCTGAGTAGAAGCAGTGCCCAAGGCGCACACACCCAGGCCCCGCAAACCTGTCCCAACAAGCCTAGGATTGGGGATTGGAAAAAGTCGGGCGAAAGGCGCAGACCCTCAGTCGGGGAAAGGCGCAGACACTCACTTCATCACTGGTTCCCATTGCTTGCCAAGGTGGGGGTGCCATCATTCTTGACCTCACTCCCCGAGTTCATGGACTTTCAAACTTTTTGTGAAGACCAGATTAGTGGCAAACAAGAGGTTTGGACAAAGTTTACTGCTAGGCCCAGGAAGGAAGTCACCCTACTTTTTCCTGCAGCCCTTTGTTCGGCCCTGGAGGCACGGCGGAGAGCCGCATGCTTTGGCCTCGCACGGATGGGGTGTGCCGGTGGTGCCCCTTGCTGCCACTCGGCCGGGGGGGGGGGGGGTTCCTGTCGCCGGATTTTGGTTGGGGCTTCTTTCAAAGAGAATCCTAGGGGAACCACCCATTTCAGGCGGTTCCCCCCCATTTTGAGACAAGCCCGAGATGTTTTCTGGTCAGAGAACAACGCACTGCAGGCAAACTTGCATAAACACATGTATCGTGTCGGTTCTCAGCAACATTTCAATGCAGGTTACATGTTGCAAAGTTTTTTTTCCAGAAGCAGTTAGAAGACAATTTAGACCTTTGAAAACTAAGACTTAAGATCACATCCCTCTCTCTCATCCTGACACATATTTGCTAGAAAGGGAATGAATTAGGACATGTTTTATGTTGGGAGTTTGAAGGATTGAACAAGAATTCTGCGTCTCTTTCGTGTGTGCTTCATGTAATCTGAACGCACCTGTACCTGCAAGGCATTGTACCTGCCAAAACAGCCCCCATGGCGTCGCATTGATTAATAGGGGGGTGTCCCATTTCCGAGGAAATTCTTCGCGTTTTCGGGAACGCCCCGAGTCCGGCAGGGTGAAAGCTCCGCGCCAAGATGTTTATTCTGCCGAAGGCGGCCTTGGCACATCTGTCCGGGCAAGTTCGCCGAAGGGGCGCACGTGAAGTCCTTGTTTTTTGGGGGCAATACTTCACCCGAATGGGCTTGTCCGCCAAGTCGAGGCAAAACAGGTTGGTGAACTTGGGGGCAAGTCCCAGCCATATGTTTGACATATCTCAGCTAAACTTTCAGCGCCATCACAGAACCACTAAGGAATCCGTGCCTTCAGAAGTGTTTTCCCTTCAAGCCACACCCTTTTTTCGGGGTTACCGCAAAGAACCACGGAATCATTGCACTCCAAAGCCACTGGACACCCAGGTATGTGCCCTTCCAGGGCGCAAGGAAGCAAGTGCCAGCAGCCCAGCCCCGGCTCCGCGGGTCCATTTTTCGGGCTAAGATGAGGTGACCAGCAATGCAAACTCCGGATTAATAAACCCCTGGTTGATGAATGGGGGGATGTCCCCTTTAGTGGGTTCATCACTTTTGGAGGGAACACCCCCCTAATAATGGGACGGGTTTATTAATCCTGGGTCAACATTATGGGAGAATCCCAACCCTAAATGGGGGCAGCTGCCTTTTAATCCCCTGCATCGTTCTGGGTCCATGTTAATTCCAGGTTTTCATTATGATTCATGTGGGGCCACTTGGATAATTTGTGGTTTTGAACTTGGGGATTTCTTCTTTCATGTTTTGGACATACAACGCTTGCGGCCAAATCTGACGTCTCACAACCCCGTCGCAGGTTCGGCTTAAAAATGGTCATCCCAAATCCTTGGGGTATGTCCTGTTGTACTTCTCTTCCATCAGGCCCCATTTGGCACGTGTCAAAGGGGCCGATGGCCAAAGGGGCCTTGCCATTCTCCCTGTACTTTGTCCGTGGTGTAAAGCATTTGAAGGTTTCCTTTGGGTGGGGTGATGCTCAAAGGGAAAAGATGGGGGGCCCTACGGTTGAGCCATGCCTTCCGCGTGTCTTAGGCTCGGCGACGTTTTTGCATGGAGATGGTGCCCTCGCGTGCCAACTGTTTCGTTTTCTAAGGAGCGTGCATGGAGTGGGTTCGCTCTGGGTTGGTAATGGGAAATGCTGTGACCACATCTGGGTTGCCACAAAATAGGATTTAGACCCCCAAAAATGGGAAAAACAACTATTCCCCAACATGGGGCACCAAAAAAGAGACACCCATCTATAACCCGGAGTTGGTTGGAAAGATTCATGAGCTCCTCAGCTCCTGTTTGGGCCACTCCTTTGTTTGGGAAACGACCCAGAAAGAAACCAGGGACAACATCTCCCAGAAGGGCCACTGCTTGGCAGCTCTTTAGAGTACTGTTTGGTTTCAAGTTCTCAACAATTTCAGCAAATGACTCCTGCCCCACCAACCAGGGAGTCATTTTCAAGTGTTCAACCTTTTGGACGACTTGCCGGACTAAATGTGAGATCAACTCCAGGATGTTGCGCTGGCTAACACGTTGGGAACTTGCGTCTGCAAATCCGAGCTTTTAACCTTTTGGCTTCTCCTGGGTCTCTTTGAGTCAGGGCCCCACTTGAGCACCTTCTATTTCTCCAATGGTCCTTTGAGAGACAGAGAGTTACGACTTGTAAATCTCTTAGGCCCAAACAGAGGCTGGGCTGAATCCGAGGTTGGTTCAGCCGAGTGGGGACTAGGGTTGTGGCGAAATTGGTTCTAGCAACTCGCTCCTCAAAGGGACCGCAAGAGGTTCGGTTCTTCGAGCGATGAGCATGGAACTGAAAGGCGCAAAGCCCCACCCGGCCAACCCCAAAGGGTCGAACGCCGCGCGATCTTCGCCTTTGAGGTGCCCTGCGGCGTCGGTGAAGCTGCGGCCTGAGGTTTTTTTGACTGGAAGGTACCCCTAGTGGGATATCTCCATGTTGGATCGGAGTACATAAAACCCCCCACGAACAAAAACAAGAACAACCTCATGAAAAACACGGGGGGTGGGGGGTGGGGGGGTTAAAATAACAGGAGTTGCATCATCTGAATTGGGTTTCTTGCCATCATTTCCACGGTTGAGCCCCAGCCACATCGAGACCTTTGGTGCCGGCCGCCTGGGAACAGATGAAGCCCCCAGGCGAAGCAAATCCGTGTGTGTTGTGTGTCCCATGTGTGTCCCAGCCGCGCAAGGGCCGGGACTAAACGGGCGTTCCTTTTTGGGGGGCACTTCAGTCCCTTTCCTTGCTTGTGAAAGGGGAAGCAAAAGAAAGGCCACCCAGCTTGGGGTCCTTATTTGGAGACAAACTGACCTGGAACCTGGCAGCCTTTTCAGGAGAATCGTCGAGCCTACATGGCTCCATGTTGGAAGGGACGCTATTCCCTGCAGATTCACATGCCCAAAGGCTCACTTTGCCTTCTGCGAGTAAGCAGAGATCTAAGCGGTATCCACTAGGCGCTTTCTGCTCGCCAAGGGTCCCTAAAGGGAGATTCCGTTCCCCAAGTTTTGTTCACAGGGAACCACCATGGTTGGTGGACATAAATCCCCACTTACATGATGTGCAAAGGGTCCCTTAAATTGAACCTACAGGAACGTAACCTTTTGAGCCACAACAAAGCCTGTGTAGCCAACAGAGCCTCTTTGGTTTTTTTGGGGGGTAGGGGGAAGAGGAGTATTCAAGTTTTCCTAGTTTGCACCAGCTTAACTCACTCTCTGTGAGTGGAGCTCCCCTTTTCAGTGAGCACACAGTCATGGAAAAAGCAAGCATTTTCCGTGTGTTTGCCTGCTCCTCTGAGTGAGTCTTGCAATCAATCAGTGATTTCCTAAGGGAAACCCACCCCAAAGGGCGGGGTGGGTCCAGGAGGAAGTGGTTGATTTCGACCGCCGCAGGCCAACGGGCAAAATTTGTCAACCTCTCGGACCCTTCTAAGCCGGGCGCGTACAATTCTGCGAACTCCCAGACCATGTGAAAAATAACAACATCAAAGACACCTAAAAGGAAGTGTCCTCAAACCATGTGAAACAATGTGGTGCCTTTTGCGGTTGGACACATCATTTTTGTGTTTTTTTGGCGCAAAAAGAAACACTGCTTCCTCGCTGTTCTTGCGTCAAGGGAAGCAGATACCTCTGGATGCTCCCCAAAGGGGGCACCAGCCTGCAAAGCGTGTCTATTTATGGGTATGCTTTGCGGGATCCGACAGAAACATAGTTCCTGTTCCTGCTTTTCTTTCGGGGCACGCTTTTGGGGCTCCCCTACGAGCACGCTATTTCCTCTTGATGAGACTCGCTACAACGGGTGCAAATAGATCGGAACCATTCCCTTTACCTGGGTGAAAGTAAAGAGGAAAACACCCAAATGGAAGACTTGTGCCATACTCAGTAGATTCACACCGTCGAGCCGTGGAGGCAGTGTTTCGATGACGTCTACACATGCGAGCGCTGCGCCCGGCGAGAGCGGCGCGAGAGTAGCGGTTTAGCATGGCCAACATGCTGTTGACGGACGAAATTCTGCACCCCTTTCGCTATGGTTTACAAAAGCCCTCGCGCTCCCCCTTTTAACATTGGAAGCTTCAGGGCCCTTGGTTGCAAACTTGTTGGAATCACCGAAATCCTGCATTACCTTTTGCGAATGCCAGCAACAAACATTGACAATGGGGAGCGGGGTGTGCAGGCTGCTCAGTGGCAAGATGGAGTTGGGGGAGGCGGTGCAGGATTTCGCCCGTCAACTGTGTCAATTCTGCCCACGATTTTGACCGGTCCACGGCAATGAGGGTGGCAAGTGGGGGCACAACAGCTCAAATTTTCATATTGTCAGGGGTGACTGAGGCCGTCAACTAATGGCAAGGCGTTGTGCTTGGAATAGTGCTAACCCTTACTGCTTTTGTCCAGTGAGTTCTCCCCCCAAACATCTTGAGGGGGTTGAGGAGGGTCCCTTGATTTCTCCCTCCCGCTCGCGGTCCTCAGGGTGGGGACTTTCTCATAGAAACCAGTGGGAATCTCTTCAGGAAATTGGCCAACCCACCAACAACAAGTCTCTCATGTGGAATTCCCTGCCGGCGTTATCAGGGTCGCCATTCTTTTTACCAACTCCTGCGGATCCATTTGGTCAGTGCATAAAAGCAAACCCAGCCACTTGTGAATTCCCAGGCGCTGCTGCAACGTACAGAAGTACGGCCCCAGGGGCGACATGGACTGCTGGCGCCGGAATAAGTGCGGCGCTGAGCCCTTTGCAGCCTAGCCGAACTCAAGGCGACAAGGGGCCCAACTAATTCATGTATATCATTATTTGTTTATACCTCGGCATGCCATTTTTTTGCATTCTATAATTTATTTTTGTGGTCATTTGGAGTCTTCAGCTTCTTGGAGCAATTGCTGGAGCAATATTTGAAAGTCTTTGTTTCAACAAGGGTTATGGTTGGTTGCCCATGGATGGTTGGTTGAGTTGGTTGGTTGAGTGGGTTGGTTGGCCAGGCAGTGTTTTAGAACATCCTTTGCGTGTTCCCTAGCCAACCTAAACAACACGGTTCGACAACCGAGGCCCTTCTCGGCGGTTCGGAGCTAAGAGAGAGAGAGACGCGAGTGACCCGCTGGCCGTACTGGATTCGTTTTTTGTTTTTCCCCTGGTGGTTGCGGAGGGAACCGCAAGCCTTGATTGGATGGGAATGATTGGGATACAAGTCTCGGTTTCGTGGGAGTCAACCACGTGGACACTCATCGAGTATTGTGTGGGTGACTCGAACCTACGGGTTCCACTTTATACTCTTGGGTTCAAAGTCAACTTGTTGGTTCTCAGCAGGGAATGAGTTGAAATAATTTCTGTAAACCATCCGCTATGGTTCGCTTGAAGGGAATCCCCTTCCGGTTCATTCCCAACACCCGTCATTTTCTGCCTATCGTACCAGAAAGTCTACCCCACTAAACCCCATGTCCAACTCCCTTTGGCATACTCAACTGTGGCTATTGGTCTGTCTTTTTTGGTGGGTACCCGTTTGCCTTTTGGGTTCGGTTCGGGAAACCAAAGGTAAGGCCGAAGCCATTTTGGCGAACTTGGAAGCTAGTGCATAACCACGACACTCAAAGCATAACAGCAACAGGAAGCAAATAACAGCCACAAGAACCGGTACAACCTCGACAGTGACCATGCGGCAGCAGCAGCTGCCAAAGCCGAATCCCTACAGGAGTTGTGTTTTATGTTTTGTTTTGTTCTCCCCTGTTGGGTTTTAAAGGAAATCTATCACTGCAGGAAATCTATTTTCAGACCGCCCAAGCCATGAGTCCCCAGACCGAAGCGGAGGCCACTCGCCTGGAGAGCGGCACTGCGGCCTATGAGATCCCCGAGGCGCTGTTTCGGTGGATAGGTCGCCCCATTGGAAGCAATCCAGCCCCAGTGAAGACAAGGGCAGCTCGTCTTTTCTTGGAGTTGGTACCCTTTTTCGGTGGTTTTAAATGGAAACCAAGAGGAACACCACTATTGTTGGGGTCCGCCAAAGAAAAACACATCCTTATCACCTGGCATCTTGAGATGGAACCAGGATGGAACACTTTACACTGCTCTTTGTAGAGCCCTCTTTGACCCATTAGAAGGGGTTCACTACCATTTTATCCAACTGAACATACCCGCCTTCACTAGTATTCCACCTTCCCAACATCCGCATACCGGTTTTGGTTTTCCAAAGGGTGTGGCTTGGGGTAGCGTGGGGTGGGATGTCGCTTCAAACGGTTTTTTTATTCTGCAGTGGAGCATGCAGTGTCTCCACTTTGCAAACTTGCTGCAAAGAGCCTATGATGGCCAATCTGGGAGGGGCAGGGAGGGATGCTCACCTATACCAACGGGAACCTCGGCTGTGTTGAGGTTGGTTTGCCGGTTTGGTCTTGAAACCCCAGAAAAAGGATAACTCCGAAAAGCAGCCACACCCGCGTAAGTTGGGCAAATCTAACCACCAGTCCATTGTGGAAAACCTGGTACTCAGATAGCCCTGGGGGACAAATGCTTTGCGAACGGGAAACCCACTGTGAAATCCTTTGCCAGTTGTGTGCCTGTCAAAGCCAATCTGTGTATCTAACGTCGGCAACACGGCCATAAACACGATCAATTCATCTCTTCACAGTCATTGTAGACCAAAGTGATGTCAAGCTTCAGGGCAAATGCTTTGAGGCCTCCAGCAAGTAAATGCTGAGCTTGGCAACAGAAAAGCAGATTCCAATGTAGACAGTTGACCTTTTAAAACTTGTCAAGCCAGAGCCAACCCGTCAGAGAGCCCAAGTGGACATCGCAGTTGATTGGGTCCAAATCCCGTTGTTTGTCACGTGGTCCCAGGAGGTTCTGCAGCGCATCATTGAGAGTGCCAGAGCTTCGGCGGCAAGATGGTGCTTATGATCTCCCCTGAAAAAAAGGACACTCCCAAGAGTACCCAGCAGTCAGAAAGGGGTTGCTTCACCCCAGGTCCACCAGAGACACCAAGGATCCACAACAACTCACAGGATCTAGGGGATTCAGCTCCTTGTCTCGTCTCCCCCGCCCAAGCGTTTTGACCGGAAAGTTCATTTTTTTTGGACGGCGGAGGGTTGCGAAATCCAGAAATCGCACCACCGTTCAGCAGCCCTGGTCTCTGATGATTCCCCTGTAAATACCAACAAACGTACACGTGCTGCTTTCAACCATGGTTTCATTTCATGGTGCGAGAATATCCGTCCATCCAGAGTAGTTGGGTGACACGTTCAGGAAAAAAACAAAGCCGTGGCTTGCGTGGTCTTCTCTGCCATTCGATGAATGTGCGCCGAATGCTTGGGCGCCCTTGCTTCTTTGGGACAAGGGTTGGCTTTATAGGCCCTTTTTTGAGGCCGAATCCCGGGAGAAGGTTGGGGATCTTGGTTGAGCTGCAAAAAGTGCGACAGCCTGTAGGAAGCACGACTGACTTGGCTTTAGGAATGAGAACGCCGCAATACTTAGTTTTTGTTTGGTTTCACTTTAAGACCGCCCCCCGAAAACATCGGTTCCGAAAAAAGTATGCGCCCATTTGCATTGTTTCAGCTTCGGACGGATCCTCTGATTGGGGGTCCATCCAACCCATTCTGGGGCACTATGCCGCTCTGCAAGGTGTTTTGTCTTTTCGATTTTCATTGAACACCATCCAAGAGGGGTCCCCTGGACAGTTTAGTACTCTTTTCGTTTTTTCTTTAATCACAAGTCTTCCTTTTTCCCTGGTTTTCTTTGGGCATACTGTGGATGGACGAAATCCTGCACCACATAAGAAACCCTGGAATGATGATTCCCCTGTAAATAACAACAAACGCTGTGGTTTCCACCATGATGCGAAGGGGTTATCGTCCATCCACAGCCACATGGAATCGTTGGACCATTCTGCCAGAAAGCCCAGCGGAGATCCTGACCCTGATCGGCCCGGAGGCGCGTTTGGTCCGATGCACGGAAGAAACGAGGATCAGCCTAAAAGTGGACGCCCAGAAAGTATAAAATATGGGTATGGGTCAAAATACACCCGTCAGGGAACCGCAGGTTTGAGTCTTTGGTTCCATTTATCAGGGTTCCATTTTGGGTACGCATTTTTGACCCACAGCCAAATATGATTTGATTTTGGTTTGTTTCCTTCCAAGTTAGTATTGGAGGGCTTCCTTCAGGCAGTCCCGTCACGGAGCCAGATCATTTTTCACGGATTTCTGGGCTTCATATTCCTTACGAGTGCCCAGCCGTATCCTATTCTTTTGTCCCTTTTACTATAGCCTCTGACAAATCCATTCGCTGCGTTGCTTCAGCACTTCAATTGTGCCCCCGTTTTGACTGATCATTTTGAACCCTTGCTTACAGGGCGATTCGGCCTCACGTGTAGCGAGCCATTTCCCGCTAAAACGAGCGATTCCACCAAGGTCTGTTTCTGCACGGGACTCCTTTTAGGTTGCCTGGAATTGCCTCACGACCGCTTTCCTTTGGTTTCACTTGGCCTACCAACTTGCTAACCAATGGTGGTTGGAATTTTTGCTTGGTTTAGGTTCCTTCACTTTTGTGCCATGTGTTCAGTTTCTTAGTCTTTTTTTGGGTTCTGTTCATTTTTAGGGGGTGCAAAACAAACAGTCAGTTTGTTGCCATAGCAAGGGTTGGAGAGTCCTGTGCCGATTTCTGGCGCCAAGTTGGACTCGACTCGGACAAATCCGCAGGCATGGCCGACTCCAAGTCCGAAGATCTTCTCCTACGAGATGTGCTGCGCGGGGATGGCTTGGCCCTCATGGCAGAAGGTTCCGAATGTCACAGGGAAACGCAACAAGAACCCTCGCCCCCCAAGCAATGAGCAAGTGGTTTCCCGTTATAACCCCAAATAGTAGTAGCCTCTTTCCAACAAAGTGGCAAGCATCCACTTCCGCGATATGTTGGAAAAAGGGTATGTGTCCTTTGTGGAGTTTTTTGATGTTGACGCAGCATGAATAAGGCCCTTGTGACTTCTCCATCAACCGGAGGGACCCTCTTAAGACTTTTTTGGTTTTAAGGAAAAACCACGGGCTCAAAGGTTAGTGGCGATTAGTCACCTTGCCTGGAACATCTGCGGATTTCAGCCCTCTCTTCACTCTTGGGTAGGTATCCTGAAATATCGTGATTCCAATGCAACCCGAGAGCCCATAAACCTGGGTCTTAAGGCTCAAGCGAGGATCGTTGCGTCTTTGGGACATACCCAGTTTGGAGCTTCCGGTGCGTTGACATCCGACCTCGAACATGGAATCAGTTCTGGGTCCAACTCTTTTTTAATAGCGCACCACGGGTGTGTCCCCCTTTTACGGCGTTTTAGTGAGTGTTTTTCTTCACACAGAAACCACACATGCACCTCTTGGGCTGTTCCTTTATAAAACTGAACACTGCTTTTCGACTCAAACGACTGCCGCGCAAGGTCGGGGAGTTCGTGCCAGGGCTGGCGCCCTACTTCCACTCGCAGCACCAGGGGGAATACTTCAGAGGGGGCCCAAGCCGGCCGAAGGCACGCATGGTTTCCGGGACTGAAGTGACTTCTGTGACCTAAGCTTTGCCCCAAACGATCCTCACGCGGAGACGTTCACCAGCCTTTTTTTTCTTTTTCCGACAGTAGATGGTCTCGGGAGTTTTGCTCAGTGCGTAGTAAGCTCCCCAGTCAACCCCAAGTTGGCGCCCCCGTTGCAAGGGTATTCAGCAATCCGGGCGTTAAAACGAGCGACTTCAATTATGACGGTCTGTTGCTTGTGGGTTGAACTATTGTTTGCGCCTAAATGAACATGGGCAACTTTCCCAACTTTTGTAGTAGGGAGCTCTAGCAGCATCCAGACTTCCAGGCTCCTTGAGGTAAGACCCATTCAAAACCCAACCCAAATGCATGGCTTTGTTGGGGAAGGGTCCCACCATCTTAGTATTTTCGTGTCTTACTGGACTGTCGCGTTTTTGGTTTTGATTGGATGTCACGTGGGAAACCCGCTCAACGCAGGCCTCCCAGAAGGAGCTTTGCCATTGCCCCTTTGCGTCTGGGCTGGGATGATCTTGGAGTTTGCCGAGTTAGAACCATGAATCCTGTAACCTTTAGCAAGCTAGCAGAACGGTGAACCCTAGTAAGCCCCAGTAAAACCCCAGGAAGCCTCAGTAAACCCTGGTATTTCTTTTTGTAAATCCTAGTAAACTCTGTGTTGCGCTCCGACTGGCTTTGGCTTTGAGGCCAAGAGAAGCAAGCGGCGCAGCCACCCAAAGAGAAGGCGGGGGCCACCCATCAGTACCCGTGGGCTGTGGGGACTTAGGTTTCAAGTCGCCGCTTTCTGTACCAAGGGTCCCCCTTTTGATGGGAATTCTCACTTTGGCATCACAAGGATGATTTTGCACAACGTATGTGCAGTTTGAGAGAGGGTGCTCAAGATTGACTGGTTTTCTTTGCTCACGGCATAATATTACGCATGTTCGGATGTTGTGTCAGGTGGACGCATATGTCTTTTAGGTTGTTGATGCTTTTGTCTGCGCCTTTCCCCAGAAGAATGGATATGCCGTCCAATTTGAGAAGCTCCCAAATGAGTTTCGGTCAGGAACGCAGCAGTGTGCTGGTCAATTTTGGATTTGGGACATGGGACCTCCTTAGTCTCCCTGCAGAAGCAGGGGATTCTGCTTTCCCGGAAAAACTATACAGGGACTTTTCAACTTCCCCACGAAAACAGGGCTGCCTCACAAAGACTTTGGGTCTCTCTCTCTCTCTCTCTCTCTCTTGCTTTCTTGCTTTCTTGCTTTCTTGCTTTCTTGCTTTCTTTAATTCTTTAATTCTTTCTTGCTTTCTATATTTTTTTCATCTTGCTTTCTTTCTTTCTTGCTTTCTTTCTTTCTTCTTGCTTTGTTCTTTCTTTCTTGCTTTCTTGTTTTCTTTCTTTCTTGCGTTTTTTCTTTCCTTCTTTCTTTCTTTATTTCTTGCTTGATTTCTTTCTTGTTTTTTTCTTTCCTTCTTTCTTTCTTTCTTGCTTTCTTTTTTTTTCTTTCCTTCTTTCTTTCTTTCTTGCTTGCTTTCTTTCTTTCTTGCTTGCTTTCTTGCTTTCTTTCTTTCTTTCTTTCTTTCCTTCTTTCTTTCTTTCTTGCTTGCTTTCTTTCTTTCTTGCTTTCTTTCTTTCGTTTTTTCTTTTCTTTCCTTTTTTCTTTCTTGCTTGCTTGCTTTCTTTCTTTCTTTCTTGCTTTCTTTCTTTCGTTTTTTTCTTTCATTTTTTCTTTCTTGCTTGCTTGCTTTCTTTCTTTCTTGCTTGCTTTCTTGCTTTCTTGCTTTCTTGCTTTCTTTCTTTCTTTCTTTCTGTCTTTCTTTCTGTCTTTCTATCTATCTATCTATCTATCTATCTATCTATCTATCTATCTATCTATCTAATCTATCTATCTATCTAATCTAATCTAATATAATCTAATTTAATCTAATCTAATGTAATCTAAATCTAATCTAATCTAATCTAATCTATCTAATCTATCTAATCTATTTATATCTATCTATCTATCTATCTATCTATCTATCTATCTATCTATCTATCTATCTATCTATCTATCTATCTATCTATCTATCTATCTATCTATCTATCTATCTATCTATCTATCTATCTATCTATCTATCTATCTATCTATCTATCTATCTATCTATCTATCTATCTATCTATCTATCTATCTATCTATCTATCTATCTATCTATCTATCTATCTATCTATCTATCTATCTATCTATCTATCTATCTATCTATCTATCTATCTATCACTCTCTCTCTCTCTCTTTCTCTCTCTCTCTCTCTCTGTAGGTTTCCCATGCGTCATAAATTTCAATAGGGAATGCCCTCAACAGTAGTTGGTGGACATTAATGTGACATTAATCTAATCACCTATGTATATACATATATACACATACAAGTGATGTCCGCCCAACCTCCCTATCCACAAGCAACCAGGACGCATGTCCACAGATCCGCGGTCTAAGACCCGAAAGCAATCCAGCTATCCCATGCCATAAAAAGCCGGTGCAGCAGAGCCCCTGGCTGCGTCTGCCTGGCCCAGTTTTTCTGCTGGTTCGATAGGCAGGGAATGAGGGAATGACCCCAAGAAAAAACGATCCCCTATACCCTTGGTCATTCCATACTGAGCACCAGCAAGTGAAACTGTAGGGCTCCCCTGGCCAACATGAACCGCCCGCCCCCCCACCCCCCAATACAAACAAGTCTCGGAGTCTCCTTTTTGAGACCCCGAAAGGTTCGGGTTCTGAATCCAAGCCACATCACTCACATGTCGATTTAGATCTCGAAGGTGTACCCGCGAGATGGGTGTTGAGGATTGAGGGACAAGGAAACCATTCCCTTTCTCCTCTCTTCATACCTTCTCTTGACTATTGAACCACTTTAGGTTGGAACCAAAGAAGGAGAAGAGGGACAGGGACAAAGAACCAATATTTGGTCGCAATTCAATGACAAGGGGATCGCCGGTAACAACCTTTGAAGGCATCCTCGAGTGCGAGAACGAAACGATTGTAGCTTTTGGAAGCTCACCGGTTACCGGCGAGAAAGGACATTTTTTAACGGCTTAGCTTTTTTCGGTGGCTTCTTGAGTTAGACTTTTCGCTTCTACTCAAGGATGATTGACGGGAGCCTGGTGAGGATGACCGGCTCTCTTAGCCATGACATGGTGGAGGAAGGGCCTGAAGAGTGATGGTTCCAAACGCTATCCTCTTCTCCATTATTTGCCTAGCACACCAGTTTACCGCTGAGTGATAAAGGGACGGCAAGCGGTGGTCTGTCTCATCCCTCCTCCGTTGGGTCGCATCCATTTTTTGTTAGGATGGAAAAGGGGAAAATGGGTTCCTTGCTCATCTACACCGATCTTTTCTCTCTCCATCCTTTCTCGTCTAAGAACTAAGTTTCTGTGGGAGAAACAACTCCGACCGCAAAGCAAACTTGGAACCTGACAGTCCCTGTTAGAGGCAACAGGCCGTTGTTTTGAGAGGGTGCCCCGCACACCCTTTTTAAAGTGCGCTGATTTAGCTCCTCCCAACTCACCTCAGTGTCTTTTGCCCGACCCGTTTTTGGGTTTAGGCTCAAAGTTGGACACCGACAGGAAAAACCCTGCTGCCACCCGTCTTAAGGGCTTCTGATTCCCTTGAGACATACCCAGCTACCTGAGAGGTGGAGATTTGCGCCAACTTCGGGGGCACGTACGAGGCCGGCTTTTGCCGCTGCAAAATCAGATGTGGGGCTGTGAATTCGCTTCAACACCACAAGAAACAGGAATCATCAGAACATGACACACATGTTTTTGTTGTATACCGACAACTCGAGGGGTGTATTTTTTTGAGCACCGTCAGAGGTCCAACGCATGACTTGGTCACCAGTAACGCACAATTGTCATTCACTGTTCTTGGCATGTTTTCGTTTATATATGTTTTTTTTGGTTCTGTTCATTTTTAGCAGGGTGCAAAACAACAAAGTGTGTTGCTTTGCCGTACCAAGGGTTCGACAGTGTCATTCCTTGATGGGCACAGTTGGATGTCAATCGTCCCAGATTTTCACCCCGGGCCTTTCTCAGATGAGTCGCCCCCCCGGAGCTCGCTCAGGTTTCATCCAGGGGAGCGGATTGGAAGTGAAACGGGTCGACGGCCCATGAGGCCAAAAGGTGACGAGGGGTACTCGACACCTCAGGCAAGTGATTGGTAAGCACGCCGGATACCATGGTTACCGACCACTTCCAAAGCACCCCTCCCTTCAAATAGCTGGGAGGGTGGGCAGGTATTCACTTGCCTTGCCTGTGCCAGGCATGAATCATGATTTCACAACTTCTCTTACTGAACCCATGGTATCTGCTTTCACTAAGGGACATTTGGGCCCCACAGGTGCTCAGCCTTCCAAGAGCTCTTCAGGTTCCTTGTCAAGATTTTCCCGCAGGTTTGGGGGGCCTTTTTGGTGTCGCGGAGCGAAGGACAGCGGCGGCGGCGTAGTGGATGCGACAGCCCCAGTGAAGCCTGGGCAATGACCCCCGGAGTGGAAACTAAGCCCCATTTTGCTTGGATGTTAGGACTTTAACTTTTTGCCAACCAGTGGGTTTTCCACTAAACCACTAAAAGTTAGCAGGGGAGCAAAAAGCAACCGAGGAAGTAGGTGCGTGTCAACATAGGAGTGTAGGCCTCCAACGTGGGTTTCGATGTTCCTCTTGGTTTCCACGAAGAAAGAGAGTACCGAAACAACCAAACACACAACAGCACAAAGGGGGTGTCAGGGCCAACCAATGCAATCCATTTTACATTGACAAACTAGTCATGGGGATGGGATGGTCACTAAACCTCTGGTTGACTTTGATCGGTTCACAACAACATGCAGCCCAGGTTGGCCAATCTGGGCCAACAGTTTTCTCGTTGATAGCACCAATCCTGGCATATTTGTCACTCCGGACATATCAATCCCTGGACGACATCACAATTCATCAAGATGTTTTTTGGCTTGACATGAATTCCTTCACCTTGTCACGAGGCTGGGTTTGCGAACCAGATGTCCGAAACCGGCTGCCACGCAACCTCCGAGGTGGCTTCCCCTGAAACTGGGGTCTATATCCTTTTTTCAGCTAACTTGACATTTGTGGGAGGGTATGTGGAAGATCATGTTTCTCTTGCAGGGGTCTTTTCTGTCAGGTGCCATCTTAGAGGGAGGGCACCCTTTATCCCATGAACCGCCTGGTGGTTTGAGGCTGGAGATGATTTAGACCCGTGAAACTCAGTCGACTGGGTGACCCTTCTTGAGGCTTAAGGCCTGGGACCCCGTACCTTTGGCCCAAGGTACCGAAGGGTGATCCATGGCAACCCGAAGTTCTGTATGTTGCCAAGTCAAACATCCAACCTGTCGTCGCCTTTTTGTGGACTGGAAAGGTCCCTTGTTTTCTTGCGGCTTTAAACATCGCAATTGTCGGTCAATTGAAAGTGAGTTTCCTTCGGGGAATGTGAGGTTGGAAATCTCGGTCTCTGTTCTTGACGTGACTGGAAAGACCTGCTTTTTGTTTGACCTGGGGACAGTTGGACCCGGTTTCAGTGGAGCCTGTGCCTTCGATTCGATTCGCTTCCGACTTCCGACTGAGAGACGGTCGGTTTGGCGTGCTGGGTGTTGCCGATGCTAACGTGCCTCAAACAGCTTGGTCTCCGGTTGTCTGGTTTCTTGCTTGACATTCCTCTTGATTTTCCTCATGTATCCAATTGGAGTCGAGTTGCCAAAAGAAGAATTTCAGGTCTTTGGTAACATGCTCTTTGATTCTTTACAGGAGGTTCGTTCAACATATTCGGTATTCTAATGGTTGATCGGGGACATGGTATGAGCTCCAAATTATCCATGCCCAGTAGCAGTAAACTTTATCAGCGGCAGAGCTGTAACAAGTTGAGCCCCGGAATCTGTTGTTCTCCCAAGGAGCAAAGCTGCGGCCATCTGAATGGGCCTGGTTTGCGTGGAGATGGTCAACCATGTGTCTCAAAAGCATGAGGAAATTGACCCCCCCCCCCCCGCAAACAAAAGTGGCTGGAATTCGTTTTGGCTTCTTTACCCAACCAATTAGGGCTTCCCCCTAAAACGGCACATCCACTTAGTTCACTTCGCCCTTGAGTCGCTTCGGGATTTCAAGCCGAGCCACGTGATGAGCATCCCCGTGGGCGTTGGGAAGCGCGGGGGCTTCCCATGAACATACCTCCAAGAAGGGGCACCCTACAAAATTCCGCACCCATTTGTCTGCATCAAGTCTAGCAACGGGGTTAAAAACGAGCCGTGAAGGTCCCTACAGGATTGCTGAAGTCGAATTGAATGAACGCGTGCATCTCTGCAATTTGATTGTCAACGCTCCTACACTTGAGATCAGGGACCCGCAAGCGATCGAACGTTGGAAGGGGGTGATGTATTATTTTTCGATGTATTTTTGCATTGATTCATTCATCCATCCCATCCCATCCCAACCCATTCCACTCCATTCCATTCCATGCCATTCCTCCAGTCCAGTCCAGTACATTCCATTCCAGTACATTCCATTCCATTCCATTCCATTCCATTCCATTCCATTCCATTCCATTCCATTCCATTCCATTCCATTCCATTCCATTATTTCATTTATTTGATTCCATTCTCATTTTCTCATTCTTGAATATTTCCTTATTATGATTGTCCATTTATTTGTTCATTGATTCATTGATTCATTTATTCATTGATTCATTTATTCATTGATTCATTGCTTCATTGATTCATTCATTGATTCATTCATTGATTCATTGATTCATTGATTCATTGATTCATTGATTCATTGCTTCATTGCTTCATTGCTTCATTTATTCATTGATTCATTGCTTCATTGCTTCATTGCTTCATTTATTCATTGCTTCATTGCTTCATTCATTGATTCATTCATTGATTCATTGATTCATTGATCCATTGATTCATTGATTCATTGCTTCATTGCTTCATTGCTTCTTTGATTCATGGATTCATTGCTTCATTGATTCATTCATTGATTCATTCATTGATTCATTGATTCATTGATTCATTGCTTCATTGCTTCATTGCTTCATTGATTCATTGATTCATTTATTCATTGATTCATTGCTTCATTGCCTCATTGCTTCATTGCTTCATTCATTGATTCATTCATTGATTCATTGATTCATTGCTTCATTGCTTCATTGCTTCATTGCTTCATTGCTTCATTGCTTCATTGCTTCATTTATTCATTGATTCATTGCTTCATTGCTTCATTCATTGCTTCATTCATTGATTCATTCATTGATTCATTGATTCATTGATTCATTGATTCATTGATTCATTCATTGATTCATTCATTGATTCATTCATTCATTCATTCATTCATTCATTCGTTCGTTCGTTCGTTCGTTCGTTCGTTCGTTCGTTCGTTCATTTTGAAAGTCTTGCTTATTTGTTTACTTGTTTATTGTTAATTTATTTATTTATTTACTTGTTTGTTTATTCAGTTATTTGCTTATTTATATTTTCTTTTTGCAGGGTCTACACCCTTCTTACGGGTGTTTAAAGGGACATCGAAAAGACAATCAGCGTGTTTGGAGCCCAAGTCCCTATGTTGACACATAGGTTTGCTTTTCGGGATTTTTTGGCGAGCGGCAGCGGGGAAAAGCCAAAGGGACGGGACGCTTCTTCCAAGGTCATCCAGACGGACTGCAGCGTCCTTGCACAGCCGGGGGCCTCCGACTCCTCTTCTTTTTTTTCTTCTTTTTTTCCCCCTCTCGGGCGGTTGTGTACTCCAGGGGGTGGTTTCCCATTGTTTTTATCAGATACCCCGGTACTTGGTTTGGATGGGTTTGGGGATTTGAACCCCCGTGAGCCTTTCAACACCAAATGAGGAAGGTGAAAGAGTCCAAAGCACCAGACTAAGTGACCTCTTGGGGTTAAGGCGACTTTACAAGGACCAGGAGCCCTTTGAAATACGTGAATACCATTGATACACGAGTCGGTGGAATGAATTACAGCTGGCATTGGACACCAGATTTCATCATTGTTTCGCTTTTGGTTCACATTGAATGTGCATGTTTCAAAGTCGGTCAAAACTGACTCCAGGGTGCCATTGGTTCAACCCGAATGGGGAATTTGCGGCATCAGCTTTCACCCAAGGTGCAGTTTGTTTTTTTGCTCTGGCTCCTTCCTTGTTGCCATGGATCTTCCCGCTTTTTGGAAGTTGTCCTGGTCCTTTCCGCGATTTTTTGAGGTCTCCCCACACCCACCACCTTGCGGGTTTCTCATCGCACTGGCCTTGGTGGTACCTCCCATGGACGTTGCCCCCGAAAAACAGCGGGCCCTGTGGCCTTTGTTTTTTTTTTTTTCTCTCTCTCTCTCTCGATTTTGGCCGGTCGAAAGTCCTGAGCTGATTCTTCGCCCATACGTTTGGTGGGCAAGCGATGCTTTTGGCTATGATTGGAAAGTCACAGCTCAAGCAAAGCACCCCTCCCAGGGATCGATCTCCTTACAGGATGTTCCTAGCAAATCCTGCACTGCCGCCCACCGGGTCGGCCAGGAGATCCATGCGGGTTTCGCTTGAAAGAGGCGTCTGTGAATTTCCGGGTTTGTGAGGTGAGGCGATTCGAATCAGCTGGTGTCTCAAAACAAATCTTCCCCTTTTAGGAGCCAACAGTTTTTGATTTTGGCTTGGGTTTCAGTTGGAAGCAGATAAGCTGACTGCACACATGCGTCCCTTTAAACAGCCACCGAACCGGGTAGGCCTTGTTTGTACCCCCTGGGAAAAACACGAATTCTTGGCTCAGGAATTCAGCGCAGGGCTGGAAAGTGGAGGGAGAGGCCCGCGGCGTGGAGGCGGACGGGAGGAACGCTGCACAGGCGGACGCCCTTTGGGAAGCCACCCGTTGGATGGTTTGAATCGGAGTTAGTCTCCTTTCTCATTCCCTGCATCTCTCGCACCAGCCAGGGTCTCAAAGAGAGTGTTGCCAAAAATGGGAGCCTCAAATCAGGGATTCGACGTGAAGGAAACAGAGGCAGTCTGCCCTCGCAGCCTGGATCCAGGCATTTGCAGCAGACTGCCTAGCGGCCTGTCTTCGCCGAGTTAAAAGCTCCACCAGCTACGAGCTAAGCCACTTTTGCCGAGTGTGATAGACACTCTTCTACACTACACCTTGACAAAGATTATTTAAGGGCTGCCGCCCAGTGCCGCCGACCCCTCCGCTGGGGGCCAGCCCAGGTTTTTTTTGTTCTGGCAGCGGCTTTTGGCTGGTTCAGGCTTGCTGGCTTGCTGGCTTGCTCGCTCGCTTGCTTGTTTGCTTGTTTTCAGCGCTTTTCCAGGCCGCGCTCGTTTGCCCACAGCGAGCACCAACCAAAGGAGTGCTATATGGAAAGTAGACAGCAATCGGTCCCCAGGGCGCAACCAGCAAGAACAGCTTCGCGTCCAGCGCGCTTGGAGGCCGCACTCGCTGCGCTGCAGCGAGCACGAACCAAAGGAGCGCGCCGGCAGCCTGCTCCGCCGCGGCCGAGTGCCTAACGTCGCATTTGAGTCCAACATGCAGCAAAGCTATCGGTGCAGAGGGAGCGGCCAGCCACAAAAGCTTCGCTTCCCGCGCTTTTCCAGGCCGCACTCGTTTGTCCACAGCGAGCGCCAACCAAAGGAGTGCGCCGGCAGCAGAAAGGAAAAGGAACGAAACCAAAGGAGTGCGCAGAAAAGGAGAAAAAGGAAGAAAAAAGGCCGTACGGGCAGGCCGCGAGAGAGCTTCAGCGCTGAAAACTGTGCCCTGCAGGTGTTCGAGCGCTGTTTTAGGCCGCACTCGTTTGCCCCCCACAGCGAGCACCAACCAAAGGAGTGCGAAGACAGGCCGAACGGGCTGGCCGTGACAGAGCTTCAGCGCTGAAATCTGCGGCCAGCAGGTGTTTGAGCACTCTCGGCCTTCTCAGCTCAGGGGTAGTTGGTGTAGCGGCATCACACCCAGCATGTGAGAGGGCGGGCTCAATCCCCGGCCTGTCCATGCCCATGTGCGCCTGCGTCTGGGACAGTCTGCCGATCCCTGCTCTTCTTTCCTTTGGGTTTGCTGTGCGTCTTGCCAAGGGCGGCTGTTTCCACCGCGGCCGGGTGCCGAACGTCACTGTAGAATCCTATACAGAAGGTAGAAAGCTATCGGTCCCCAGGGCGCAAGCAGCAAGAACAGCTTCGCGTCCAGCGCGCTTGGAGGCCGCACTCGCTTCGCCGCAGCGAGCACGAACCAAAGGAGTGCGCCGGCAGCCTGCTCCGCCGCGGCCGGGTGCCTAACGTCGCGGCTGAGTCCAATATGCAGCAAGGCTATCGGTCCGTCCAGCGGCCTCTTTTCGCTGTGGGCAAACGAGCGCGGCCTGGAAAAGCGCTCAAGCACCTGCAGGGCACAGTTTTCAGCGCTGAAGCTCTGTCACGGACCGCTCGTCCGGCCTTTTTGCTTCCTTTCTGCTGCCGGTGCACTCCTTTGGTTGGGTCTCGCTGTGGGCAAAGGAGTGCGGGCCCGCCCGTTCGGCCTCTAGTCTTCCTTTCTGCTGCCGGCGCACTCCTTTGGTTTCTTTCCTTTTCCTCTCTGCTGCCGGCGCAAGCGCGGGAAGCGAAGCTTTTGTGGCTGGCCGCTCCCTCTGGACCGCTTCAGCGCTGAAAGCTATGCGCAGCAGGTATTTGAGCACTCTCGGCCTGCTCAGCTCAGGGGCAGTTGGTGTAGTGGTATCACACCCGCTCAGCATGCGAGAGGGGCTGGGTTCAATCCCCGGCCTGTCCATGCCCATGTGCGCCTGCGTCTGTCACAGTTTGCCTCTCCCTGGTCTTTCATCCCTTTGGGTTTGCTGTGCGTCTTGCCAGACCGGCTGGTACGCCGCGGCCGGGTGCCGAACGTCACTTTTGAATCCTATACAGAAGGTAGAAAGCTATCGGTCCCCAGGGCGCGACCAGCAAGAACAGCTTCGCGTCCAGCGCGCTTGGAGGCCGCACTCGCTTCGCCGCAGCGAGCGCGAACCAAAGGAGTGCGCCGGCAGCCTGCTCCGCCGCGGCCGGGTGCCTAACGTCGCGTTTGAGTCCAATATGCAGCAAGGCTATCGGTCCGTCCAGCGGCCTCTTTTCGCTGTGGGCAAACGAGCGCGGCCTGGAAAAGCGCTCAAGCACCTGCAGGGCACAGTTTTCAGCGCTGAAGCTCTGTCACGGCCCGCTCGTCCGGCCTTTTTGCTTCCTTTCTGCTGCCGGCGCACTCCTTTGGTTGGTTCTCGCTGTGGGCAAAGGAGTGCGGGCCCGCCCGTTCGGCCTCCAGCCTTCCTTTCTGCTGCCGGCGCACTCCTTTGGTTTCTTTCCTTTTCCTCTCTGCTGCCGGCGCAAGCGCGGGAAGCAAAGCTTTTGTGGCTGGCCGCTCCCTCTGGACCGCTTCAGCGCTGAAAGCTATGCGCAGCAGGTATTTGAGCACTCTCGGCCTGCTCAGCTCAGGGGCAGTTGGTGTAGTGGTATCACACCCGCTCAGCATGCGAGAGGGGCTGGGTTCAATCCCTGGCCTGTCCATGCCCATGTGCGCCTGCGTCTGTCACAGTTTGCCTCTCCCTGGTATTTCATCCCTTTGGGTTTGCTGTGCGTCTTGCCAGACCGGCTGGTACGCCGCGGCCGGGTGCCGAACGTCACTTTTGAATCCTATATAGAAAGTAGAAAGCTATCGGTCCCCAGGGCGCGACCAGCAAGAACAGCTTCGCGTCCAGCGCGCTTGGAGGCCGCACTCGCTTCGCCGCAGCGAGCACGAACCAAAGGAGTGCGCCGGCAGCCTGCTCCGCCGCGGCCGGGTGCCTAACGTCGCGTTTGAGTCCAATATGCAGCAAGGCTATCGGTCCGTCCAGCGGCCTCTTTTCGCTGTGGGCAAACGAGCGCGGCCTGGAAAAGCGCTCAAGCACCTGCAGGGCACAGTTTTCAGCGCTGAAGCTCTGTCACGGCCCGCTCGTCCGGCCTTTTTGCTTCCTTTCTGCTGCCGGCGCACTCCTTTGGTTGGTTCTCGCTGTCGGCAAAGGAGTGCGGGCCCGCCCGTTCGGCCTCTAGTCTTCCTTTCTGCTGCCGGCGCACTCCTTTGGTTTCTTTCCTTTTCCTCTCTGCTGCCGGCGCAAGCGCGGGAAGCGAAGCTTTTGTGGCTGGCCGCTCCCTCTGGACCGCTTCAGCGCTGAAAGCTATGCGCAGCAGGTATTTGAGCACTCTCGGCCTGCTCAGCTCAGGGGCAGTTGGTGTAGTGGTATCACACCCGCTCAGCATGCGAGAGGGGCTGGGTTCAATCCCCGGCCTGTCCATGCCCATGTGCGCCTGCGTCTGTCACAGTTTGCCTCTCCCTGGTCTTTCATCCCTTTGGGTTTGCTGTGCGTCTTGCCAAGACCGGCTGGTACGCCGCGGCCGGGTGCCAAACGTCACTTTTGAATCCTATATAGAAAGTAGAAAGCTATCGGTCCCCAGGGCGCGACCAGCAAGAACAGCTTCGCGTCCAGCGCGCTTGGAGGCCGCACTCGCTTCGCCGCAGCGAGCACGAACCAAAGGAGTGCGCCGGCAGCCTGCTCCGCCGCGGCCGGGTGCCTAACGTCGCGTTTGAGTCCAATATGCAGCAAGGCTATCGGTCCAGAGGGAGCAGCCAGCCACAAAAGCTTCGCTTCCCGCGCTTTTCCAGGCCGCACTCGTTTGTCTACAGCGAGCACCAACCAAAGGAGTGCGCCGGCAGCAGAAAGGAAAAGGAAAGAAAAGAAACGAAGAAGAACAAGAAAAAAGGGAAAGAAAGAAGGCTGGTAAGGTACAGGGCTGAACGGGCGAGGGCGAAAGGGAAGGGAGAAGGCTGCCACAGTCACGCTCCAACGCTAAACGAACACTCCCCCAGCGCCTTCCCCTTGCAGGCAGGGGGGTCGGCGGATTACAAGTGAAGCTTTAGGATGCCAGGGAAAAGAGTGCAATACAAAGACATACTGCCACGCATATCTGCTTGAAAGGAAGACAAGGAAAACAAGAAACAAGTGATGTAGTGAAGCAACAAATACTGCAACGAGTGCAAAGTTACAGGGAAGCAGAATAAACACGCGCACCTTGCACCATGATTGCCGGACATGCCCGACCCATGTCCAACCAAAGAGAGGAAACGCGTTCAAACCGCACAAATGGCACCATGACAAAATCCCGAGGACAGGTCTTGTTGAGCTTCCAAGTTTCCTGTTAGGGGAACCATGGCCATGACCAACCACAAAATGAGTTTTGACCATGGCCCATTTGGACAACCCAAGAGGTTGCTCGGCTTTCCAGCTTTCCTTCCACACTGACTCTGCCCCCGACTTTCGGACAACTTTTTTCAACGCTACCTTGCAACTCGTGCAACTTGTAGCACTCGCCTGGGTTTCGCCTGCCATGTACATGGGGGGTTCTTGGATGTTTTGGTTGGCTCAAGTTGGGAATTGGCAAAGGTCCAACCGTCCAACCGTCCAACCGGCCAACCGTACAACCGTCCAACCGGCCAACCGTCCAACCGTCCAACCGGCCAACCGTCCAACCGGCCAACCGTCCAGCCGTCCAACCGTCCAACCGGCCAACCGTCCAACCGGCCAACCGTCCAACCGGCCAACCCAACTGGCCAACCCAACCGGCCAACCGTCCAACCAGCCAACCCAACCGGCCAACCCAACCGTCCAACCGGCCAACCCAACCGGCCAACCGGCCAACCGGCCAACTGGCCAACCAACTGGCGACGACACGGGGTTACCCGAAGGGTAAGGGTTGCATTTCAGAGGGCCTTTCTTAGGGCTTCTCTTGCACAACTTCTGTCCCTCGAACTTTGGAACTTTGGGGTCCTGCACGCGGCGAGGTGCACCTCTGGACGGTGGTGGGGAAGTTGCGGGAGGGCCACGTGCAGTGGTCCAACCAGGCCACTTGGGCCCGGAGCCTTACCGGAGTTGGGGGCAAGCGCTGGCAGAAGTTGATTGTCCAACGCCTTAACCGTGGGGGGCATTTGCCAGGCCTTGGAGAGGGGGATTTGCATGGTTTTTGTGCCAAGCCTTCCCCAACGGATTGGCCCAGTTTGAAAACCACACTGTTATTGGGCACCCCCCAGGAAAGCCGAAAGGAACACCGCCGTGTTTTTTTCGGGCGGTTTGGGGGGGGGGGGGGCACTTTTTCGACACACCCGCTTTGTTTTGGATAGACCTTTTCGACGGTTTGATTCCGACTCAGGTGCTCCTGGAGGCGAGCGCTCGACGGACGAAAAGTGGATCCGGGGCTGAAAGGGAGATGCCGCCCTGGGGTCGGACATAAAGACAGGGTACTCCTTTTTGGGGTATGGAGGGCATGAACTTGCTGGTGTGATACGGAGGGAATGAGAAAGGGAACGACCCCGATGAAAAAACACCGTCCAACTGGTGGTTTCCTGGAAGGGAGTCCCCTTCCGGTTCATTTCCAACACCCAGGGTCAACCTTCTATGGCTTCAACCCCAGAAAAGACCAAGACAGAGGAGCCGAGATCTCACCAGAGAGCTTGCGTCAAGAAACCCTGGAAACCAACAGGAATTGAACTGTTTGAGCACGACGGAGAACGAGAGGATGCATGCGCATTTGCTATACAATAGGGTTCAGCAAGATGCAAAGCAAGCATTAATGGGCATGTCAGTGGAAGGCTTCTGCTATGAAGCCAGTCGCGAAGACAAGAAGGACTTGGAACAAGCTGCTTTCAAGACGAAAGCATAAACATCAGCCTCAGAGGCACTCGGCGTGATCATCATCATCATCATCATCATCATCATCATCATCATCATCATCATCATCATCATCATCATCATCATCATCATCATCATCATCATCAAGTTCTCCTCTGGATGGTACCATAACACTCCCCGCTCCCCGCAGTCCCACGCCCCACTCCCTGCTCTCCACTCTCCACGCTTTCCACCTCACTCCGCTCCACTCAGAATTCTGACCTTCAAGGCTTTCATTCCCCACAACTCCCTTTCGCGAGGCCATTCCCCGACTCTCTTCGCTTTGGGACTACTTTCAAGATGGTGTCAAAGGAAAACCAAAGGGAGACTAAGCGCCTAGGGTCCCATTTCTTGGAGAAACACCCATTGTCTTCGTAACTCCGAATCTGCTACTTCCCCTTTGCATTCTGCAAATTATCCTTCTCTCAAAGCCAAACGCGCGCATCCCTTTGTCCAGGCCGCTTATATCTGAACTTGTCCGAAAGGTCGCTCTACCCGAAGGTCTCGAGCCCGATGCGCAACAATTGAGGCTGCTCCCCAGAACTCTGTTGGCCATTTCCACACATGTGGCCCAAAATTCAAGAGCTAGGGTTACGAAGGGTTTGGTGTTTGTTTCCATTTACCAGGGTGCCATGTTGGGTACCCTTTTTTGAGCCATGGCCCACATTTTCTTGGCCACTGACAATTCTCCGTGTTGAGACCGCTCTCTTGGCTTGAGGCCATTCTCCGAACTGCGCCTCTCTCCAGGCCATTCTCTTCCACGCCGCTCCTACTCTCGCGGCCAAACTTCTGTTGGAGTTCTCCGCACTCTTTCCCGGACCACTTTCTTGAGTCCGCCACAAATACCTGTAGAGCCGGCGGAGCCGGTGGGCGGAAGTTTAGAAATATGAAACCCCCTAGTTTTTCTCATTCATTTCTTGATTCATTGGTTCTTCTTGTTCTTTGTCCGCCTTCGCGTGCTTTCTCTTTTCTCTTTCATTGTGTTTGTTTCCTCTCTCTTTGTTTCTCTTCTTTGTGTCTAGCTACCTAGCTATTCACCTATCCATCTATTTCTCTCTTCTCCATCTTATATATCTATCTATCTCCCTCTCCCTCTATCTATCCGTCTATCTATCTATCTAACTAACTGACTAACTAACTAGCTAATTAATCCATCTATCTATCTAACTAACTAACTAACTACCTACCTACCTAGCTAATCTATCTATCTGTCTATCTATCTATCTATCTATCTAATCTAGTCTAATCCAATCTAATCTAATCCACTCTAATCTAATCTACCATATATATATATAACATATATATATATATACATCTATTTATATCTATGGAAGATATACGGGTGCACTTTGAACAAGGAACGTATGAACATTGCACCTGTGCAGGGACATTTTCCTCGCATTTCCTCGCATATCTTGAGATTTCCTGGCTGCCTGGGTAGGTGAATGAAACGTTGTTTTTCGTGAACACACTTGCCAATTTTTGCCGCTGAAGTTCAAGAATGAAGCGCACACATGAACCAACATGATCCTTGCAAGAGTAGTTGGGACTCATCCAGTCCCACATTAGCGAGACCCCTGGAAGACCCTGATCAATTTCACAAAAGAATCAGACCTCACCCCGTCTCCCACTCCGTGAGTGCGGGGTTAAGCAAACCGTGGCCATTTTGTGCGGGTCGAATCCGCCTGCTCCGACTGATCGCCGGCTCCAGCGACTCAAGTTCTTGACGCAAGGTCGGTCACTTCAGCCAGTTCGCACATCGCTTTCAGCTTCTTCTTTTTTTCTCCCTGCGGGTAGCGCCTTTGTGAGATCTTGAAGCCCAAGCAGCTCGGCCGATGGCTTTAAGCCATGCAAAGAGCCTTTCACTTTTTGACTTGAATGGAAAAGAACTTGATAGGGAAGTTAGACTTGAAACCTTGGCCATGAGCCGCATACCGAGTTTTGAGCACACATTTGAGCGGGGATCCCGGGTCTATTGAATTGATCTGGTCAGAAAATGCCATTGCCTCTGCCTCGCTTTCTGCGGATTGAGGTTGGGCCACTCTCGAAAATGCCCCAAAGTCGGGTGGCCCTCGAAGAAAGTGTGGGGGGGGGGGCTCAACGCTAGGGGCCCCTTTGTTTTCTTCAAAAGGCGACACCTTGGGTGGCATCAGGGTTCACAAGAGCCGCAAGAGGCCATATTTTTGCCCACCTGCCAAGTGTATTGCTATTTCCATCTCTGGAATGACAAAGTTGCCAGTAAAGTTAAAGGGTGACTAGACCTGTTGGTTTCGAGCATTGGGTAAATTCCTGTTGGTTTCGACAGTTTCGACCATTGGGTAAATTAATATATATATATATATATGTATAATTATTGGTGGCAGAGGCAAATGCAGGCTCACGCTCGGGGGTTGCTCTGAAGCTGAAAAAAGATATGACCGAACGAGGGGTAGGAGCTTGGCAGGGGGAACCTTTTGGGTTCCCAGTCGTCCCTTTAGGGTTTGGTGCTTGGGTTTCTGTGTCTTTTAGCAGGGGATCTGCAAACGGACGGCCCAAGACTCTCTTGAAGGTCCCAACAGAAGCAAGCCTCATGGATGCTTGGGCCCGGAGCACTCCTGGGGTGTTTCTCTCAGCTCTCATCCCAGGCATTCGCAATGTGGTCCTGCCCTACACTTGGAACGCGGGAGGGGGAAATCGGAAAGGACGAGCATCTCTGTGTCTCAAAGGATACAGGATTTGGATATGGCGGGTGTCCAAATCATGTCACTTGGATGGTCTATAATGGTAGATTTCTGAAATCTCTTTTGGTCGAATTGTCGGGTGTCTTAACTCGTTTTATGCTTGGGGTCTGCTTTTTTTGTTTGCGTTTTTTTTTCTTCTTCTTCTTCTTCTTCTTCTTTTTCCCAAGCCGTCCAACCCGTGTTCTTGCCGAAAGACCAGCTCCTGAGCTTTGTCTGGTTTTCTCAAAAGAACGATCGTTTATTTTCTCGATTTTCCCCTTGGATCGATATGTCCGGCAAGTGGTGCGCAATCTGGCCCACACCTCAAAACTGATCAACATTTTCAGATGGTCGATTTGGGAGACCGTTTTTGAGGGTACCCCTTTTCGGTGAATGAAAAAGCGAAGCCAAAAGGCATGCGGGAACTCTCGAAGTCTTGGCGGTCTCCGGTGAATCGAGAACAGAAAAGTGGAAGGCGTAGAATCGCCTGATTGAGGATTCTTTGAACCACATCCTCGAACATTGCGATTAGATGAAGTTGCTCATCCCGTGCGGTTGCCAGTTTGAAGGCCACAACAAATGCCCACAACCATGGCTGTACCCGAGTTTATTGGGAGGAGTTGAAGTCGATTTTGGACACCCCTTTTTTGGGTGTTATTTTTCAAAGTGGAAACCGCAAGGCGACCAACCCAAAAAAAGACACGCCCATGGTATGAGCCAAAGGGGAAAACCCGGAGGCCGGTTTTCGGCTGAGGCTCAGAGTGCGGCATTCGCTCTGAGGCTGTCGCGTCGAGATCTCCGGACAGGAGATCATTGCAGCTGACACGCAGGCGCAGTGATTATTCTTGTTATTATTATTATTATTGTTATTATTATTATATTATTATTATTCTTATTATTCATATATTATTATTATTCTTTTTATTATTATTACTACTATTATGTGTTTGCTTTATGTTTTTCACATATATATATATGTTTATTTATTTACTGTCTGTTTTTTTCAGTGGCTCGGTGCCCGGTATCAGCTTCCCCCCAAAGAAAAGCAAACAGAATCATCCTTCAGGGGATTTTCTTCCGACTCATTCCCCTTGAAATTCCCTGGCCGTTTTGTGGTTTGGATTGGAGGTTACGGGGCTCCAAACCACCAATTGCGGGTGAGGTGAGGGCACGACTTTTTGGATGGGGAAAGGCATTATTGTATTGGGGTCCAAAAAGTAGAAACACACACACACACACACCATGTGCATGTACGCCATGGTCTTTATTTGGAGTTGGTGGGGATGGTTCGCCCCGGAGATGTTCGACAGCTAATGTAGAGATTCCTGTCGAGGGAGCCACGACCATGGCCCACACATTCAAGGAGTTTTCCGTTGCGACAGGCCAGCCGAGTGTACAAGTGTACTGTACCCCTCCCCCCCTTGCCGCTTGAATTCTCGTTTAAACCAAAGAGAAGGGTATCGGGTATGTCAGGTGTGGCCAGTATCCACGCTGAATGGGGTTGCAACCATGGCTTTGGTGGGTTGTGGGAACATATGGTAACCAACCCTTTTTAAAGAAATCCTCCAAACCTTATTCTTACCCATTTTTTGATCCTTCCATCCTTTTTCTTCCAGTCTCCAAAAAGACACGTTTGATTGTGGGGCACTGTGCCACCAATTTTGGCACTGTGGACCAGAAGGCGCATCATTCCATTCTTTCGCGGCGCTTTCGCTCTGCGCATCCCTTGCGAGCTAACCCCCAAGAGCGGGGAAGGTGGCCGAAGGAAAGCTCGCCCACGCAGAATCACATGCACACGCCGTGCACACGCACACACACACACACACACAGAGGCAGAGTCTCCGCAAAATATACCCTCCCTCCCACTAACATGGCAACTGACAGGGGGTCCCTTCAAAAGGAATTTGATCTTCCAGGTGCCTCCCCACAGGTGCCATGTTAGTTGGAGGAAGCGCAATGAGCTTACCTGTGACTGTGGGGATTCCACATTCGCAGCTGAGGCAAACCCGTGTCAAGTCGCTTGGTTCATGCTCACCATCTGGAGGCAAGCTGTATCCCAATTTCAGACAAGCCCTCAGCGAGGCGTACAGCTCCCCTTCGGTTGCCTGGCACTTAGGCAACTGGATCTCGAGAGTTATCACTGTCAGCTCCAGGTCTATCTCTCTCTCTCTCTCTCAACCAGTCGATGAATTCCAGTCACTGAAGGCACCCCTGAGTACGGTCTTCGGATGTTGACACAGTTGACATCTGTCAGTTCCAGAGCATCTCATTGTTTGGCAGCTATGGAGCTTACATTTGGCAAGCGCAGATTGACGGCATTTGGCTCCGAACCTCCAATGCGATAGGCAGCCGGGCCTGGGTTGCCTGAAAGTTGCGAAATGGCCTCCCAACGAGGACGGACTAAGGCCCTTCTTTAGTGCTATGCAACAGTTCCGTAGACCCACCAGAGAGAACACATCGGAATTGCTATCCTTGGATCTTCAAACGCTACTGATCTTATGGCTGTAACCTAATGGTGGAAATTGCCAGAAAAGGTCCTGCGATAGACCCTGGAAACGGCCGGATTTGTGGCTCTGGTTGGGCGACTCGTCCTTTGCGTTTCTCGTAGGATGTTTTGTTGAGCGGATCTGAGTCGGAAGACCCGTGTTGCTTGCCCACTGTCTCAAGCCGGGCTGATCATACAAATCTACAAATCATACCGAGCTCGCCGATGGCTCCGACACGAGCCCGTGAATTCATTCAGGTCCTTACGGGACCACCATATTTCCAATTTGCGAATTCCAGCGAGCCATCAGCTGCACAAAGGGGACGAGGGGGGTCCCCTGCGGTTGGAATGCCGTTCGAGGCATCCAAAGTCGCAGAGCGGACGCCGACGACAAGCGGCGCGGCTCCGAGCCCGTTCGGTCGTTCGGTCGTTCGGTCGTTCGGTCGGGCTCGGCGTCAGGGTTGGTGGTCTGTTTTTCTTGGTAAAACCGTCAGGAGAAGCAGAGAAACCCTAGGGCCCCCTTCCAACAACCCCGGATTAGGCGAAGGGGGGGAGGGTTTGCGGCTCCTCTACCTAGCTTTGTGACGTGCCATCAAAAGAAGGCCAGCTGAAGTTTGGTACCTCACAACGTTCATACCCACCTGGGTAGGACAGAGCCCTTGCCGGAAAGATCGTTGCAGGAGGCTTGGGTCTTTATCGCAAGTTTTAAGAGTCCCGAGTCACCAATTGTGCCAGGGTTACATGACCGGTTCCTTTATCTTGGATAGTGATGGACTCTTTGCATGATAAACGTTGATCCCTGAAGGTGGTGATCCCTCCTGTTCCTTCTGGGCAAGCGGCAACAAGCTCACCTGGGGGCTTGCCCACGTTTTATGCGACAATGTGAGCATTGCTAGTTTCAGATTTGTGAGCTCTAGCAACTTGCGCAAGCTTTTGCCCCAAAAGGCAGAACCACAAAAGAGCGAGATCGTGAAGAAACACGTTGCCGCGAGACAGTTTTGGAAGGTATACGTGTGTCCTGAATTGGGCGAGAGACTATTTCACCACAACAATGTATCCGTTTGCATTGGCTTGGTTGTCGAAATCAAACCGAGACACAGCTTTTCCTTGAATGGACGGCATTGCCCCAAAAAGGAAGGCTTCAAATCGGACTAAGATTTGAACCCAGAAATGATATGAGGCCGTTGATATGCTTTGTGATTTCGCAAAGGCCGCACGGGCAACTGGGCCAAACACAAAGAAACCACGGGGATGGGAGGCGGAAATCCTTCGAGGCGGCGACAGCTTCGGCGACCCCTCGCCCCTGAGCGTTGCGGAAGCATCCAAGCGCCAGGCGAGTTGGGTGGAGTGGGGAGTTGTCCGAGCGGCTTGGGGTCCTAGGTGCAGCTTGGAGAGGCTAACAAGAAGTGATGCTAGACGGTGAGTCTCAAAGAGTTCTGGTAGACGGTTGGTTTGGGGGTGGGGGGCAACCCTGCTTAGGGGGGTCAATCCCATTTGCCGGATCCCCAAAGCATTTGCGAGGATGTGAGAAACCTCCGCGATGTCGGTCAGGGACCTCTTTGCCAGTGGACCCTGTTTCTTCGGCCTTTCTGCCACTTGTTGTGGGGGGGGGGGGCTTTCTTGGCGCGGGGCGGCATTTCGGCACGCACGTTTCTATTCGGGGGTGCAGCTGCCGCATTCAGATTTGGCCTGCGAGGATTTTAGCCTCGCCAAGCACGAATCCGTCAACGGCTCCACGATCACGGGAGGCGAGCGCTTTCCTAAAGGGCATCGCACAAAACCCTCCAGACCTGCGGGACCCAAATGGTTTCATCTCGTTTTTTTCGTGGACCCACCAAAATGGGTGGTTTTCTTTTGGCCTCCCAGAGAAAGCCATCCAACAAGAAAAAGCGTCCCCAAATGTACCAGGCAACGTTTTCTATCGTTTCATTCTGGACCCCTTTCAACTTTTCGCAGGCTGGCCTAACATTTTGAAATGACCGGAACAATCTAAGTATAATCCAAGCAGACATCAACATCCCTACAGGCGGCAAGGATCAGCCTCCCCATTTCGCTTTAGTCATCGTGGCTTACCAAATTGTCGCTTGGAGACTTTGGGTCCGAAAAGAATCGCCGAGTGGCAAACGGCATGCTCAGCTCACGTGGCTTGCAGCTACCACTGTGATGTAAAACCATGATGTAAAACCTAGTAGAACCAAACCCCGGTTCCCACCTCTGCACCCAGTCTTGAGCTGGTAGAACCCACCCTGAATGTACCGGTTCGTTCGGGAGAATGTGAACTCAAACCGTAATCTTGTTTTTGGCTGCTTTGCCTTTGCCCTTTCTTTTTGGCTTTCATTAATGGCAGCGGAGCTGTTAAGAGACTTCAGATAAGATTCGGTCAGAACTTTCAGTGGTCCACGGTCAATTTGTGGTTCGGGAGAACAACAATGATGGTCAGACCTTATTTTTATGATCGTAATTCTCAGCATTTGCAGAGACAATCTTGTCCTTTTCTCCTGCCTCCCCCCAAAAAAAAAGGAAAGGACAGAAAAATAATAGCAAACACACACACACGCAAACAAACACACACCCCAATCAACGTGCCCTCAATCGCCATCGCCGGTCCAGTTTGCAGAAAGGATCCTTGCACCTGGAGCCTGTAACTTCTTTGTAACAAGTAGAGGCATCCTTTTACTTATTTTCAACAAAAGGGAGTACCAACTTCTGCTTTCAGAAGTTCTCTTTCTATTCACAGAGCAGTTTTTTTTACCGACAGGCTGTTTCGACAGAGCTACTTGTACCAAATTTATGATCTTGCAACAAGGTATCAGAATGTATGCAATCCGCGCCCAATCCGTTTTCTCCCCTCTTACCTGGGTGGTGGTTGACTTCCCTTGTTTTGTCCTGAGCCATCAAGAATGAGCGGCGGTAGCGAAGCGCGGGAGTCCGGTCCGGGATCGAGTCCGGTCAGGCTGCAGCGGATCCTCGATTGACTCATCCCTTGACCTGGAGGCAGGTCTGACTCGAGCCGCTGAACTGGACCGCACGCCCCCCGCACGGATGGCTGCGAGTTTCCTTTAACTTGAAGGCAGGGGACCTGCGAGTTGCGACATGGCTTTGAACAGGAAGGATGCCACTTGGGCATGGGTCAAAATCAAACCACCAGCAAACCGCAAATTCTAGTCCATGTTTCCATTTACCAGGGTTCCATTTTGGGTACATATTTTTGACCCACAGCCACTTGTGCGAAAGCGATCCGAGTCTTTTGATGAATCAACCACTTTGGCCGTAGGGGGCGTTTTGCAAAAATTTCCGCCTCCGATGTTCAGAAATACCTCAGTTTTGCTGGGTGGCCACAAGCCTTGTGGCGCGTAGGTTCTCGGTTTTGCCACCGTCAACGCGCTCCAAAGGTCCCGGCGAAGGGCTCCGAGCGGGGGACAGATGTCACCTGAAGATATGGACTGCCAAGACCTGGCGCTTGTTCACTTTCGCTGGCTCAGATGCTCCTTTTGGAGCCAAATGCATGGTGGCTTGCGATGAAGCTCTTCGGGTGTTGCCCGAAACTGGGCGTTTGCCCCACCAAACAGGGTCGGTAATTCCCATGTTTTTTCTGGGGGAACCACCCTAGGGCGGTCCTCGGCGTAAAATCCGAAAGTAACAAGTTGATTTCAGGGGCAACGCCCATTTGCCAGAGGTATGGCAGTCACTGGCTCCAGCCCTCGCCAGGCCGAGCAAGTGCCAGTGCTGCCGGAGAAGGCCAGCGCGGTGCACTGCGTGGAGATTTAGGGGGTGCGGGGTGGCCACATTCTGTGAGGGTTGTCCTTACTGCGATGTGCTACAATATCGGCGCCCTTACCCCAAAAAAAAGCAAGATCTTTGTTGGAGGCATACCAAACTTGGCCCCAAAAACAGCCAAAAGGACAAGTTTTGCTGCTGGCAACCAAGTTGGCATTGTTATCACCATCTTGGGCGTATTGCAACAAGGGGCCCATTTTCCACAATCGCAACGGCTGGCATATTCTCAAGCAAGCCAGCATGTCAAAACGGCTACATGTTGATCGGGACCATCCTCCAAAACGGCAGGTGGATATATGTCCCCATGTAAATGATGTCCACCACAAGACGTCCAAACTAAGACCATGACCAGGTGGCAACAGCACTGGTACAAATAAGTGTTGTTCTGAGGGCACCTTTTTTTTTGGGTGGTGTCGCAGGAAAACCAAGAGGAAAGCCACATTCCTTGGGGGTCCCTTTACTTTGGCACATTTTGTGACAGGCTCGGTGCCGAGCCCCTGGATGGTGCCGAGCGAGCCCCTGAAGTTTTGAGTGACTTAACTCTCTCTTTTGTTATTGCGCTGTCTAGCAAATGAATAGACTGGCATCACTGAGACTTTATCTCACTAGTTTGCCAACTTTGCACTCTAACTGAGTCTTTGAGTTCTAGACTTACTCAAACTAGTCAATTTGAATCTAGGCTAGCTCTACAGCTGTGAAAGAGCAACTTTTTGGGCACTCTCTACTCAAAAGCAAACATAACAACAGTTATATTCAAATAACTTGATTCAAGAGTAATAAAGCAAACAATTTACGCCGCGGTAGCGGCTCGGAAATTGAGCAATCTCCCTAAGTTGTTCAATGCGACAAAAGGGAGTTGTTCTTGGGCGAACGGTTTGGTGGTTAGGGGGAGGCTTCCCATTTACCCTTTGCAAGATCCAGGGGCTCAAATCCAAATCCAAACCGCCAATCCAAACCACCACGAGGGACGCTGACCAGTGGCGCGAACGTTTTGGAACCGCGTGGGCTACTGGATAAAGGGGCTTGCGCGAGGCGCCAGTGGAGGAAGATCAGATCGCCAGGGCCTCGGGACAATGGCGGATTCTTCGAGGCCAACGAAGAAGAAGTTCTTGTTAGAAGTCGTGTCGGAATGCATTTGGGGCGTCGCTTAGCCTTAGGTCAGACAAACAAAAAGAGTTTGGGAGGGCTCGCCCGTGAGCCACTGGCATGATAGGAGGTTTTTGGGATCCGGACATGAGCCTCCTTTCTGGCACGGGCAGCTTGAGACAACTTCAGGGTTTGGATCTGAAGAACTCGAATGAGAAAATGATCAAAGCCGCCCCTTTTCAGGTCCTCATGTAGAGCGGCTCTTGATGGTCTCCCTTCCAGCTTTCCACCCATTCTTCAGCGGCCCAGCGGCCCAGCGATGGTCTCCCTAGCTTTCCACCAGTCAGAACTGGAAGGGTCTACTGCCCGAATAAACCCGGATTTGCAAGCACATTGTTTGCCATGGATGTGGATGTGGTTCGCTTTTAGCTGGAGTCGGTATCGTATTTTTGGAAGTCGCTCTTGGAGTGAGGACTCTGCCACCTGCCCATGTTTTTTTGTTTGGTGTTTTTTCTTCTCATGAGACAAGCATGTGTTCCAGACCTGTCAAAACGGGTTCCTCCGCCCCTGAAAGGAGATCAAGTCTGTTTGCCGGTTTTTTTCCTCCCCCTTTTCTCATGAGACAAATGTTCCAGACCGGTCAAAAAACAAGCCGAAGGCCCCATGCCATAGGAGGTCACTGGCCGAAGTCCCCCCTCCCCCGGCTCGCCGTCAGATCTTGACCAGCTTCAAGGCGCGGATGGAGAAGGCCGGGAAGCCGACAGCAAGCGAGCCGAGCGGTTGATTTGTTTGTTCCCTGAAAGGGCACCCAGTTTGGATCATGGGTGGCTGGAAGACCATTTTCCCCATTTTTGCTTTATTATGTTTTAGTGGAAAATCCCCACTTAACTGCTAAACAATGTATATTTTGCTCCCCTTCCAACGTCAACCATGGGTAGCTTTTGTGAGTGGAAGACCATTTTCCCCATTTTTGCTTTATTATGTTTTAGTGGGACATCCCCACTTAACTGCTAAACAATGTATATTTTGCTCCCCTTCCAACGTCAACCATGGGTAGCTTTTGTGAGTGGAAACCATTTTTCCCATTTTTGCTTTATTATGTTTTAGTGGGACATCCCCACTTAACTGCTAACAATGTATATTTTGCTCCCCTTCCAACGTCAACCATGGGTAGCTTTTGTGAGTGGAAACCATTTTTCCCATTTTTGCTTTGTTATGTTTTAGTGGGACATCCCCACTTAACTGCTAAACAATGTATATTTTGCTCCCCTTCCAACGTCAACCATGGGTAGCTTTTGTGAGTGGAAGACCATTTTCCCCATTTTTGCTTTATTATGTTTTAGTGGGAAATCCCCACTTAACTGCTAAACAATGTATATGTTGCTCCCCTTCCAACGTCAACCATGGGTAGCTTTTGTGAGTGGAAACCATTTTTCCCATTTTTGCTTTGTTATGTTTTAGTGGGACATCCCCACTTAACTGCTAACCAATGTATATTTTGCTCCCCTTCCAACGTCAACCATGGGTAGCTTTTGTGAGTGGAAACCATTTTTCCCATTTTTGCTTTGTTATGTTTTAGTGGGACATCCCCACTTAACTGCTAAACAATGTATATTTTGCTCCCCTTCCAACGTCAACCATGGGTAGCTTTTGTGAGTGGAAACCATTTTTCCCATTTTTGCTTTATTATGTTTTAGTGGGACATCCCCACTTAACTGCTAACCAATGTATATTTTGCTCCCCTTCCAACGTCAACCATGGGTAGCTTTTGTGAGTGGAAACCATTTTTCCCATTTTTGCTTTGTTATGTTTTAGTGGGACATCCCCACTTAACTGCTAACCAATGTATATTTTGCTCCCCTTCCAACGTCAACCATGGGTAGCTTTTGTGAGTGGAAGACCATTTTCCCCATTTTTGCTTTATTATGTTTTAGTGGGACATCCCCACTTAACTGCTAAACAATGTATATTTTGCTCCCCTTCCAACGTCAACCATGGGTAGCTTTTGTGAGTGGAAGACCATTTTCCCCATTTTTGCTTTATTATGTTTTAGTGGGAAATCCCCACTTAACTGCTAAACAATGTATATGTTGCTCCCCTTCCAACGTCAACCATGGGTAGCTTTTGTGAGTGGAAACCATTTTTCCCATTTTTGCTTTGTTATGTTTTAGTGGGACATCCCCACTTAACTGCTAACCAATGTATATTTTGCTCCCCTTCCAACGTCAACCATGGGTAGCTTTTGTGAGTGGAAACCATTTTTCCCATTTTTGCTTTATTATGTTTTAGTGGGACATCCCCACTTAACTGCTAAACAATGTATATTTTGCTCCCCTTCCAACGTCAACCATGGGTAGCTTTTGTGAGTGGAAACCATTTTTCCCATTTTTGCTTTATTATGTTTTAGTGGGACATCCCCACTTAACTGCTAAACAATGTATATTTTGCTCCCCTTCCAACGTCAACCATGGGTAGCTTTTGTGAGTGGAAGACCATTTTTCCCATTTTTGCTTTATTATGTTTTAGTGGGACATCCCCACTTAACTGCTAAACAATGTATATTTTGCTCCCCTTCCAACGTCAACCATAGGTAGCTTTTGTGAGTGGAAGACCATTTTCCCCATTTTTGCTTTATTATGTTTTAGTGGAAAATCCCCACTTAACTGCCAAACAATGTATATTTTGCTCCCCTTCCAACGTCAACCATGGGTAGCTTTTGTGAGTGGAAGACCATTTTCCCCATTTTTGCTTTATTATGTTTTAGTGGAAAATCCCCACTTAACTGCTAAACAATGTATATTTTGCTCCCCTTCCAACGTCAACCATGGGTAGCTTTTGTGAGTGGAAGACCATTTTTCCCATTTTTGCTTTATTATGTTTTAGTGGGAAATCCCCACTTAACTGCTAAACAATGTATATTTTGCTCCCCTTCCAACGTCAACCATGGGTAGCTTTTGTGAGTGGAAACCATGTTTCCCATTTTTGCTTTATTATGTTTTAGTGGGACATCCCCACTTAACTGCTAAACAATGTATATTTTGCTCCCCTTCCAACGTCAACCATAGGTAGCTTTTGTGAGTGGAAGACCATTTTTCCCATTTTTGCTTTATTATGTTTTAGTGGGAAATCCCCACTTAACTGCTAAACAATGTATATTTTGCTCCCCTTCCAACGTCAACCATGGGTAGCTTTTGTGAGTGGAAACCATTTTTCCCATTTTTGCTTTATTATGTTTTAGTGGGACATCCCCACTTAACTGCTAAACAATGTATATTTTGCTCCCCTTCCAACGTCAACCATGGGTAGCTTTTGTGAGTGGAAACCATTTTTCCCATTTTTGCTTTATTATGTTTTAGTGGGACATCCCCACTTAACTGCTAAACAATGTATATTTTGCTCCCCTTCCAACGTCAACCATGGGTAGCTTTTGTGAGTGGAAAGCCATTTTTCCCATTTTTGCTTTATTATGTTTTAGTGGGACATCCCCACTTAACTGCTAAACAATGTATATTTTGCTCCCCTTCCAACGTCAACCATGGGTAGCTTTTGTGAGTGGAAGACCATTTTCCCCATTTTTGCTTTATTATGTTTTAGTGGGACATCCCCACTTAACTGCCAAACAATGTATATGTTGCTCCCCTTCCAACGTCAACCATGGGTAGCTTTTGTGAGTGGAAACCATTTTTCCCATTTTTGCTTTGTTATGTTTTAGTGGGACATCCCCACTTAACTGCTAACCAATGTATATTTTGCTCCCCTTCCAACGTCAACCATGGGTAGCTTTTGTGAGTGGAAAGCCATTTTTCCCATTTTTGCTTTATTATGTTTTAGTGGGACATCCCCACTTAACTGCTAAACAATGTATATTTTGCTCCCCTTCCAACGTCAACCATGGGTAGCTTTTGTGAGTGGAAAGCCAGTTTTTCCATGTTTGCTTTATTATGTTTTAGTGGGAAATCCCCACTTAACTGCTAAATTTTGATTTTTTGCTCCCCTTCCAACGTCAACCAAGTAAAGGGCCCCCAGTTTGGACCATGGGTAGCTTTTTTGAATGGAAAGATCCAATTTGTTTGGTGGTTTCCCAACCAATGGTTACCACCTTTTGATCCCAAATTAAATCCCCGCAGTGGTTAGGGGGTGAGTCATTCCCTTTCTTGAGAATTCCATTGGTGCACCAAATCAAGTGCTCATTCGAGAATCATGTGTGTAGTGATTCAGCCTCTTTGTGCCCAATACCTAAATGGGCGATTCGGTACGTCAAACCCGCTGAAAGGCGACTTACAACCTTGGCTTTGGTGGGCGAACCAAGCCATACACGAACGAGTGCTAATTCCGAGCGACGCACAATGAATCGATTGTAACTCAATCTTGGCCTCCGGATTTCTCCAAAGTTGACATGAATGGTTGGAACACCCTCAGCCTCACAGGTTGGTGGTGGGCATAAATCCAACCCACAAGTCCCAAGTCAGCTTTGGGGTCCCATGCCGTCGCTGGATGCCTTTGAGCCGCCAGGCTTTGTTCAATGGGGGTTTTGCCGACATGGGGCATCTCCTTTGGTTTCTCTCGGGCGCCCCAGGTCTCGTGGTTGCAACGGGGTACGCGACATTTCGCCCTAGGAACACCACCTATAATTGGGGGAGGGGGGGCCATTTTGACCCTCACATGGATCCGTTTGGGAGCATGGCAACCGTTGCTGCTTTTCTTTGGATGTTTTTGCCGAAAGGCCACCAATTTGTTGAGCAAGCCAGGCACTCCATGATCAACGCACAGTTCTTTTTTTGACATGGCCCGTTTGGGCCCAACGGAATTTCATCTTGCTGGGTGGCTTTGAATATCACCTTTTGTGAGTGGATTTGGCAGATGTCCTTTTGGTGGGCTGATGTTTTATAGCTTGGGCGCATAGGAGACTTGATGTGGGGTCTCCGGTTGCGCGGGGCCTTTGTTTGCCAAGGCGAGTTGAGATGATTTGTGTGTCAACGGGGAGCCTGAAAATGGCTTTGCCTTTGGCCTTCACTTAAAACTCCCCTTTTGGGGGTACTGAGCCCATGCAAAACACACTGCCCACGTAAGGCCTGGTTTTAGCGTTTGCCAATCAGGTTGCCCGTGTCGAAACGTGTCCTCCCGGAGCTTTTTCACGCAAACGCCAGGCCAAGGACAGCGTGGAGGCTTTGAGGGCGAAGCTGCAGGACGGCCGAATGAGAATCCGTCCGATTTTCGCGGGCAGAAATGGATGGATCTACCCTCCCTCCAAGAATCATGGAAGCCGATGGGAGGGTTTTCAAGAAGCGCACTGTCCTTTTGGGGGACCCCCCGATCGTCCTCTTCCATTGTTGGAATGAGGGTGTGGTTTCATTGCGCCTCGTGTAAAAAGGAACTTGCCAGGGGGATTGGGGGCAACGAAAAAGAGGGGCCCCGCGGGCACTTCGGGGGCTTACAAGAGCTCCACGGCTTGGTGAGTTTTTCGAAGGCTTTCAGGTCTTTTTGGGCCCCTTGTTTTGGATGCCTAAAACTCCAGTGCCCTTTCTCACCCCCGTTTTTTTTGGGAGGGTTCCCCGACTAAAACAGAGTTTGGAAAAAAAGGGTACCCTTCGTCTAATCTCTGTACTGGAGGACCTGGATGTAAGGCAAGCCGGCAGGAATAGGCCAGTCTGAGGCCCTGGTCCAATTCTTTTTGGGACACATACGCATGCAGCTGGCGCATCTTCCCTTTTTAACCTTTTGGTTCCAAGGGACTTGAAAGGGCGAACTGGCCCTTCATGGTTTTGCCACTTCTCATAGACTTGTTGAGAAGGAGAGGTGTGTGCGTGTGTGTTTGTATGTGTGTGTGTGTGAGTATCCCACAAGCCTACAACTACTGGTTTATACACCTTCAATTGGGATTTTGTCTATTCACAGAGCCCCCCAGGTTCCCTTTAATGACCCATCAGATTCATTTGGGGTCAGCATTCGCAGGGTTAGCATTCCTTCCGACAGGCAAGTGGGGGTTAACTTTTCGGTGAGTGACTCAAAGGACCCTCAGGCCCAGAACTCCCCCGACTTTCCCACTTCCTAAAGCCACGGGGATTCTGTGCTTCTAAGCTTGCCCGGATCGAACGAGACGCAGATATTTCAAAGCAGAGTCCAGCTTCCAGCTCACGTCTATGAGTTTCCCACCTAGTTGGTCACCTAACATAGATCCTGACTGGAGGACCATCTTTCTCTGCAAGGGACCTTCCGGTAATCGTTCATGATGGTAATCCTGGGTTCCCATCTTTACTTGGGGGCATGTGAAGACGGTCGTGCGCAGATTTCGGGAAACACCCAAGTGGGTGTATCGTTTCTTGAGAGTACGTCTTTCGGTTGGTTTAAGCAGAGCCATTCTTACAATTAGTTTGCGGCATCATTTCACACCCACTCCTTCAACCCCACTTGCATCTGGACTTTGAGGCTCAGCAGCTTTTGCGGTCAACGATTTTGACAATACCCGCGCCCTTTGCACTTCTGCCGTTTGGGACGTGAGTCGCAGGCGGACATCATCAAGGGCCGCGTGGCACAGAACGAGGCGGAGGCGAGTGCGAGCAACCTTCGCAGGTGTTGCTGTCTTTGAGTCCTTTCCGTGGGTTTGGGGAAATGATGGGACAATTCTGTGCCTGGAACCCCCCCCCCCCCGCCATTTGGGGGGTCCAGTGGGGACCTTTTCCAGGGGGTTTGTTGGTTCGGTCCCCGAACTCGGCCCGACATCGGCGGCGTGTGGCGAAGGCCAGGGAGTTGGGCTACTACTCCACATCCACGCTGATGAGCGCCTCGATCGCGTTGGACACCGGGTTTCCTCGCCAACAAAGAGGCCTTCGTAGGGTCCTTGTTGCACCCAAATTCACCCAAATTCACCATCACTCTGACTGAACATGTGGGGGTTGTTCAACATGGAAGGGCCCAAGTGTGGACCCTCATTCCCTTCATGCTCATTCTCCCCAGCCACAAAAGTGTCAAAACAGGTACCTCCCCCATGCTCGTTTTTTCAACAAAGATCGGCCTTGCGATATTCCCTTCGTTCAACCAGGGAGTCGAACCCATCGGAATCGCCAAGGTAGGTCCCACTCTTTTCCACCCTATCTTCACCCCACCAAAAGGAGACCACGCTTCTTCTCGCAAAAAATGAGATTTGGAGGGTGGACGGAGGGAGACTTTTGCATCTGTTGCAACCAAAAGCTGTGACAGAGTCGAGCCCAATTTGCCGAGGCCCGATCCGTGGCGGGTGGTTCGATAGGCAATGAGTTGGAATGAGCTCCGATGCCAACTTGGCCTGTCCGACCATGCCAAGCCTGCCCTTAGGTTCCCTAACTCCAAAATGGATGAGCTCAAACTTCAGACCTCAGTCTTAGCACAACTAATTACACCTGGTCGGCGATCTAGAAGTGCAATCGCTTCGAGGTCGTGCAGGGGTTTCTCCATCACCGTGCTTCAGCAAAAAAGGTCCTGGTCCATTTCCATGCCAAGAGGGGAACCTTCTTGAGCATATGCTCTGAAAGCTCCCCTTGAGGAAAGCACTTCACAGATCTGTTATACCCTTTCGAAAGGTCCAAGAGGACCGCCAGGTTTGGCTTGGGACCCGTCCCCCAAGCCTGTGGGCTTGAGACACCTGACACCTCGAGCTCAGGATATCTCTGCCACACTGATGGCGATGTGAACAAGGCCCCGGAAAAAAAAGAAGTCGGACTTGGCGCCAAGGGGTCCCCAATGGGTCCCTGCTCCTTTAAACAAAGAATAACATCTTCTGCGTTTCTGCCGCTTTTTTTGTTGGCAAGCAACATAGGTGGCAGGGTAGGCATGCTGCACTCATCCCCAGGCTGCTCATCCGTTCGAAAAGGGAAGCTGCACATGCGTAATTGCCAAGGGTCGGCCCCGCTGATCATTGAAAGAGGATACGAAGATGCATGTTACATGGAGTTCTTATTTGGCGTTTTCTGGCCAAACGTCGACCAACGGCCCATTTCTTCGTCCACACTTTTGCCTTATGTGATTGGGCCACACTTCTGCCTTGGGGTTCCTTCCGCATCTGAGACTTCCATTTGCTGAAATGAATATCTTTTCGTTGTCCCCCTTTTTGGCTTCAAAGGGAATTGATTTCACTACTGGACATGGTTTTGCTTCTCTTTTTTTTTCAGGGGGCTCAAGCGAATGGAAGGAGAAGGCGACCGAACCTCTTGGATGTTCCATGGGACTTTGGATTCGCTCGAGGCCTTCAAGGAGATCAAGAGCACCGTGGAGTGGCGGAAGCACAACTTGCCCCCGGAGCTCTTTGTCCAGGCGACTCGGGGCGGACTGTCGGAGGTCAAATGAGCCACTTGCTCAAAATTCGGGGAGTGATGAAGCTTAGTAGGGGGGCAGTCCCAGCCAGAAATAGTTGCGGATATCCGCCTTCTTAATTCTTGAAGCATGGTTGGGGGTAGACCATTTCAATACCGGGTTTTGATTGTGACTCAATTGGAAAATCAGACCGACCTCCAAAAAACCACTCGGGGCCACTTAGAGGCCTTTGTTTCAAGGGGAAACGAGTCCAACGGATGGGCCTTTAGTGTGATTTTCCCTGGAAAAACAGAAGTGAGTTCCTGGCAAAAGACAGCTACTTAGGCACATGTTGGCCAATGGTTGACCCGAAAGTTTTCTACGGTTAGGCCTTGTAGGTCACGAAGCCAAGTTCCAGATCCAAGAAGCGGCTTGCGCTGGGGAGACGCTAGTTGCAGGGGCCGGACACTTAGTGAGTGTGCTCAATCATGGGCATAGCCCACTCCGCAAAACATAAACTGCTGCTCTTCTGCGCGAACGGATCTGGCGCAGCCACGTTAGATACAGCCACTTGCGAAGAATCCTTCCCATTTCAGCAGGGTTTCTCCAGAAGAGACATCAGCTGTGCCTAGACGGGGTGGTTAAACCATTGCCTCTCAAGAGCTTCAGGGAGAAGCAGTATTCCCCGGCCAGAAAGATTCAATCAGGACCCTCAGAACTGTTGGGAAGGAACTCGTGGGGCCAAGCCAGCGATGTTTCCTTGAAGCCGCGGTTGAGATCACCCATAATGTTTGAGCTTCATCCTTGTGGGTTGATAGAGAAGCACTGTCGCATGGAGGTGCTTGTTCCCAAATTTTGTTATATTTGGAACGAAATTGATTGTTTAAGTTAAACAAGTTTAAGCATTGTGTCCGCTGGGGAGAATGAACAATCACATTGACCAAAGGAAGACTTCTTATTGTTTTAGGCCATCTCCTTGGGAATTTGGGTCGGCAAGCAAAGCTCGATTTTCCCGATGTTGCCATGAATGGGTTTCGGAATCTTTCCCTTGTTCCGACAGTACTTGGAGTAGGGTGGTTGCAAGTCTTCCGGTTGGTCGTAAGCAACCATGTTTACCAAACGCTTGCTAAGTGCTCTGCCCCTTCAAATATGGCACCTTGACATGACCATTGATAAAGATCAGCTTGGCTTTTTTCCTTTTCTCGGGTGTCCGCTCGAAATCAATCAGCCAAAGGATGTGTTCTTTCTGCTCACAATTTCTACAGTTTTTACGTTTTTCCCGTGGGGGAGCCAAGTCCTTTTTCTCCCTCGCAACTGAAAGGAGTAGGCTACTTAGCAGTCCCGCAAGCGGGTTATGATTGTGGTTTCTAGATTCTACCCATACGAACTGCTTTCCCCCACGTGGGGGTTTCTCAAAACAGCGGTCCCCAACATGGCTGTCTTCATACCGACCAACTTCGGGGCTCCGGACTTCTTTGTGGCACTAAAAGTCGGCGGGGTCATCTTTTCGCCCGACTTCAGGGCTCGAAGCTGCCCTGCTGCCGGTCCTGTGCCAAAGATCCCCGGCACCTTGGCCCGGAGGTCGCAGCGATGGCTTCCCCGTCGCAGTTGGCACCAAAGTAAACTCGCTGGGTCGATAGACAGGGAATGAGAATTGGAATGACCCCGAGAAAAGCCATCCCCTACGGATTCACAAAGGGAGTCCTTTTTCTGGTTCATGCCCAACATCCGGAAGGTCAACCCGCAGTTGACCACTTCACCCCTCAGTTGAGTCCCGACAACAGGATAATGGAAAGGGAGCTCGGATTGGCCAGCCATGTTTGACCAGCGCAAGGAATTGATTGGCCAGCCCAGGTTGTGCCTCTGGGGCTTATGGGTTAGGATCCTGTTGGTATTTCTTACATTGAGGGCAGGTACGGGGTTAAGGTTTTGATGACACGGAATGAATAATTTTAGTTTCAGTCTTTCTTGCAATAGGGGACTCACAAGAATACCCTTGCACGATACCCCCTTAACATGCCTGGCAAAGAACTGCATTTGTTGGTCCTCGACATGGCGACGAGTCCGCGGGAAGCTCGCAAGACGGGCAACCCCCCAACTGAGAAACAAGAAGCACAGTACCAAAGTTCGTCGGCGAGGGCAACGACCCTAAACAAGTCAGACAGCCTAAGCCACGAAGAACACCGCGAAGATGACTTGTGGACGAGGAAGCCATCCCAAAAAAAGGCGTCCGGAAGGAGCGCGAGCGAGTGGATCACGGGTCGTTGAGGTCCCACTGCTTCCTGAGCTTGGGCAAAGACGTGTTGGGGCGCCATGCGTCTTGGCTTCCATCCGTTTTGCAGCTTCTTTTAGGTCACTTTCTAGTCGGGGTTGGGGCAAAAGTGACTACCGACCCATACCCTGGCCACCTTTTCAGGGAACCAAAAGGAGGATGCTTAAACAGGCGTTCAAACCATTCCGGAACCGGGGGGCCCGTCCAAAGAGAAATTGAGGCACCCCTGTTTCAGGATCTCAATTTGATGGCGAGATGACGATGTCAGGTGTAACCTTTTTTGGAATGTCTCTTTGACTTGCTTCTGAAGACAACAAGGATCTGTATCAGTTACCTGTACTTTAGGAAAAAACCCGAGACGCACCCAAACAGGTTAGGTTGTCCACCGTGACCGCGTTCATCAGTCAGCTTTTTGGGGCTTGGACCAATCCGTGCCACGCTTTGCCCAGCAAAGAGCAGGGGCCATAGAAACTGTTCTCACGCAAGCCACGATCGACTTGCCATCTGCAGGCCTGCGGAAAGACAATGCATCACTGACCCCCCAGTTCTTTTTTCCCCATGGATCCTGTTTTCCAAAACAGAAGCAAGCAGCTGGCTGTGAAAAGAATGGATAAGGAATCCTCTGGAGGGGCCAAAATACAACATTCTGGATCACCGCTCACCAATCAAGCTAAGTCGTGGGTGCCTAGCGGTTGAATAGTTATGATTGAAAGACAAGACCGTAGCCCGAGGGATCTCAGTTCCCACCCATCCCTTGTTTTTCTTTTTTTGGTATCTTAGAATGGTTTTTGGTTGAGGGCTTTGTCACGGGCAGAGTGGTTGTGGGCAGAGTCCGATGTTTCAACGGGCTGTGGCCAACCACTTTGGTTTGGCAGGATGCGAGGCCCATCCAAGGCCCTTCGGGTCTCGGGGTCTTCCCTCAGGTTCTCCTTTTGTCTTCCCTCAGGTCTTCCCTCAGGTCTTCCCTCAGGTCTTCCCTTCCCTCAGGTTTTGGAGGAGGGGGGGGTGGATCGCAAACAGTTGTCCAGGTTAGCAGATCGACCTGTTGTGAGAGGCGCTCAGCACGATTCCCCCCAGAGTTACGAGTTTGGACCTCACACATCCATCCTTTTGGGGCACCAAGTGCATCCCGAACCAGGAGTTTCCTTTTCACCTTTGTTCACAAGCCACACTGTTCTTCCCCACGGCAAAAAAAAGACTCGCGACTCGCGACTCGCGAGTTGACGCTGAGATCATTTACTCCAACACGGGCCGTGCTGCCAACAAGACCCCAGAGGACGGCATCGAGCACATGGCCTCGGAGATGGAGAGGCCGGGGGGGGGCGGGGGGGCGGGGGGGAGGTTGCGCCTAGCTTCTTGACATGTTGGTTCGACCGAACTCAACTTTCAACTGTTTGGGGGCAGGACGGTTTTACCCAACTAGCAAGAAGTCTGACTTTGTGCGGGCTTTTCAGACAAACCTAGGCTTCTGGATGTCTGAGGCAAAACAAAGACAACCACTAGCTCAATCTCTGAGTTCATGCCTTTCAGCCTTGTGGGGAGACCATTTTAAAGGTAAACGACAAGAGGGCACCTTTCTGTCCAACCCACTCAGGAAGGATGAGGTGCATTTGTTTGACTAGGGCTGGGGCAGGTGCTGGTTGGCTGGCTAGCTGGCTGGTTTGTTGGTTGGTTGGTTGGTTGGCTGGCTGGTTGGTTAGTGGGTTGGTTGGTTGGTTGGCTGGTTGGTAGGACAAAACTCGGCTGTATCTCTTGGTGCAGGCACTTTCGGACCTATGGGTATGATATCTGCCCCTACGCTGCACTTTACCCCTGGAGATATCAAGCAGCTTCCTCGCTTCGGCGCAGGCTATTCCAGAACTCCTCGATGCCTGGCCAGATCGCTTCATGGCTTCAACACGGGATATGGGCGTCCGAAGGGTCGGTTTGGTTGAACGTAGGTCGTTTCCATGGGCCTATTATGGGGTTTCTAGTGAGCCATTCTAGGTGTGATTTTGTTCGGAGACAAACGGACATGGATTCCGCTGATTTCAGAAATCCATCGTTGTTTTTTCCCCCGAAAGCACGCCCAGGTTGCTGTGCCAGTGCTGGGGAAGCCCTTGAACAGTACGCTTTCATGATCTGGTAAGCTTGGGCTGCGAGTCTTAGTGGGGCTAACTTTCGGGTTGCCATCTGCTTGGCGGACTCCCGAACCAGTTGACCCAATTTTGTCGTCCCCAACCTGGGAGCCCTCTAACTGAGCAAGTCTTGTTTGGGCCTGTACTTTACCATGGCTCGTGCCTGGTTTCTTCGCTCCAAGCATGGGTGCAGATCACTGCATGTAGGCATGCAACCGTTCCACCAGAGGCGCATAGTTTGGGATCCAAGGGGCTCTGAGAAGTCTTGCCGAGCGTGTGAAGCGCCCCTCCGATTGCGGCCCGTCCGATTCCAGTCGCCAATGGCGCATGCCAACAATTTGCATCGCGCGGGGGCTCGCGAAAGAGTGACGCCCTTGGGGAATGCTTGCCGCAGCCCTTTGGAGTCCAAAAGGGTTAGTGAATTTCACCCCCGAATCCACGAAGTTCCGAAGCGGGGGGTGGGGCAGCAACCCAGTTTCCAGGGAGTCTGAAACTCCCTCGCCCAAATTTGGCCTCAAATTTGGCCTTATATATATATATATATATCTGTTATTTATTTTATTTTATGAGTTTTATCGGTTTCGTAACTTTCGTAACCGCTTGGGGGCCCTGCTTGTCCATACGCCCTTCTGGTTTCCCTGGAAACCAGAAACGAGAAAACACGCTGCCAAAACACGACCGCCTTACCACTCGCTGACTGTCGACCGATGAGTCGATGCCCCGGTGTGAGGTCTGGGTGGTGGACCTGTCCGGCTTCGGCATCAGCGACTGCAACCCCAAGACGGGGGCCCACGCCCCAGAGATCCGAATCGGTGCTCAGCCGGGCATGTTTGATTTTGGTTGGCGGGTTGTATTGGGCAACCTAATCCTGTATCAGGTTGGAAGGCTTGGGTTTACAGGCTTCATTCTGCAAGGAGAGTATTGGATCATGCGGGGCCTTTTGGCTCAAGCATGATCCAAACTGGCTAAATTTTAACTTCTGGTTTGCGGGTTCGGCAAGTGTTACTTG